TTCAGTTAAGTTTATTTTTAACAGGTAAATTACAATGAAAGCCAAGTTAAAGAGAAAAAGCACTACTAGAATACTTTCAGGAAGTATTGTTCTTTCTGTATATCAGGTCAGTTGAAGTATAGTAGTTGAGTTTCTCACCTTGAGGCTTGCTTTCTGAATCCCAGCCTTGAAAGGTGAGAACAGGTTGATGTAAAACATCTCAGAAATTAAGCGATGAATGTTCTTCCATGAAGAAATTTATTTAAACCATCAGACTAATTCCAGTTCACAAGTGCAATGGAGTGGGTAATAAAGATCATGATTGTCTGTAGAAAGGTAATAGGAAGTCCCATTCCAAGTTTGTAGGGATTTTATTGGATGCTGGTATCAAAGAGGACAAGGGTTTACCTCATGCGTTAAATTCAGGCCGGAAAGTTGAAGAGAAGTAGAGGGAAGGATCTGGACTCTGATAAGTCAGGAGGGCTGAAAAAAATTGGATAGGGAAAGTTGTCTTGGTTTTTAAAAGGTGAACACAATGCATGTTGGAGAACAGGGAAGAGCTCTGAAATCAAATGATTGGGATAAACAGCAATGAGAATTCTTGTTCCTGGATGGGAGCATTCCTACTTTAATTATGTTGTTTCCATTTTAAATGCCTGATCCTTTTGAAGCTTTAAAACAATTATTCAGAATGCAATAAATGAAGTCATGTTCTTCGAGCTATGCCTACTTGTACCTTGTGCCATTTGGTTACTGAGGAGGAGGAGTGATGGCCGAGTTACTGCCATTCTATTTGCTTGGTTGTTTGGTGCAACCCCATTGTCTTTCATATATATGGAATGTATGTATGTACAACTTCCTAGTTGTTGGGGTTTTTTCTCCCTTTTTAAACCTTTTTCGAAGTGGCAATTGACCTGCTGTGAGGAGAAAGGAATACTGCACATGTATGCATATGCACACATGTACACACACTCAGTATGTACAGCTGTGTGGTTTTGGGCAAGTTTAGCTGGATTTTACATTTTCCCATTGCACTGGGAGCTAAATGAAGTTGCTTCACCCGCCTTTAAATTTTCACACTTAAAAATACTGTGAATTGAAATGTTTTGTTTCCTGAGCCTTGTTATCTGAAAGACTTCAGACAATCTCCAGGGTGGAGACTGCTGTGGTTGCCTGTAGTCTGCAGATGTTGGGGCATTTTTTTATTGTAGATGCAAGTGTGCAGTACAACTTGTGGGAATTGGAGATTATGCAGGAAGTGGGCATATATAATAACATGAATTTCCACAAAACAATTTTAATTGAGTCATCTTCCAATGAGAGAGAGGTGGCAGTCTCTGCCTCATAGAGGTGGAAGCTCATGTAGGGAGAGAGGTAGATGCTAATCTTACCATTTGATGCATGTAGGAAAGGAGTGCAGAAATGGAGCAGTAAGGGAAGAGGCCAATTAAAAGTCACACAATTAATGCTAGGGACTGTTTTTCTGCAAGTGTCTTTTTCACTTTTTGATCATTATCGACTCTGGATTTGCACCAATTTTCATGTAAGAAGAGGAAGTGTAGAGATTTGTTAACTAAATAAATCCTAAGGAAACAAATTCTAGTTTGGAGGTAGGGGTCCCAGAACATCTTTGTTGTTTTTTTGGCTTTGAAGAGGACAAAACAGTGAAACTGAGGGTGTTTTCAGTCATTTAGAAGGGTCATTTGAAACTGCTGGGTTAATCTTTGTCTAGGCCCTGAAAAGGCAATCAAGTGTCAGTTCACATACACAAAGATGTATATTTGCACATCTAAATCATAATCTGTTTAGAATAAACTGGTTTAGCATTCAGGCCTGAGAGAAAATCTTTAACCTTCCCCCAAAAACACTGCAGCTGACTGTTGAACACAAAAGATCTCAAGTAACAGCAGCCTATGCTGTTGATGCAAGAGAGACTGTGTTTAATACCTGGTTAGACATTCATTAGTACATACCCACAATATGTAGGTAGTTGCTTTGCTGCTTCCAATTGTAATGTTCATAGAATCAGAATAGTTTGGGTTGGAAGGGACCTCAAAGATCATCTAGTTCTAGCCCCCTTGTGTCATAGGCAGGGACACCTCCCACTAGACCAGGTTGCTCAAAGCCTATCCAACCTGACCTTGAATACTTCCAGGGCTGGGGCATCCACACCTTCTTTGAGCAAACTGTGCCAGTGTCTCACCACCCTCCTAAGTGAAGAATTTATTTCTTCTATCTCATGTAAACCTACCCTCTGTTGGTTTAAAGCCATTTCCCCTTGCCTCATCACTACATACCCTCATAAAAAGTCCTCTCCAGCTTTCCTGTAGACCCTCTCTAGGTACTTGGAAAGTGCTGTAAGGTCTCCCTGGAGTCTTCTCCAGGGCGAACAGCTGCAACCCTCTGAGCCAGTCTGCAGAGCAGAGGTGTCCCAGCCCTGTGAGCATCTTTGTGACCCTCCCCTGGACTTGCTCCAACATGTCCATGTCCTTCTTGTGCTGAGGACCCCAGAGCTGAATGTAGTACTGCAGTGGGGACATATGTAATAGCTTCTGTTTTCCTGTCATGGCATTGTTCACTGCATCAGCTAAAAAGGCAGAAATGACTGCATTCATAAGGTGAAATTCAGATAGACATAGATTTTATTTCTGTATGGATTTTAATTTTTACATCAAAGTACTTCAAATGAAAAGTTTTCAGAAATACTGCCTCTGCGATATTTTTCCGCTTTGTTGGAAAGTCATGTAATGTAGAACTGTAGATGTGACCAGGAAGCGTAGCAGATGTGAGAACTGCTGTTCTCACAGAGTTCTGCTGCAGGGAGAGTGGTGCAGTCTGAGAAACTAGAATAGGGCAAAGGCAGTAGAACATACTGTTAAATTTGTCCTATTGGGCTTGCAGAAAAAGCTGTGCGATGCTTGCTTTGGAAGTTTTGCAAATTATACATTTAGCGAACAGGCAAGTAGGCAGATGCTATTCACATTAGCTCCTCAGAATATTTTTTTGGAACAAGGACATTTGCTGTGTTGTCTGGGTAGGTATTTTTGAACACAGTTTTGCATATATGACTCATGAAATAGTAAGTGTTTAAATATGAGATCACAAAACAAGACCAGTTTTTATTCTGTTTATGCAGAAGAAACATGGCATTTGCACTCAGTTACCTAAGCAGAGTGCATCAACAGGGTTGGTATTTTCTGATGCTTTGTAAATAATGTTGGCTATTGAGATATTCAGATTGTTTTCTGTAATACTGACACTTTTCACTGGGAACTGTTTGACAAAAACTAAATTACAGTTGTTTCAGTGATTTCAGTATGTCAGTTGGCAATGATGATTATTTTATTTCTATGGAACAGAAGTCAAACAAAAACATCTTAGCAAATTTTATTGTATGCTGAGGGGTTTTTATGCATTCTATGTCAACTTTTTCCATAAAGATTAACAATAACGATAATAGGTTGTTGATGAAAATAATGTCTTGTGAATGTGCCTATGAAATAATGTGATTGACTGGTATTTTTTATATTGCTCAAATCCTGATGTGTTGGGTGATAAAGTACAGCATGGGTGACATTGGCTGCTTGTTCTATCTGTTACTAATTTTTGGCTGAAATCTTATGACCAGTTATTTGATGTTTGCTCAAATACTACAAATAAATATTACCCAGTAAATATTTCTCTCTAAAACTGAATTACGGTCAGGTGTGTACTTTTTACTTTGTAGAGTCAAAAATAATTTTATCCACATGAATGAACCTCCTTTTCCTGAAAGTCATCTGTGTATTAAGTGTATTTCTCTATTTTATTTTTTTTTTCACATTTTCTAGTTTGTGTGGGATGGGTGCCTATATGTTGGCTTTGGAGCTTGTTAATGAGCTGAGTCTCCATCAAAGTGAAGTACCTAAGTATTCCAATTTTCATATTGATACTTGCCTTTCTAGTTGCTGTAGAAGGTACATGGTGACTCAGTTTTTCTTTGCTGATTCACTGATCGTTTGCAACTCTCCTTCATAGTGCAATAGTTTTCATAGTTCACTTTACTTTGCTGGAAAACGTGGCTCATGTTCATTGTGGTGGAATATGAGGGCCAGTGACATGTTTCTGACTTCTGTTAGTTATTAGCCTTATTTAGTGTCTGCTTGCATGCAGACATGAACCTCTTGACATAGTCATACAGTTATTTTCAGATGTTCCCTTGAAGAGCCTTATTTAGTGAGATCAACATAGGTGAAATTAAAATTCTTTCAGTAACATCTACATTAGAGGAAATAACACTAATATTTTCTAATAGACCTTATAAATTCCTAAGCAAATTCACAGGCTCTTCTCCTGGCCCCTCACTACTGGCCTCTGAAAAACTAAGCTAACCTAAACTTTCCCAGTGTCCAGCATTTACATGTAGACCTGTGAGAGAGGGTTGGGAATGCTGTACATCCATAATTGTCATTGTCAGCACTCTGTCGTTGTGGGTGCTAAGGACTTGTGGACTGCTGGAAGTAAAGGTGTCCAAAATTAGTCAATATTTGACTCCTGTTTGTATTTATAAAATGTAAAAAATATTGGATGCTCTTCCTTGGGTATCTTTGTCTTGCATTTAGCAATACTTCACAAGAAAACAGTTCTGGTTCATTCATGAATGCTCAGAATGCTCTTTTTATTGTGTAAGAATGCAGAGTCCTGCTTTTGCTAGAGTATGGTAATGATTTTGCCTAAAGTCTTAATTACAGAATAGTCAGAGGAAAGACAGAAACTAATTAATTCCTGAAGAAATTTTGACTTCAGGACTTTAATATTAATTTTTAGTTACTTGAGAGTATGCAGTGGAAAATCCCAGCTGTAACCTATCCTGTCCTTACATTGTCCCTTCCAAATCCTGAGGAATTTTGAAAGTATTTTAAAAATCATAATGTGATGAGTAAAATAAGAAGTTTCAGAGATGGGGCTTTTAACATTTTCTAGGTTTCTCTACTGCTGTACATTGGAAAAAAAAGAGTTCTAATCATGGTTTTCTGTTTCAGGACTTAAAATGGCAGGAGAAGATTCCTATATTATGGGAGTATCTGATCCCCAAGTAAGTGGATTTGTATGTTTTCAGTATACCTGTATCCTCTTTGTAGCTCTCTGTTTAGGTTTTATCTCATTCTATCCTGTCATTTTCTAGGCTTAACAACATGGACATATCAAAGCATTTTGCACTGAAGAAGTCAGATTTGGGGAAATCTAGTTTGTTTTTTTTCCCTTAAGATGATTTTTATGTGATCTGTAAAGTGCCTTGCCACTAGTTAAATGGTTGAAATGTAAAGGAAAGCTAGACCTGCTGAAATAAGCATTTGAAAAAATTACTTATTTTTATGCCCTGCCTGCCTGTGACACTTACTGTGAAGTTTCTGCTGTGGTGGACAGTGGACTTTTTCTGAAAATAAAACCCCTTATGCCATAGAAGGCCTTTTTGTGTAATTTTTTATGATATTTGCATTGACATAGATGAGTAAAATGTTCCTTCACTCATACAGATTGGTAGGCATAACTTATCAGGTCTTCCTGATCTCATTAGATCTGAACTGTGAAAATGGTGCTTGGGTGAAAAGTTTAAAGAAAGAACAGATCATTTCTACTCACCTTAATTTTCAAAGAGCAAGTATTTTCTCCTTTATACTTGTTCCACTTTGGAAGTAGATTTATACCTGACAACAATTACAGTGAGTTAAGATATGTCAGTGTTAAAAAAAAAATAAATTAAACTTTAACCTGGGTATACTGTTTCTTGCATTAGACCTTGTCAATATATTTACATAAGGAATGTAGTCTGGTGAGGTTTAATCAGAGAAGTGAAAATGAAAACTCACAGGTTCTCAGCAAGGCCTTGGGCAAGACATCTAGTGTCAGATTTTCAAAATTTACTGTATAAGCTCTTTTGAATATATAGTTGTTAGTGCATGTAAGCAAAATGCACATTTACAAACTGTGCTGAGGTCGGTGCGGTCTCATGATAGTGGTGGAACTTGGGGCAGTGCTATCAGCTCTACTTGCACTGCTGTTACCAGTAAAAATAAATTAGCTAGAAGATGTTCATGTAATTCAACAAAGTGTTTGCAGTCTCAATATTTGCAGAGAACTTTGAAATTCTTTGCTGATAGATGCTTTATGCAATTATGTATACATGTAATAATGAAGAGTATATTTTCTTTCAATGTAGATGTTTGCAATGGATCAGTTCATGGGAATGAATGCATTATTTAATAGTACAAATTACATCCCTTCAGACTTACCAATCCGAACAGGTAAGAACCATTAGTATTTAATGGTGCTGTTGTCCTACTGATTATTCCTGTTTGTTTCCTTTTGTAAAGTTCTTTTCAGAGGCTTTTTTTTTTCAGTCTTTCATAATACTAGATTGCAAAGTTGTCAACTAGATTTTTTTTTTACATCTTTTTGCATCTCTTTCTTACCCACGTGAAACTTTCAGCAGTGAGGCAAATCTGATTCTCTTTTGGCTTGTACAGAAACTGAAAGTTTCAACAAGTTTCCCAGCTCAAACCAGAACAGTGACCAAAGAGCTTTGAGTGATCTGATTTTATGAATTATTTTGTATTGTGTTTTTTCTTAATTTGTGCCTTCAGTGACCTACCTGTTTATATTGCCAGGTTGCACTTCTTTTCCTTTTGAACACTTTCAGTTGTTGTAGGTGTTTGTTTTTCACTAGTAAAATGCAGAGAATATTAACTTCCTGTGTTTTTCCTTCTCTGTGACTTCTCTGTTTCCTGTAAAGTGGCAGTGTGGTATAAGAAGTACCTGGCAATTTCCTGAATAATAACACTCGTTTAAAAGTTCAGAGTCAAATTTTGCAACAAACTGCTGAAAATAAACAAATAGCATTCTGCAGAGGTCTGATATGCAGCTCTTACAGTACGATTCAAGAACAGTAATAACAAATACAAGGCCATTATAGCTCAGTCAGTATTAGCTGCTTGATCAACCTTAGTCTGGTTTTGCTTATTAAATTTCTATATTAATATTACTTCTTGCATGAATTGGGAAAATTCTTTTTTCCTGCTTAGTTTATTGGAATAGCTGATATGAAAGGAAGAAGGAAATAAAATTTTATTTAAGCTTATGTGGTTTTTTTTCAATATATATATCTCCAATGTAGCTATTAATGTCTTTTAACAGGAGAAGTTTCTGTTGTTATCTATTTGACTGTTGTATCAGGATGTAGCTAGTATCTTCTGTATTACAAATTACTTTTGTTTGTTGAAAGTGAAAACCACTTCTGCTTGCAATATTTGATACACTTGACAGCAGTAAAGGTAAGAAAGGGTAAAATGAAATAAACATTTAGCATTTTCCTTTGTAGGGAAAATTCCACCCTGAAGTAACAATAAATGCTGACTTTAAAATAAAAATGAAGGCATGCTTACTGTTTTAGTGTTTCCTTGATTAAACCATGCTTTACTTTTCTGGACTGAGTAGTAGGAAGAAAGGATCAAGAAACTCATATGGTACACATAATTTTGTTTCAAGATACAATGTTCTGATGAGCAAAGCTCTTGACGAATATGGACAAACACCCAACAAATAATTGTTGCAATCATTTGTTTGCAATGTGGTTTTATTAAGACAGATAAAATTATTCTCTAAACTCATCTGTGTAGGATTAAATAGCTTTTGCACTGTATACCAAGAGATTTTTTTCGCTGTCTTCCCAGAGTTTCTGTGGAACAAATAAGGTTATGGAAATTTCCCCATAAGGAGCTCTCTTACACGTACCTTGTAAGCATACTCTCTACTCCTCATGCCAGATCATTCCTTCCATACCAATTATTCATTTATATAAAACTTACTTTCAGGTATCTATGTCCTGTCTAAAGTAGAAAACAGGTGTTTTCAAAACCGTGTCAGGGAGTCAAGGATTCATTGAGTTCTGCAGTCACAGAAAACTCTTACTGAGCTAAGTCTAGTTTAGTCCTTAATTTACAAAATTGCTTAGAAAAAGGCCTTTTTTTAATATGTGCCACTGCTCTTGTCTACTGCTGCACTATAGCTGCTTAGTTCCCTGTATACAAAATAGGATTCAGTAAAGAATCCTGCATTTCAGATTATTGCAAACGAAAAGTTAAGATTTAGAAAAGCTTGACAGCATCTAATGATGCCATAGTCAGTTTGTTTCTTTAGTAGTATCACTGTATTGCTTACTTCCTCCCCTGCTTAAAACTATGCTGTGTTGTTATTATGGACTAGCTCTTAAGTTGTAAGATAATATAATAATTTATTTAATCTGCTTCAGTGGTTTCCAAGCAGGGACTAATTAATGATATCTTTCTACACAGTGAGGTTAGTTAAAAATTCATGTGGGATTTTCCAGGAATACTTCAGCTGAGATATGGAAAGAGTGAAATAAATGTTCTAAAAAGGGTTTTTTTCTAGGACGGTTGTATGATCTTTCAGTCTGTGCATTCATAAATGCACAATGTCAGACCTATTACATTGGCAGACAGGTTTAATATATAACCATGGATTGCCGTATCATGCCAGTGTACCTGAATCAACAAATAGCTGGGGAATTTGGGGACTTTCTGATGATAAACATTCTGCTGTTATGTTAATATTTACAGTAATAGTAGAAAACCTTTGAGATGTTGGGACAATGATTTTCTCAATGACATTGTTAGTTCTCAAGTGTCTTTGCTCACTTCTTTTTCTCTCTCATGTATGCCAGCTTTAAATAAAAATTAGGATTTGTTATTTTATCTCTAAAGCTGTAGAAGATAATTACATGGTTCAAGTTCTACATTTGCATCTACGTCTAGAACGAGTAGTCTCTGTGTGCGTTTGGTGGAAAAGAGATGGATCTATAACAAGTGCCATAACAGTGCAAGTTACAGGATGGGGCTGTGTGTTTAAAACAACACCACCAGCACAGCCAGTATGTCACAAAGTCAGCCTCTTCTTTGGCTCATTGGGAAGTATCCTGCCTTTCAGAGTTAGGTACTGAACCTCAGTGGCATCAGGGATGGAGGGAGCATTATCCATGGCATGTTTAGACAGTGTGAAAGCAGGTACACATCAATGGGATGTCCACTGTGTAGAGGAGAGACAAAGTGATGCCTTACACTGGAGAGGAAATGGGCAGAGTTGTGGGCAAAGTGGTTTATAATTTGGGATGTTTCTTACTTGCTCCTGATTATACAAAGTCATCTACAACCATGGAACACAGCAATCTGTGTGCCAGTTAGAGGTGGTTCCAGGAACTGGTTAATTGTTTTGTGTTCTAGGGGCTCTGGTCTAACTAGCTCTTGGCATTAAGTGGTGTGTTTTTAAACCTTTGAAGTTGAAGCAGGGCCATCAGGAGCTGAACATTATTGCCTGGAGTCTGCTAAAATTAGTTTTCTGGTATTTCTTTAACCTCCTCTGTCCATCCCTGTGTGATGCTTGCTGTTCAGAAATGAGAAGGGCATAGAGGGAAAAAGAAGGTGCTTAAAAAAGCTTTATTTCATATTTTTTCAGGGAGAGATACAGTTAAGAGATTCAAGGAAGCCCAACCATTACCAAAACCGAAATGGGTGTTCATTTTCCCTGTCCCAGGCAGTGGCCCTAACCCTCAGAAGCTTGAACAGACTTGCATACTGTTTCTGCTGTTCTTTCTAGATCTTCTGTGCTTGTGTTTTGAAGAGTGAAGTGAGGGAAGAGGTTAAGTAAAGCACATGTGCTGCTTGCTTTAAACATCATGCTTTGAACACTGAAGTTGAGATTGGAAAGTGTGTTCTTGTGCAGGTGAATCACTGACAGGGAGGACGTGCAAATGCTACAGCAGGTGTTCAGGAAGGATAAGGCACTAGGTCTTGAGTCTGAGCTTTTAGCAACAAGGTACCAGTGCCAGAATGGACCAACAAGAGGGTTGGTGTAGGACTTAACAATCAAAACCTAGAGACCGTGAGTGTTTTCATCCATGTCCATTCTATAACAGCAATTATGAGGGTGAGATGCCCATTCTGGGAGATCCACAAGCAGAGAGAAGGTAAGCAGGAGACTTGTCCACAGCTGGTTGCAGGTTAAATTGAATGGCTTCAGGTACTAGCTAAGCTGTTAGATAAAGGACCTCACTGGTCCAACAGTGCTGCCAGGCTTGCAGACATATCCCACCAACCTTACAGATCCCTTTTTCCTTGATTTTTGTTACAGTAGGAAGAAGGAATCAAGAGGGAGCCTAAGATGGGTGCTCATTTGGAAGTGTGTGTGTAGGGTGAGGCCTGTCAAGAGGAAGAAAGAATGTAAGTGGTGGGAGTGTCAGGAGGCAGGATGACCTCTGACTCAGGCAGGAAGGAAAATGAAGAAACTTAGCAGCTGAAGAAGACGTGGGGAAGTGGGACTGTGACTCAGGCTGGAGGTGAGGCAGCGGGCTGCAAGTTGGTCTGTGGCAACCGAGGTGAGGAGATGGAAAAAGAAGCCCTGAAGCATACCCAAGATGTGGCAGTCTGCACCAAAGCCCCTCCGTGCTGGAGGACTGCATGTTTTAGTTACAGTTCTTGGCCCTCCTGGCTGCAGCAATGCCAGGCAAATCGTGAGGAGTGCTCGTGTCAGAACTTGGCTCTTGGCAACCATGAGAGTGATCCCTGTGTGAAGGCCAGCTTCCTGACTGTGTGCCTTCAGCCTCTCTGTAGGGCAAAAGTAGAACTTAAGCTATACATTAGGTAGTGTTCCTTCTTGTGGTTGTTTAACATTTAAAAGGGGGTTGCTTGTTAAACAAGAATGTGAAGCAATCAACCTTCCAGGCTACAACAGAGGTGCAAAAAATCATCACAAATCTCGTCATTATTAGTTTCTCTTACAAGGTGTTTATCTTCAGGTTCCTGCTCTCTGTCTGCTTAGACCAGACATGCCTAGTAATAGAAATGAAATATTAAAAGCTTCCCTGTGCAAAACACTAAATGTCTTTTTTTTTTCCGTGGGAAATTATGAGTGAAAGAAGGAACCACACATAGCCAATGTTAGGCTGTCGAATGTACTTCTGGGAAGTATTCAGAATTTAGTGAAGACAGTTGTATGAGACTTTTCATGGGGTAAAATCCTTTCTATGATCAAAATTATATACCATTTATGCTTGTATGTTTTCTTGAACATTGCTGCTTAATTTTTAAATAGCATGTCAGGTGTAATTAAGGGCATTGCACTTTGCTGTTATTTGGGTCTGGTTCAGATGCTATGCTAGAAAATTACTTAGTCGCTGTAAAAGAAAATGTTTAGTCGCAAAACCCAAGAGTTGAAATAAGACCTCACAAAACTGTGTTTTAAATACATTGGTATATGATTTATATAATATGATTAATGATAACAGCCATCTAGTTTGCCTTTGCACATTTACACTGCATCTTTTTGCACTTTCCTAGTGCTAGTATGTAAGATTTTTATTTATTTTTTTAGTCGGTATCTTTGTCAGCTTTTTATAAACTTTTTTCCAAGTGGGAAGAAGAACCACAGTCCCAAGGTTTTAATTTCCCTGAGTTTTCACAAGTGTTGTGCAAGATCAAACCATTTCAGTGTTGTAAACAATTTCCTTTGAACTTTCCAATATGCCAAGATAGTGTATATTCCTCTCTTAGGAATTTGCATTTCCTTATGCTGAGGAAAAATTGAAACTTGGATCTGCTGCATCCTGGGGGACTTCTGCAGCCACTTAGCCATAGGATAAGAACGCTTCCTTTTCTGGCTAATGTTTGAGAGAAAGGGAAAGTACTTTGTGTGGATACTAATCCAATGTGTATACCTAGAAAATGAATTCCTAAGAGGAGAACAACCAAAGAACAATTACTTTGCAGGTCGTGCCCTCAAGGCTTGGTTGAATGTTGAACTACACAGTTGTATTTTAGGTGCATTGTTTCTGCCAGTGCCCAGAAAATACAAGGCTTCTGGATTGTTAAAGTATAAGATTTCAGATGCCTAAAGCATGAGGAGGGTTAGAGGTCTATGAACAGAGGTCTTAAATTTAAGTGCTGATATGTTGCTTAAACCAAACTCAGTTCATCTTGACTCTGTTACAGACAAAAATTGAAACATAAGGCCAAAGCTAAATATTGCTCTACATCTTTTTAAGTTGAGGTCCAAACTGTTTTTCATGCTTTCTAATGTAAGGTCGTGTGTATATGGTCTTGAGGCAATTTTTTGCATGACTTCAAGTTTACATATGAAAGGACAAATGTTTGCCTTAGGAAATAAGTTATCTTTATATGTGAAATTGTTGTGACTGACATTTGCAATATAACTTTGGCATGAAGATTATTCAGTGGCTGAGTCAGCTAACTGCAGCAGTAGAACACTGATTTCATCCACTGGTGTATTTATCACAACTTCCATGTTGAGAGAAGCTTGTTCAGTTAAGACCTGTGCTGACCAAAGGCATGAAGGTCTATTTTATTATAATGAAGTAGTACTGAGGAGCTGAGATGGATGCATGTAGTCATATTACAAAACATACGTTAATTAATCCCTTGCTGTTTTTAATTATTGCTAAACATTGGGCTTATTGGCAAACAAAAGTTGATGCAAGTATGTAGTTCTGTGCTGAAGCCAACTTCTATGTAGTTGGTGCGGTACTTGCAGATGGTGCAGTTGTTCAGAGGCAGATCACACCTGGATGTGGCAGGGCATGGAATGCTTTGTGTGCTTGCTGGCTCTGCCACATCGCTGTGCCTTGTCTGCTTTGGAGGAGTCGCGTGTCCCAGTGAGCTTGCTTGATTCCTCAGCATTAATGCCTTTAATAGAGTAGAAGTGGTGATATGTAATTCTGACAGGAATATGGCTGGCAAAATATTATGTAGGTATTCACAGTGAAGCTGTTGTTTGGGATCTACTTTGAAAACAACTGATTTTTTAGCATTGAAATGCAAATCTTCTTGTCTGCTTAGCAAGAGGCAGGGAAGAAATCATACCTCTTGGAACTGTTGTTTTCAGACTCCTGAGTGGCTTGCATTTGAAGAGGTATTTCACAGCCATCCGCCTAGAGAGCTTTCCTTCTTGATGTGAATAATCTAAATAGTCAGAGCTGGAACTAAGCTTTGATCAGATGATGAATTCTTAACTCAGGTGACACTGAATTCTCATTGGATTTAGGGTCTGCTCCAAGACCATTTAAACTGGTGAATTTTAAATGAGGTTTATAGTATAAAGTTAACCACCGTACGAGACTGAAAGTTGTTTAAGGAAGCCGTCTTCAAAAGATGTAAGTAGAATTTTAGTAGAACATAATCCTCTGTATTGGCACCATGATCAAGATGGATCTCAATAGAGAGTCTCCATCTCTAAACAAATTGAGTGCATTCAGTGTTTTTAGAGGCACAGCAGAACAGTATATTTAGAAGTGTATCTGAAATTATTAAAAGAATGTAAATTGTTTAGTCTTCTCAGTTCCAGGATTTTATTTAAAGCAGCTCTGACTGTTAGGGCATGTTGAGGCAGCTTGAATTCCTCTTGTATTCCCATACCTCAGAGCTTCCCATTGGCTGTCTCCAGACTTTCGAAAGCACCTATTCAGTAGGAAGCCCTAAAGCCAAAAGCTTGTGAGTATAGTCTTTAGAGCCCAAGGGGTTTAAATACAAAAGTTAACCTTAGCTCAAGAAGGCCAGGCTGCTTGTCAGTGAGGGGAGGATCCTGTTCTTATTCACTGTTGCAAATTTTAACTGAGTGATCAGTTGCCCATTTAGGCCCTCTGAGCTAAAATTAACTTTTTTGAGTTAATCCTTCTCTTCTTACTCCACTGGTCTCTAGGAACGCTGGAAATGACAGACCGCCAAGTGATTAAATTATTTCTTGAAATTTAAGTTCTGAGGAGACTTAGGTGCTTTCAAAAATTTTATCTCAAGACATTCAAGGACGTAATTGTACCCCTGCAACTTATATGTCATAGTAATAAAAATATAATTTCTATTAATACTTTTCTTTCTTTTATGTTAGCAGATGGACCATATCTTCAAATCATAGAACAGCCAAAACAGGTAAGAACAAGACTACATTTTGAAAACGAATTACTACATTCAGCCTTGAATAAATTTAAGACTAGAAAGAAAGAGTACAGAAAAGGCTGAACTCTCAGAACAAATGTGACACTTGAACATGAGCATTTTTAACTCTTGTAGTTAAATCGTTGCCTGTTTTGTTTTGTTTTCATCTTTGTGTCTCTGTGGAAGTGTCGTAATACAAAAAAACCCCGAGGATTTTAAAAGTATGTCTTGCTAAGTGACATCTTAGAAATGACTCTTGCAGGACCCCAGTATTTGGAAATATAAACTAGCAGACCAAACACGGAAAATTTTTAGGATTTGTTTCATGTTTCTTGAAACACAAGAAGGAAAAAAGAAAAACACTTCACTCTGTTCCCAAATTACAGGAACTTTTGACTTGTGCTTTGTCATGTTAAAGAAATTCAGTTCTTTGAGATTCCTTTTGTTGTGGTTGTCTGTTTTGAATAATCCAAGAAAAATGAAGATAAGTGCTTGAATGTAACTTTTTGTCTGATTATGTAGCAAACACTGACTTTTGTTCCTCTGATAGCAGAAAAGTTATTCCAATTCACTGGTTAGTTTTCGTGCAGCTGATGTACAGAGTGATTGCTGGGTAAAGATTGCCCTCAAGTATTGCCTGGGTATTGTTCCCCTTTAGCTGGTGGCACCTGCAATTACAGGGATTCTTCCTGAAGCTGTTACAGTATGGAGGCGCCTTTCCTGTCTGCCCCAATGAGTTACAGAAAACCATACCTTACAGAGCTGTTCAGTAAACAGGAGAAGAGGGTGGCTAAAAGCTGTCCCACTCTCCTCTTGGTCTTCTACAGAAGCATAACACAATCCAGTCTTCCTGGCAGGATGCAGTGGCGAATATGGTTTCAATCACACAGCAAAGACATTTTTGTGCTTGAGCACTCATCCAGAGTTAGGAACTCTTCATCATAGTCATAAGTGAAACAGCAGTGTACTGTGAACTCTTGGAATATGCTGCCTCTTCCTTGTTTTAGTTCATTCCAAATCAGGCCATGTCTTTGTATGGTGGGCCTGACAGGATACAGTAGGTAAGGAGAAACCATTGTTTCCATGTGTGACTTCTCAGCAAGTGGCTCCTCTTGTGGAATACCCATGTGGCAAGCTGGGCAATGGTTTTTAACACAGTGATGAGGGTGATTCATCAGCAGAGGGCTGAGCTTACAATCACTGTTGGAACAGACAGATGAGGGGAGTAAGACTGTGTGTGTGAAAATATAGCTAGGACAGCAAAGAAAATAGACTGAGAAAAGCCACACAGGTGACTGCTGGGTCTGCTGGTTTGAAGGCATCAAGGTGAAGAGAGACTGGGTCATCTCCTGTATCCTGGCTGCAGAGGGTGCTTTGCCTTTTGGAGAACTTGAGCTCAAGCTCATCATAGCTGGGCACTTCACTTGCATACTCTTGGTCACTCAGTTCACCTTGGGAAGGCAATATCTGAAAAAAAGTCAGATCTTTAGATTTGCCTTGGAAACAAGTTCTTAACCTGAAAAGACTTTAGTGAGATGGGTATTGGAAGCTAATGTTTACAGAGTAGTTTTAAATCGTGTTGTTTGCTTTCAGCTAATATAGACTTTGAATTCAGAGTTGTCTTCTATTAGAGAGAAGCTGAATGACTCTTGACAAAGGGTGCCACACTAACTGGTGCTACTTGAACAGACACTGGGATCTGGGGATGATGGGGATTTTGCCAGAAATTGCAGGACTGGAGAGTAGATCTGAGTGGAAAATTGGGGGCCACATGAAATATATGGTTAAGTAGAGTTAGAGTTAGCAAATACACTTGCTTAAGATTTGCATCTCTTGTGCCTTATGGATTACTGTGTTAAGTAAACGGGATGTTATTTGCTATAAATAAAAACAGAATCAGTGGAGGGCTGTGCTCTGGACTGGTTGCCAACATCCTACAGTTCTCTAAAGTATATTCAGATGTCTATTTATGTAACTGAGATGAAAACCCAGCCAAAGTCCACTGAAGCTTTTGTTCTCTTTCTGGACTTCACTGGTAGATAACAGCTTTCATACACTTTTCCCAGAAGGAAGAAGCATTTCTTCTGTTTCATTCCTATTCTTTCCTTTATGATGCTTTGGACTTCATTATTATTGGCTTCAATTTCGTCTGCCTAACAGCAATCATGGGAGAGAGTATCTGCTCTTGCATTCTGTGCATGTTAGTTTTTATCCTATTTTGGGAGTGTTAATAGATCTCTGCTTTAAAATATCTTAACTGAAAGAAAAAAATTCAGGTTGCTGCTGTGTGTAAGAGAGAATAGAACAGTTTCTCCAGAGCTACAGTTCAGTTGTGCTTTTTTAACCAGCACTCAGCATTTCGGGGAGTTGTAACTTTTCCATTTGGGCAAGTCTTGTTTGTATGTGTGCATGTGCTATTTTTCTTTTGGTTTTGTTTCAGAACGCCTTTCAAGTTTCTTTTCCTTTCTTTCCGCAGAGGGGGTTTCGTTTTCGATACGTGTGCGAAGGACCTTCACATGGTGGACTTCCTGGTGCTTCTAGTGAAAAGAACAAAAAATCTTACCCTCAGGTCAAAGTAAGTACATAAATCATTAATTTTCTGAACTGAATGCAAGTGTCATATGTATGTGTAGAGTTATGGCATAGCAACATAAATTTGTATGAAATTACTCAAGAGTGACTACATTTCAGTCCCAACTTTCAAAATGTGATTGATTTTGAAAATAAAGATTTCTTCAGATTTGTGGGGTTATTTTGGCACCATTTTTATCTGCCAGCAGTTGGGCAGTAAGCTTTCCTGCACCAACCACCTCGCTGCCCTTGTGCGGAGTAGTGGAGCTCTTCCCTACAGTGCAGTTTTAGCATGAAGCAAGGCCTGAGCTGTTCAGTTGCTCCACTTCTATTGCAAAGCATGAGACTGCTTAATTATTCCACTTCACTCTGGGATGCTATTTACCAAGCTTTCCTATTTTTTCTGGTTTTGTTATTGCTTATTCAATACCTCTAGGATACTCTGTTCTTAAGAACTTAATTCCTTTACAGTCAACTTAAAACTTCTCATTTTAATAGTTACAATGTTATGTTCAGGTGTTGGCTGAACTCTTTTGGTGGATTTTTTTTTCCCCCTGGAAAAAATTCAAATATGTTAATCAAAGGAATGTTCTGTGGAGGCATAATATGAATATTAGTGATTAGTCATTCTGGGATTGGACAACTGTCTTTGCCTATGGTTCTTGCAGCAAGTTCCTTTTCTGTGGAAGTTGGGAAAATGTACACTGCATCTTTTCAGTATTTTTTAACTTAAATGGAAGTCTTGGTCTTATTACCTTATGTCTTTGAACTATTGCACTACAGATTATCTCATGAGGTGCACAGTTAATGTATTCTAATTCTGGTGTAACTTCTTAGTGTATTTTAATTCTGGTTTTATCTCTTACTCCTTTGTGGGGAAAGAAGAGGAGGGAAGAGTGGCATACAATCAACCTCTGTCTTGGTGCGTGCCTCTCCTCAGTATGTGTGTAGTTCATTTGCAGGTCTTGGGAAAGGCTGGAGTTTGGAACAGTTGCATCTCCATAAGAATCAGTATAAGCATGACTCAGTGGAAAATAATCAGCATTGACTGAGCTAGCCTAGGCAGTTAGTCTTGCAAACTGAGAAGGCGGGAAAGCTGATTTCATATAGCCTTGCAAAACTCCTATGAAAAATTACTAGCCCAGGCAAATGATCTGCTTGCTTTCCTCTTTCCTATTTTGACAGTAATGATGAACCAATGAATGAAATTTCACTGGTATGTTCAGATATAAAATAATTTACTTCAATTGAACCCAATGCTCGGATTCCAATCTAATTGTATATTGATAATAATGCAAGGGATACTTTATAAAGATGTGATAAGTCACACAATAGCATGACAAGGAGATATGCAATGAGGAGTTATACAGGAAACTAGAAAGCACGATGTTCTTTGGCTTTCCATCAAACCTTCTAATTTCATTGATCATCAGATTTTAATTTCATCTAAAGCTTCCCCACACACACACGTCCCTTCCCCTCCCTCCTGTCCTACTGTGTGCATCTGGGTTTTTTGCTAGTACAAATCCCCACATGGCAACACCTGCTGGGAGAGGCTGGCAAGGGAACACAACAAGTAAATTCCTCAAGGCCATTGCTTGTTAGTGCCTGTTCTTGATTCAAGTGGTGCCAGTAAAGACTGAAGTGTTTCACACCTTTTCCTGTAAGTCTCTTCTGTGTTTTGTCAGTGTGCTCACCTTGTCATAACTGAGGGGAGCACAGCTGAAGATTGCTATTTTTTGTTGTGTTGGGGCTTTTTGTTTTGATTTTTTTTATGGTTTTGGTTGGTTTTTTTACTCTTGTGCCACTGTTTTCACAATAAAACCTCCATTATTAGTTGATCACAGTGCAGTGAAAGGACAGTAGCATGAGCTTTGGCTGTGCTGTAAAAAACGAGACTTTGTGGCAGATCTTTAAACCTTGGCCATGATGTGGTCAGTGCAACTCACATTCGGATCTGCTTTCTGCTTGGCCAACTCTGCACAGAAAACTGATATAATTTACCAGTAGCTACCATAGAATGTCCTGAAAATAGACATCTTCATTGCACTAAAAACCATTGCAGCCTCCCTGCTTTGTTTTCGTAGGATTATCGACTGAAGGCCGAAAGAAAATACATTTATGTCATATGACCTCTTGCATAATGTGGGCTGTCCGACTTCACCATTGTTTTTTCTCCCTGCACCATCACTAACTTGTAGTTAAGCTGGAACACATCAAGATGCATCTTTCATATAAAGACTAGAGTTTTGAAGACTTTGCTATATCTCTACGCAAGATGTTTTGGTAGTTAATTAAGTACGTTACCACTTCCTGTATAGTATATTCCTAAATGGTGTAGGTGAGGAGTTAGTGCAGCAGTTCTGCAATGCCAGTCTTTACACTTAAATCAAATGTACACTGGACAGCAAGGTGGAATTGATGTAAAATCTCTTGTTTTAATGGAACAGTCCTGACAAATGGAGTCTAGATAACAGCAGTATTTTTCTATAATATAAAAAGGGGATTCATTTATGGTTTATGGAATTATATTCCTTTGTCTAGCCCTTTCTTTGCTAGTAATCCTAATATGTAGAAAACATCTTGCATATTCAGAGGATTCTATACAACTTGGCATGTTATTATAGAGAGCAGAGAAGTTGTAGATAATTAATATGTTATAATGAAGTTACATTTCATGATTGCAGTAGAAGGCTACCTAAAATGCTTCATTTAAATTTCACTTTCATTCACTTAGTGCAAGTAACACAATGCTGGAAAATTTTACTGTCTAGAACAGTTGAAATCAAAACTTCTGAATTGCTTGTTTGTCATTAGCTTTTTGTCCAGGGAAAAAAATCAATCAATAGTATAAGACAGAATAAAACTGGAAAATCAAATATTATCAGTAGCTTACTTAACTAACTACATTTTTTATTTATAATTTGCTTGGGTTTTATGTACTTGAAAAAAAAGTGAGAAAACTTGTACAGAAGATTTCCAGTGGCCTCACATGTTTCCCATGTGTGTTTTGATCTTGCATACTGTTATTAGTGTGGACATACTCATGTTTTACACTGAAGTGCTTGATCTGGTTTTAGGTGTGAAAATGGGCTGAAAATAGTGAAGTTGCTGTGTATGTGTGATTAGAGTGATTAGAAAGAGAAACAGGTGTTTTTGTAGTTGCTGGCTTTGTAGGTTTCACATGGTCTTTTCCATAATTTGCCTTCTGTTGTTGACCGATTGGTTTCTCTTCTTGCTTGAAAGAGTAACTGGAAGAATCATCTTTGAAGTAGGAAAACATTCTTATAAAGTTTTTGCAAAATTTCGGAAACTATAAAAATTGGCTGGGGTCTGGATTGCAGGACGATGGGAATAACTGAAAAAACTTTCAACTCTTGGTTTGAAATTGACTCAACTTTGAGTTCACAGGGTCCTTTTCATCTTTCAGACAAATCTCTCATACAGAAACAGCAGATAAGTGTGAGCCTGCAGCATTTTAACTTTATCAGATCAATTGAATGCTGCTTCAGTACAGGATATAATCGAGTATTACAGCTATACTCTTCCCAGGAACTCCTTATTTTCTTTTTTTGCTTCATCTTTAATTTGAAGGTTAAAAGGTGATTTTTTTTTTATCACAACTCTCATTTTGAGCCATACAGCACTCACATGCTATCTCCCTCCCATGCTGAGTATATGATTTTTTGTCAACACCATAATCCCTATGATTATATAGATATTCAGCATTGTAACATAACTTCTACCTTTTAGTGCCTTTGACAGTGTTTTTTAAGTTTGTACATAAAAGGTGATAGTTACTTAATACCAGCATATATACCTTAATATATACCTTAATACCAGAATAAATTTCAAATTATTCTGAAATTGTGGCATTATTCAAGGACATGGGAAAATTATTTCAGACTTAATTTATGGTACATAAGGATATTTAACCACTCAGACTATTTTGCTGGACACCAAGATACACTGGATGTCTCAAAATCAAGTAGGAAAGTCTGCCTATAAGAAATGTAGGCAGGAGACAGTTCAGGGACATTCTGTAGCCTTTGCAACATAGGACATCAGACTGGATGACAAAAATAGTCCTTTCTTGCCTAATGACCTACATAAGGTATTATGTTTTAAGAACCCTTTTGTTTTCCCCCTGAGAGAGAGGCTACAGAGATCATGCTGAGCTGAGTAACGGGGGAGATTGCAATCTGGTTACCACTGCAGTTCTGTGTTCTGCTTTCAGAGGCTGGAAAGTCCTTGACGTGCAGCAATCCTACCTTCGGTTTCACTGTGGTTTCTACAGCTGATGAAGGATTGGCTTGAACTTTTCTGATGTGATACTAGAACATCCATGTTACTCATAATGAATGTAGTGCTGAAGATGTGCTTTAAAAAGGAGCTTTATAGCAGGGAAAGGCTTGTTTATAGCGAGGGATAAAACGAAAATATTTTTTTTAAAGCCACCTTTTTGAAAAGTTAATTGTAGTAGTGGTGGTGACATTTATCACCAAATGTAATCCTTTTTATTTTCAAATGACTTTGTGAAAGGCACATAGGAATGTTCTCACTCCTAGAATTACAGAAATAGTGTAGTGGTGACTATTCTGCATCTCTGTGTTGTTTCAGTCCAGCAGAGATTACGATTTGGAAACAGGAGGGAAGCATGAGTACCCCATGTCTTGTATTTTATAAACTAACACTTGTAAAATGCACATTAGTACAGTATTATACAGTTAAGTAGCAGGCAGTGAGTAATGAGAGAGCTTTTGCACACCTGCTTCTCCTGGAACAACTTTTTCATAGTTGGGATTTTTTTTGCTCTCAGCAGTGAATAGAAAGGCAGGGAGGGCATGCATTGTGCATATGCAAAGTGTTTCAGCTGTGATGGAATGGGTTCAAGAGTGGGGTTAACTGGAGTGAAGGAAGCTAGCAGGACTCAGTAATGTGGTGAAATCGAGGCAATCCCTCCTTATCAGCATTTTATCAACAATATAACCTTAAATATTCAGTTCATCACTGATTCATCACTTTAATGTTTATCGTGATTCTTTAATACCTTGGTTGATTAGATCTATAAGCTACTGTAATACAAAGAACTTTGCCCAAGGCAAATTAGAAGAAAAATCAGAGGAGGAGGGGAAAAAGCTCAACATTGATAAAAGGGTTAATTAAGTGAATTAGAAGGGAAGGTAATGTTTGCTTTTTAAAAAGTGGGGTAATTTTGTGTTCAGCATAATTTGAAAGTGGTGCATAACCCATAACTGACTTGGAATATTACTTGTGAGGAAAGAAAATAAAGTTCTAAATAATATATATAGAACAAATAACTTACCAATATGGTATGTTATTAGTAACTTTAGGTGTGGTTTTGAGGCATTGTTTGACATCACAGTTTCAAAAGCTGTTAAAAAATGTGTGGTGATTAGAAATTATGGCAGAGGGGAAAAAAAATTTTGTGATCTTCTAGAGTTGGCTCTATGAAAGCACACAGTTTGTCCTAGCTTTAGTCCAGCGAAATTCTCGATGGGAATTTATCTTCATATATATTTAAGGGAGATATTTACTGGACTGGGTAGTATGTGTTGATGTAGCATATTGAACTGACAAAACACCTATTAATGTAGAATTCGTTCACTTTAAAATTTCTACCTGAAGAGTCACTGTAATGAGACCAAAATGTTTTAAACCAATCATAATGTTTAAAAATAAATTTTTAAAGTATTTTCAAATTGGGCAAAACAATGCAGGGTTTTTAGTTAAATACATACATTTTATGTATGCTTTTTAACAGATGGCAGTGTTTATTGTGAATTCAGTGTTCTGATTGAAATTTAAGGAGAGCAATGTGGAGTAAATGGTCAGAATGTAAAACTGAGATTCATGATTTAGGAAACAGAAGATGTTTTCCTTTAGCTTTTTTGGTCACTACTTCTGCCATTTGTATATCAAGTTTAATTGCAAAAAAAACGTGTTGGCTCTTCTTTGTGATGATCTGGTACAGTTAGTCTTCCATTTGTATTTCATGAGGAACTGCATACACATTTCTCCTATGTAAGTTTGATTGTACTTAGCTGACAGAAAATACTCAACTGGAATTACTTGTTCCATTTAAGAAAAAAAAAAGTAAGCAAACTATCCCACATTTTTTATATTTGTTTACAGATCTGCAATTATGTTGGACCTGCAAAAGTAATTGTCCAGTTAGTAACTAATGGGAAATACGTCCACTTACATGCTCACAGCTTGGTGGGTAAATTTTGCGAAGATGGAGTGTGCACAGTTAATGCAGGACCTAAAGATATGGTTGTAGGGTAAGTCTGTCAACTCCTTTGTAAACCTGTAAGAAGCAATGCAGAAATACTACTAAGAGGCAGCTAAATGGAGCACTAATCTTCCTGCTCTGATCTATGTTTTGTTTGTATCTTAAACAGAAAAATCAATGATGTTGCTGTTTACCTTTATAGAATTTGTCCTAAGCAAGCTAAATAGGTTTTAGTAAATAATATTCACTTAGAATTTGTAGAATTTTAATCTCTTGGTGTCCAGTCCAAATTTGTATTGTAAGTCCATTCTTTAAAATGTAAATAGATTTGATCAGAGAAGGGACTAAAGTTACTGAAGAAAAGCTTTTATTACGGCTTTGATTAATATTTTATTTTTATTGAAATCTGCCACTAGGAATATAATTAAGACAAAATCATTAGAAAATAGGATTACTAAATTTGAAATTAATGCAAGACATGTATAAACATGAAAATACTAAATGAGTCAAACTTTCAAAGTTTAAAGCAGTAAGATTGTTGTGAAATTGTAGTTGGTCTGTTCTTGTTTAATTTAAAAGAATAATTGTTTATATCGGTAAATGAAGCTGAGGCTCCCAACTATGTTTTCAGGCTTAGATCAGGTTTCATGCTGGCTGTGAGTTTTAGTTCTGTGATCTCAAGAATGTCTTTGTTGGTGAAGAAGATGAAGTTTAAAAAGCTGAGAAGGTTGGGAGAGAGATATTCTTTTAAACTGTAACTTTTGATGTCCAAGCCCAGTGCACTGACTTTACCGAGAACAACAATTTAAATAGCTTTATTTTAAATGCTCCTTTTCATCTTGAAAAGTTTGGCTCATTTACTAACCTGTCTTGTTTTTCATCAGATGTCAGATGTTTAGAAACAGCTTTCCTGTCCTCACTTGACCTGCATGAAAATTGAGTTATTGTCTTGTTTTCATACTTCCAGATCTAATTGATTTTTAAATGTGCCAAGAGATTTTTACAAAAGCAGATCTTGCATCATGGAAGTTTTCATTCAAAGAGATACCTGAAGTGTCTGGATGAATGACCAGAGCCTTGTTTAAAATATTTTCTTTGGAAAATATTGCACTGTTGTAAGCTTCTTAGCTTGCTCTCCAAACCATTTTAAACAGATGGAGCTTATTCTGAGCAGTTTCTTTGCTTAACAGACATACAGAATGACATATTAATGTCATTGCCAAGAGAGAGCAAACAAAGTGTAACAACCAGATTTTCCAATGTTTAGCAAGTTGCCTTCACAGTGTAAGTTTGAAACCTGAGAAATTGCTCCTTATGCCGTAGAAAAATCCTGTGCACCCATAAGATCACTGCCATATGATGGTGCTCATTTTACATGTGTTATAAGCTTGGCTCAGTTTTGCTTGGTGGAGAATTTACCCTCAAGAACTAATAGTGCCTAATTAAGCCTGCAGAGTCCTCCTTTTGACTTCAGTTGTGTAGCTGTCTCTGGTAACAGAAAGACTGCCTGCTGCAGGTTTGGCATAAAGCATTAAGAAAATACCTTCCTCAATCAAAATTTGGCAGGTTTGCAAATCTTGGAATACTTCATGTAACAAAGAAGAAAGTGTTTGAAACTCTGGAAACACGCATGATAGATGCTTGCAAGAAGGGATACAACCCGGGACTCCTGGTGCATCCCGAACTCGGCTATCTGCAGGCAGAAGGATGTGGAGACAGACAGCTAACTGGTATGTAGAAATGATAGCCTGGTTTTAATTGGTCTTTTACTAAAAACAGATTGAGCTTCTGAAAACACAGGTTCTTGGGTAGGAAAACAGTCTATGGCTGTGTGCATTAAGATCTGTTGTGCTGTTGATGTGTTTTAGGGAGTCTGAAACAAAGAGTCTTTGCTGTCAACAGACACATGAGAAGGAAGCAACTTCCTTCCATAGCTGCCTGTACCCACCTCTGCACCTATATTCCATTGCTCTTAAGCTGTTTAATAAGCCTTAGAGTAATTTTGCATTATTGCAGCAAGACATGATATCCTTAATTAACTTAGGAACCTCCTTTCAAGAACACACTTTCCTTCAGCTGCGTTTCACCCGTGTCCTTGTAAAACCTGTGGTCTGTGTTGCTTTCAGGTACTGTGTAAAGGAGCCATCCTTCTTTTTATCACTCTTAACACCAGGAATTCCAGTGTCCTTAGTGGTGGCCTTTGTCCTTTTTGCAACCATTATAAATTGAGAGCAGCAGATAGTAATTTTCTGTCTTAATTATACGCCTTAAGTAAGATCTGATGCACAAACTGCATTATGAGTGCAGTATAATTTGAATAGCTACTCCTCTCTGCTTAAAAACAGAGAACCCGATGGATACTGTGTAAAAGAACACATTCCCTCGCTGTTGGTGCCTTTTGATAGTAATGTTTGTTCCATCTGTTTTGTTATGTGTTACTTCATCTGTCTCCTTGTCGGTTCCAGAACGAGAGAGAGAAATTATCCGCCAGGCAGCGATACAGCAAACTAAAGAAATGGATCTCAGTGTCGTGCGCCTCATGTTTACAGCCTTTCTTCCTGACAGTAATGGCAGTTTCACACGGAAACTCGATCCCGTTATATCAGATGCAATATATGACAGCAGTAAGTATATTTGGCTTTAGTTACTTTTTTAACAAGGGGCAAGCTTTTGGACGTACAAAAATGATGGGTAGATATTGCTATACATAGACTCATCTAGCCCTGCTGCTTGCCTGTTATTTGATGAATAACAGGTAAGTAGCCCATAAATAATTAGCCCCATGTCTGTCCAAGTACATGTAGTATCATTCTGGTTTTTAATGGATGGTGATGTAAGCCACTGAGCAAGATGTTATTTTGCTGTTGGCATGTTTAATCCTGCCGCTTTTATTATGAGGATTTTGTAAATTCTTGTTACATTCGTAAGAAGGGCTTGAATTTTGCGGTTTTCGGTTGCTTTTTGTGACAAAATCTTGTCACACAGGATGTGAGGAAAAAATTACTTTGCTTCAATCTTTGTTGAGAATTTGACACCTTTCAGTTCTGCTGACCATCTGCTTGCCCTTGTTTTGAGAGACTAACATAACCAGAGTTCTCAATTCATTTCCTTTAGATCTGTCGGTGTTTTCTGTACTTCTGTTACCTCCCTCTGTTTGTCTTTTTTCTAAGTGAATCTTTTCACTTCATGTTTTCCCTTGTGCTTTTCAATTATACTGACTCATTTTACCTGAATCCTTTCTGCTGCCTGAGTTATCCTCCCTGAGGCTGTGGATTACCACGTTCCTGATAGTCATTCTGTAATGACTCAGAAAAAGTACCATTTTTTTCTTTTGCAACAGTCATGTCTATATCATTGCTTTTTAAGGGCAAAGTCTAGATGAAAAGGTATTAAATGCAACTATTCTACTATGTCTGTTCCTTGCTATTAATTGGGAAATGTAGTGATGTCAAAAATTTTTACTTTAACTAAGGAGACAAATAAAGGGGAAATTTTGTAAGCATGTTTCTGCTGTTGCAAATTGCTACACAGATGTCAGTTACTAGTTTCTGATCTCCCAAGGGGAATTCTTGATTGTTAATTTCAGAAGATTTTTCTTGGGTTTTGTTTGTTGTATATGTTTTTTCTAATACTCTTCTTTGGTACCATTCAAGCCTCTTTCACACAACAGACATAGCTTGTGGTAGCATAACTGCCTGTCACAGCTGCTTTTACTTATCAGATGATAGTTCTGTCTGGAGGACCAATAGCTGTTTATTGATGTCTCTGCTAGGATCCGTGGAGGTGGGCTTTTTTATCACAGTCCAGTAGACTGGCCAAAAACTGACATGCTTTCAAGTAAACCACAGTATAAAGCAAAGCATTGTATATAGTGAGATACAGAAAACAGCTCTCAAGAGTGTCAGGCTGTCAGAAAGCAGGGAAGAAAAAGCTATGTTCTCTTGTACTGCCCTTTTGTCATAAAATTAGTCCTAGTGCAGGTTGCTGGATGCAGTTCACTGCTGGGCTACTTTGCTAGTGGAGTAATTATGGACCTTATTTTATAGTTCATAGTTCAGTCAAAGCTTAGAGGATACAAGGTTATGCCTTTCATATGAAAAGCTGTTGATTTATTCATGTTTAAAAAAACAGACAAATTTAAGTAGGTTGTATTGGAGGCTGCTCTTTCTATTGCATTTCTGTGTGTTTTGCTTGGTTTTTTTTTTTTTAAATCTTTAACTGTTATGAAGTTAAGCATTTTTTTAACCTTCCCTTTCAACAGAAGCTCCCAATGCCTCCAACTTAAAAATTGTAAGAATGGACAGAACAGCAGGGTGTGTGACAGGAGGGGAAGAGATTTACCTTCTCTGTGACAAGGTTCAGAAAGGTAAGAGTCCGAGTATTTTAAGATGCACCAGGGTGTTCATCTGGAGTACATGTGAAGCCTGCTGTGCTGCCTTAGTATTCTCCCACTCTGATACTGCAGCAGGATTTGTAAGCACACAGCCTTTCTAGAAGTCAGGCCAGCAGTCCAAAAAATTAATAAATCAAATTAGTCTCTTGCAAACAAATTCAGCTTGTGTTGCCTCCACTGAGACCATGTGATCACCTTTGTTTTCTCAAGAGTTTGCCCTTCACCATATTCTGGAATTTTGGGGGTGGTGGGTCCTGGGTGACATTTGAATCCATTAACTAACACCTGCTCTGAATTATTCTAAAGTTTATGATTTATCATTAAGTTCCTGATTATAAGGAGTAAGTATGAACATTGTCTGTTGACCATGGATGGGAACTTAATGTGTTCAGCACTACTGCTAGTAACTTCATTTTTAGGTATATGGTAACGGTAGAGATTACTGTATGTAAACATACTTCTCATAGGTTCATTTTCAGTCTCTGCTCATGGCTTTGAATGTATCAGAATTTGGCAGTGTGGATTTGGATGCTTTGGTTTTGTATAGGAAGATAGTGGTTAATATGGTTGATTGTATTTGGGCTAAACTAAAAAGAAAAAAACATGGGAACAGGGGAAGTCCTTTGCAGTTCTCAGGTATAGGTAGTACTTGAGACTCCCTGGTGTAGATTGCATGGTAGAGTGGGTACCTTGTTCTCATCTGTTGGGAATCAGTTCCTGCACATGTTGTTAAAATCACACTGACATTTTCTGTTAAGGCAGGCTGTCCTTTTCCATCTCTCTTTCTTGCAAATGCCCTTCTATGAATTAGGGAAGAGAGAGGGCTTTGGGGACTTCCAGGGACTTAGAAAAGAGATAGGGCTTTGAGGGCTTCTTAAAAGAAGGGACTTTGAAAAAACTATTTCCCTTCAGTAGTGTATCTACCCTTTGCCATCAGGGCTGAGATAAAACATAACTCTTGTGCACAAAATAAATAAATAAATGTCTGACTCAGTGGAAGCCCTGCGGTGGGGTTTCCCCTCAGCCAGATTGGGGTTTCCCCTGACCTCATTGCTTTCAGAAACCTCATGCCTGAAGGAACTTGAGCATGCAGGACAGCAGGACTGGAACTGGTGGTTCACAGTCTTGAGTCTAGCAGGTGTTGGATCAGAGGAAGCAGTCTGTCTGCTCCAGAAGCCTGTCCTGCATCAGTCACCCTAAGAGAGAATGGGCTTTTTCTGGGTTTTTTTCTTGCCAGGAGTGCCGGGAAAGGAATTTGCTAGTGTGACGTTTCTCAAAAAAATATAAATAAATAAATACAAAGAGAATGAAAGAAGGTTTGCTTAGAGGAGCAAAAGCCAAATGACGTGTTTCTGGCCTGTGCTGTGTTTGGAGGGTGAAGGATCGCTGCTGACATGCTGCTCGCTCACACCCTCGCCGCCTCTCTGGGCTGCAGCTCCAAAGTGGCACTCTGCCAGCAGCAAGCGGAACTTGAACTGTGGCACTTCAGGTTTTGCTACAGTTTTTTTGAACTGAAACTGTTGGAGGAGAGAGGGTGGTTTCTGCATTTCACGCTTCAAGTTCTCCCCTCCTTACATGTTGGTTTCAAATAAAGCTCCTCTGGAATGTTTTATAGCCCTAGAATAGGAAGAGGTAGTGAACCTAGTTCTCTTTTCACAGCTCAGTAAGTAGCAACTTCAGTGAAGTCATTACAATCAGGCTGACCTAACACTGGTGTCAAAAATGGGTTATTTCTGATGTTTTCATAAAATGGATAAAGCTAATTGATGTATTGTGTAATATTGTCATTCAGCCAAGAAGTAAATGTGTTGATTTTTATCTGAAATAAACTTAGCCAAAGGTTAAACAAATGCCCAAACATCCCAGAGTGTGCTTCTTTCATTCTTTGCAGATGATATTCAAATACGTTTCTATGAAGAGGATGAGAATGGTGGTATGTGGGAAGGCTTTGGAGATTTTTCTCCTACAGATGTACATAGACAGGTAAGTAACAGCATTTGTCATTTGTTAATGATTTTCTCATCTCTGTAAACTAGGATTATATTATAGTTAGTAAATGAGGTGAAAGCATCTGTATCCTGTACTGACCTCTTCTTTGGCTGGTTACTTCCTAGTAACAATACAAACTTAACAGTTCTTTAAAGACCTACATTAGGTAACTATGCAGGTTGGGAATACAATGCAAGGAAATTGGGAGATAGCACATGCACCAGTGTAAATTGGGATACGGTATATAAACAGCTCTGAGAACTCCTGTGAACACAGTGATAAAGCCACAGAATAGATGCTAAATGAGGAAGGGACAAACAGTGCAGTACTAACATATGTGATGGGGTGGTACTTTGCATGACAGTTCTGCCTTTCCCTAAAGGCCTTAGGACTCAACCTCAGGAGTGAAACTGAAAACTACAATGGAAGTTTATTGTTGTAACAGCCCTTTGCTACAACTTTTTGCCTCCCAAGCTGTAAACCAACTCCTACAAAACAGTGCAAACGTAAAAACTGATGCCTTAAGCCCCTAATGGTTTTTTTATTTTTCTAATATTTGTAAGACTGGTAAGAATTGTAGGTTTTAAAAAGCAGAAACCCCTTTGTCCCTCGTTCCTTTCCCTTGTTTACACATTCCCTAACCCTTTTACCCCATTCTATGCCTTCTATATCAACCTACCCCTGAATCCAGTAGCAGTGTTTAGTCTTTTGTCAAGGTAAAGGCCTAGACTGTTTGGAGAACAGCGTATCAGGGCCTAAACCACAGACTACGGTCAAAAACTAGGTAACAATATACCCTTTGTACTCTGATGAAGCTGAAGATGATGAAGTAGGTGGTCCCAAAAAGACCCCAGACCCAATTCTCAGGGGGAGGGCCCGGGGCGGTCCAGAGGAAGGGCCAAAGGGTGGACACATCTGGGATTGGATGGATAATGCTATAAAATGTAACCTCTCGGGCACGGCTGGTGCGCGCGTCTATATCACCTATTGCCTTGGCAAATAAACCCTTTCTTATCTCGCCCCTAATTAACTGCTCCGGAGATTTTTTCAGAACCAAAATACACCGGCAACAAAACAAAGTTGTCAAAACCCATGCTCCGTGATAGTTATCTTCCTGTTGTTTCCTTCACAGTTTGCTATCGTGTTCAAAACCCCCAAGTATCGCGATGTGAATATCACAAAGCCGGCATCTGTGTTTGTGCAACTGCGGAGGAAATCGGATCTGGAAACAAGCGAACCAAAGCCTTTCCTCTACTACCCAGAAATTAAAGGTAATTCATTAAACCTGTTTTATATATTGGAAACAGAAACTGTAGGGTCCCTAGAAGTGTTTTTAATAAGTTAAGACTTGCTGGATAAGGACTTTTTTTTTTAGTTGTTGTTTTTAGAAAATATTATATTTGCCTCTTAATTTTGGGCAGAGCCAATATGAAGCGTGGTAGCTTTGTAATGGCTTTGCAGGTTTTTTTATTGGACTGGTAGGCAGTAAATCGACAAATATTTTCTTAGTGAGGCTCGCTCATGCACACATGCCTGTCTGTACGGTAGATGGCACTCTCTTCCTCTGAGTTTCTGCAAAATAATATCTGAGGGCATTTTACTGTCAGTAATTTCAGCTGAAACCTTAAACCAAAGATTGGTTGGTACCTGGTGGAAAAGGTACGTATTTTGCAGTTCTCACATTTTACCAGCATGCCAAGTCACTGATCTTTTTGGATTTTCCAAGACCGAGACATTTCTTGTGAGAGCAGGGAAAGTGCTGTTGCAATCTCTTGTGTTTAAAATTTCAGTTACTTAGCAGAAGTAGAACAGTTGGTATTGGACCTGCTTCCTAAATTATTAGTGAAAAGAAGTTTAACTAGCAGATCTGTGCCCTTTTGAAGTCTGCATTTGAAATGTTTGACATTAATGGCAGGAGCAATCATGATTTAAAATACCAATAATGTTAATGATATGGAAATGCCTTGAGGGCCAAGGCATAATTGCTGTTTTGTTGTATTAAGACAATCTTTCTGCTTAACAGTTTACCTGCCTGCAGGTTACACTATTAAGTTCTAATCTAGAATGTTTTCTATGTTTTCTGTGCCTAACTTAGAACTGTGTTTAAAATCAGTTCCCTGTCAAAATCTCTAAAATATGTGTGTCTGAAAGCATGAGTGGTAAGGGACTCAGGACAGCTGGAGAGGGAGGGATGGTGGTTGATGCCCAAGTGAGTCTACTTTACACCTGTTATAATAAAATAGAAGAAAACATGCATTCACAAAAGCTTCCAGAGTTGCCAGAGGATTTCTTCTTGGTAATGATTTCAGGAACCTCTTGTATAAGCATTATGGGAAGTGAAGTATACAACTGCAGAGCAAAGTTGCCAGATTTAAAGCAAACTGCTTTTATATGTCTCTCAATGGAGTAAAATTAATTGAACATGATGTGCATTTTCAGATCCCCTATACAACCTAATCATAAAATTACCATTTAGGAACATTTGTTACAAGTGTTCACTCAAACTCAGACATATGTATGTGGCTTTTTTTGTTTGTTTCTCTGACTAGATTGCTCTCTAGAGTTTTCTGTCCTCGTCAGTGTGAGTATGCCTGATGTGTGCATGCATATGTACTTACAGATCATGTATGCCTGGAGATAATGCACGTGTATTTTTCAGTGTACTGTTTCATGTGTTCAGCTGTCTCATTGTGCCTGTGCATGAAATTTCTTTTTGTCACATGGCTATTGAAAACTACTAGATGGTTTAATAAACAGATTATACTTTCTTCTTTCCTCAACAGTTCTACTGGATTTTAACCCATATAATGTTTGTATCCCTATTTTTGTAGCTCTTGTAATGACATTTTCACTTTTCCCAGTCACTGCAATAATCCTTTTAAATCTTTGTGTTTTGCTTTCCAGGGGGGCTAAGTCTTATTTCAAACTTACACTATAAAATACATTCAGGTTTTTTTTTTACTGCTACTTAGCATGGTTTGACAGTATTATGTCCTGGTTGAAAATAAACTGTCATTGTTCTAGGAGCTTTTAAGCTATTTTAAGTAAATAATTTCAAACAAGCATGGTTTTCACCGTCACTTGCTGTCCCTTAAACAAAAGTTCAGAGGGCACTGCAGGTACCTCTGCTAAGGGTCCATTTCTCAAGTAGATTTGCTTAGTAGAAGAGCCTGTGCTTATATTCCCCAAAGACAAATTTTCTTGAACAAGTTTGTGGTTTGGGGCACTTGTGCTGATTTATGACTTGGCTTAGACATTGAAGAATTTTGGGACCACTGATTTCTAGGGCTCTAAGTACACAAGATACTTTTGTAGGAATCTCTGAGCCCCCTAAGGCATCTCTGTGTGTGTCCCCTGCAGTCTGAGCACAAGGCACTGACACAACTGAAGAGACAACACGGGCCCCAGCTGTGTTGCTGGTCTGACTGGGGACTTGGCACTAGCTTGTTTCTTGGAGGAATTCTCACTGTTCCAGTACGTACAAAGTTAGGTTCTGTTATTTGGAGTTTGAAGAAAGTTGCCCACTCCACATTTTCCTTTCTAAAGTAGTAAACTGTAGTAATGCTTTCTGTATGCACGTCTGTGCTGTGCATGGCCAGCAGTAGGACTGACTCCTCTCCTGTCTGTTCCTTCCATCCCAGATAAAGAAGAAGTGCAAAGGAAACGACAGAAGCTCATGCCTAACTTCTCTGATGGCTATGGTGGAGGCAGTGGCACCGGAGGTGGTGGCATGTATGGAGGGGGAGGTGGCGGTGCTGGCTCTGGTAAGGCAGTGGTTTTGAGTGAAGAGGGAAAGGGGTTCTACTTTGAGAGCAGGATAGATGTTTATTCTGATTTTTAAAATGTGGTGAGGATTTTGTCTCCTCCTAGGTAGATAAGACTTGACTCTGTTGCCTTTATAATAGTGTCACTCAATTGAATCAAACATCTCCTTGTTTTCTAAACACTTCCTCATCTCCTTTACCTTCCTACTTTGGAAGCTTTGTTGCTTCCTGGGGCCTTGAAGGCACTGAAATTCATGAGACAGCTCAGTTAAGTACTGTATTGGATGCTGAAAATTAAACAGGTTCTGAATTATTTCTTGGACCACTAGTGGTATTTGGCAAATTAACCCTGTTAGTGCAAAGAACTATTAAAAAATTGGAGATACTATTTAGTAAATTTTCTACAGTGCTCTATATGTTGAAGTCGGAGTGTATCCGATACGCAGGATCGTAAGAGCATTGCTTTGGTTCTTGTAGCAGAGCATTAAAAACCTATAGATCAGCAAATGTCATCTGAACAGCAACGCTTTTTTTAGAGCAGGGAACAGAGCAGCAGTTTTCAAACTGTTACATGCGTTGCCTGCAGCACATCTATAGCATAACACCAGAATACAAATCTGTTGTGGTCACGAAGATTCAGAAGCATAGAGGCAGCTTGTGATGTCTCTGCTGAGTTTTAGATGAAGCATATAGTGATATTACATTTGTGTGGTCTTATAAATATTGGGGTAGAGAGTGTCACTAGCCAATCACCTAGAATTTCTTTGGGTTTTTGGAGAGGTGGGGGAAAGCTCACCTTTAGCCTGGAAAATTTATTATAATTGGATGGAATAAAGCAGAAGGTGTGCAGAAAACAAAAATCCACTTCTTTAGCTTCACTTTCTCCTAGGTGGTGTTTTCATTGCTTTAGGATGCAATTCTGTTAATTCTTAATCTTCTTCCTTTCTTTAGGGTTCAGTTATCCTTCATATGGATACTCTGCTTTTGGAGGGATGCACTTCCACCCTGGCACAACAAAGTCCAGTGCTGGAATGAAACATGGTAACAGTAAAAATGTCATTCTTCCAAGAGTTGAATTGAGTTTGACCTTCTGTATTTTCTTCTACAGTATCAGCCCAAGTGTCATGCAGGTCTAGCTAAGTGATTACGATTATACGGCCCTGCTTCTCTTTTTTCCTCTCCAAATCTACCTTAACAGCTGTGTGCATGTTCCTTTTTACTTCTGACTCCTGAGGAGCAGTTGCCAAAACCCTTCCACATGCTTCTGTATTCAGCATATGTTTCAAGCAACAGCCCTTTTACTTGCTTGAATGTGCTGATCACAGGTGACCCAAGGACTAGACCAGAGAAAATGTATCTTCCTTCGTTGCCACAGTCTGGTACTACACAGTAGCCCAGAGAAATCAGTGGAAAAGATTAAATTGTTAATAAGGACACTCTTGGCTTCCTATAATAGGAAGGTAATTTCAGATCTACATGTTGAATACTCTGTAATTATTTCCACAGTCTCAGGAATGGATTTGCCATGAGGAAAACAAAAATGAATATGAATAATTCTGCTAGATTTCCTGAGATTACTTCAGACTTACATTCTTGTACCATAAAAAGAGAGGTACATCTGTTGTAATATATGAAAGTTTATTTTTAAAGCAGAGGCTGTCAAAAACATGACATAACTTCAGAGCAAGTTACATCACTATGTCTGTCTGTGTGCACTGGCATCTGAAATTGTACGATTCATGAGTTTAATGATAACACCTATGTTAAAGTAAATTTTTATATTGATTCTTCAGGGTCTGGTTTTGTCTAGTTGAGCTTTATCACTTGCATTAAAAAAGCAACGGTATTGGACACTAACAATTCTAATTTTTGTTAGAAGGACTATCAAATAGCACAGCTGAACAAACCAGGAAGAGCTCTGATAAACAAAGTGACAAATGGGACATGAAACATGATGTGAAGGTGGAAACTGTGGAGAGGACTGTGTGCAGAATGTCTGCTGATAATGAGGAGAAGGAGGATGCTGCTTCTTCCTGTAAAACTGAAGTAAATGAAGCAGATTTCAGGTGGCAGGGTAAGTGAACAAGTAAAGGTATTTATTTAGGGTAGATCAAACTGCTGTAAGGGTAAAGCTAGTGTAAAAGGCCTGGAAACTCCCTAAATGTCTGCTTGCTGTTTTCAGAACATGATAATGCCTCCTGGAGGAAACAAGAGGGATTCCCTTCCACCAAATCTAAAGTCCCTCCCCATACATAGTTCTGTAGGTAAACCGTTGTACTGCCACTGGGCACTTGAGCTTCTGCTTGTCATGCAAAGGAGATGAGACAGCTTATCCTGCTGGGCATGTTTAACACTGCCTTTTTAATAAACCTGTATAGGGAACAGCCTCAAGCAGTGAAGGCACAAGGGATACAATTGAGCAGCTGACTTGGCTTTTGATATTTGATAGACTGTAATGGATGTGTAAATGGATGTTGGCAGTGATTGCAGAAAAGAACTACTGCAACAACACTGTTAAATTGCATGCAAAGTAGTGTTACAGGTTTGAATTTGAAATGAAAAGGTATCTTTTCCCATATGGCAAATACCCAGTAAAATAACTGTTGGGTAGCAAAGTGTTATGTATCAAACAAAACAGGAGGAAGGCAAGAGTAGTCGAAAGAAATGATTTAGCAGCAGAGCTGTAAAATATACAAAGACCACAAATCACCCTCTCCCAGAGCAAGACATCCTTTTCCTGGGTTGTTTTTTAAAATAATTGATGGACACTTTTTTAAAGGAATTGAGTAATTGTGCTTATCATAAAATCAAAAAAACAACAGTTGGATTACAGAGACATGCTAGCAGTAGGAATTGAGCAGGAAGGAATGTTTTGTTCTTGGCTCTTACCAAGTGCAACATGATCTAGACCACTTTAGTTGTTCCTTGGATCAGGGAGAGGGCACGTTATCTTGTGTGTATCAGCCATGTAAGGCACTTGCTATTAACAGCACTAGAAACCATGGCTTGGGAAACCAAAGTGGCATAATAGCTGGGTTTTAGTTATAAAGCTTCTTGTGGTCTGAGAACAGATGGTGCTCTTGAGAAAGGCTGAAGGAACTTGCTGTTTGCAGTTCTGGTTGTGATAAATCACGTGGCTGGTTCAGAGAGCAAAATCTTTTGCTGATATGAAGAACTAATGATGTCCATTTAGCAGTCATGAAGGAGAGGCCTGAACTGTTTACCTGTTTTCCAAGTAATGAATATTGTAGGCAGGAAGTTTACTATTTCTCTTCTGTATCTATTGTAATGGCATGAAAGGAGGCAACTTCTAGCTCCAGATTATATGAAGAATGGGTGCAGAAGAACAGGCTTCATAAAACAGCTACTGTAGGCTAGATCATTTGGGTATTAGACTAAAAGATGCTTGTCGTATTTTGAAGGATATTTTTTCTGTGTTTGGTATGGAAAACCAGGGAGTTTCAGCATCTAGTTCATTGGTCTTTGGAAATGTCTAAATGAGAAAAGACCAAATTGCTTAACGCCCTTTACCCTGGCTATTTATCCTGAACATAACATCCATTTAATGCTATTATTTAGTGTAAACAGGTAAATAGCAAATATGAATGTAGCAGCAGTGGAGCAGCCACAGTGATGTATTGGTTGGAACAATAAGCTTCGTGGATAGCTGAGTAAGTCTTTGCCTTACAGAAATGGTGAATTCCTGTTCATCAGGGATACACTTCTGACCCAGTCTAAATGCCTGGTTTTGTGTAACTGGAAATCCTGGGTATTGTTTCCCCGTGTGCGCTTTAAATGACGAAGTCTGTTGTACTTGTTTGCTCTTAGTAATTTCCAACCTTACGAGGTTTTATGGAAACATGAAACTGTTCAAAATGCAGGCTGGTTTCAGATGATACTTCTCAAAATGATAACTGTAGTTTAAGAGTTCATCTGTTTCATTTTCACTCGTTTCTTGCTGATACAGAACCACGAAAGTATTGACAGAGCAGCCTGAGTTACTTTTTTTTCCACAAATGAGTTTCTTTTCTCTCCTTTCTCCCTTTTGTCTCCCCATCACGACAAATTCTTCTTTTTGAAATCTCAGTGGTTGTACATTTTATAAATCTAAAATCAGGATACTACAAATACTAAGCAGTATAAAAACTGAAATGTTTAAAACAGGAGCTGTGCTGCTGCTGTACAGCAGGAGAGAGTGCATGATATGAGTCTGAGGAGCACAAAGCCCTGTGTTTATTTCATAGCTTTTCTGTGAGCATCTGTGCAATATTTGATGGGTCACTTAGGCTTCTTGTACCTCAGTTTCCTCAAGGCAAAACTACTCAGAACTGCATGAGAGGTTTTTTTAATTGCTCTATAGACAAGAGTCAGAGGTGGCTTCCAGGGTTTGAGTGTTCTCAGTGTTCCTGCTGCCTGAATGCTCAGCATGCACCTGGTTTTGATTCCAAGGGACTCGGTTCCCTCTGTTCTTATGTCTCGGAAGTAATTAGTGAATCAGTGAATAATGCTTGGTGGTCTGCACTTTGTATTTCAAGGACAGCACAAATGCCTATTGAAAGAAGGTGGTGTTCCAAGGAAGAGAACCAAACTGACGAAGACAAAACCTTGTTTTGCAGATTCTCTGTTCCTGGAGAAGGCCATGCAGCTTGCCAAGCGTCACTGCAACGCTCTCTTTGATTATGCTGTGACTGGAGATGTGAAGATGCTGTTGTCTGCTCAGCGCCATCTCACTGCTGTCCAGGATGATAATGGAGACAAGTGAGTTGACCCCACTATGCTTACTGGGTTGAAACTGATGATTTTAGTGGCAGAATGGTGTAGTCAATTTGTTCTGTCCCTTGTGTGTGCCAATCACAGATGGCAGCACTGCTCTCATCAAATGAATATCTTTCTCCTTTGTGCTGTTTGGAAGAGGTACAGCTGTGATTTAGAAGTTCTCGTTGCATTTGCAAACAAGTTGTGCACACTACAAAGTTCATTGATTCAGTACCTGTCAGAAAGTACTCTGGTCACTGAGGGTATGTTGAGCATGTTGTGCATTTCTTTGCCATTTTTTTACTTACAATCTTGACTGAGCATACACAATGGATGAGGATCTGCAGGTTGGTGCTGAAGGAGAGTGCCCTGCTTTTTATTCCATGCAAGTCCTTAAGTCTTTATGGGAAGCTTAAAGTAAGAGATTCACTGGGAGATAGAGAAACAATAGCTGGAGGGTCCATACTGCTTTTCTCCCACTGAAACCAACTTCTTCCCAGAGGACATTATTTTGCTCTTGCTTACATCTATACTGTACTGTTGTCTTCCAAAGGATTGCACAGATGCTTGTGGCAGACTTGGCTGCTAATATTTGCTTATCAGTCCTTCAATAATGTGAGCTGGAGCAGAAATCCATTTTGTTCCTCTACAGCTATGCAGATTCTGTGGAACTCAGAGTGAAATACTGTGAGGAACTAATGATTAGTAGTTACTTAAAATGAAATTCAGCAGAAGCAGCTCTGAACATTTGCAAAGATAATCTCTGGTATAAGCAAGTATCCTCACTTCTCAGCTGGCAGGCCTTGAGCAGGCCCTGTGCAATTACCAGTATTTCCTTACACTGTAGTATTTTATACAGTAGAAGCCACACAAGCCTTGAAGTGTCCAGATAGAAGGAAAATTACAAGTGATTGAGACCTGTATCCCTGTTCAATTACTCTGTGAGAGGTTACTACTTTCATTCCACTTTTGGTGAAAATAGGTCTCAGATTACACATAGAGGACTGCACAATCACAGAGAGCTACTTTACTCGCTTTGCTTTCCAGTTGGCAACATAATGTCTGCTTTCAGGAAAGCAGGAATATGAAAGAGGCAGGAGCTAGCAACAAAATCTGCCAGCACTTTGGACAACATAGCTTCTGTGTTTAAAATGAAACAAGGGGGATAGAGGAGTATTGAGCAAGTAGGACCTGCATTTAAATATCAGTAAGCTGCCCCTCAGATTTGGACTTGCAGAGCATTTAAACTAAATCAAAATACTTTTCAGAATGATGATAAATAGTTTTCTTCCTGAATCAAGAAGTATCAGCAAGCTCATGTTGCCTTTCTCCTGGGATGGATTTTAGTCTGTGAGCACATCATACATCTGTTTTACTCCATAACATTTTTAAAAAGAGAAGCTTTGGTGACTGTCTTCCATCTCTCTCTTGGAGGGAGGGGGAAGGTTAAAAATCATAAATAAATTTCCCTGACTTTCACTTTAATCATTAAAATTATATGGCAACAAATAGAAAATTTTTGCTTAAGCCTTAAAAAAAATGTTAGGCTGTCAAAAGTTTTGCTCATCTTTCATCAAAGCAGTATGCAGGGAATGAAAATACCTTTAGTGGGCCTTGTGTTGTGTTTCATGGCCTTGAGACAGAACACAGTAATCTATGAGTAGAGTATGTTTACAAGTAACACTGGCTGTGACTGCATTTGTACCATTTGTACTAAAACCACTCCTCTGCAGATACCTGATGGCTCCACAGGGATGCAGAAATGCATGTTTTCATGTAGGACTGTTTAAGAAATGGAACTGACTGCCCTTTTGTGGTCTGTTCAGCGTGTCTTCACAGTATCACATGTAGAGGCAGGATAAAATTAAAATACTTGCTGCAGAAAAGAGAATTAAAAGCAGTAGAAGAGCATATGTGTTTCTGAAGTGAGATTTGGAAATAAAATGTCAGCATAGTAAGAAGCATCTCCCAGAGAGCAGAAGAACAGCTCTTTTCCAGTAATGGCGGGTCTGTTTGAACAGCACAGGAGACTTGGAGGTAAAGTGCCATGGTGCTGCCTATGGCAGTGTCTAGAACCAATAAAAAGGGCCCTGCAGGGTTGAATTTGGTTTGTAAATTATATTTTTTCCTTTGTTAAATTATCTTCTGTTTTTGAGTCCTCTCAGTCTCAATTTCAAGATCACTCTATGCCCTGAATGGCACGGAATTTCTTTTTATTTTTCTGATGAAAGTGTAAATCTGAGACTATTCAGGTATTTCTGGAGCAGCATAACAGACACAGCACATGTCCCATGTTGATATCGTGTGTCAGCAACAATATGCTAAACAGATGAGTCTAGAAGCTGGCCAGCACCTGCTAAAGAAGAGCTTGGCAGGATATGTTTAAAAACAAAGAGCATGACTTCCAAATGAAGTCTCAAGGGAACAAGAAACAGAGAGCTCTGTCCGACAGGGGTGATGGGATTCAAAACCTGCTTTTTTCTTGATGTCATTTTGCTGCTCTGGCTGATGGTGAGGGACCTGCTCTGGAGAAGAGCACTGGAAAGGCCATTGCATTAACCAGTAGAAGTGTCTCGCTATGCAGACACTGATGTCCCGAAGCAGGGGGTTTTTTTGAAATGACATCTGTGGCCACTGCTGCAAACCTTGTGGTTGTTAGTCACCAGGCCTGAGTCCTTAGTCAGATTTCTGTTTGAAAGTGAAGGAAAGGAAAACCCACAGATCTGGCTGGGGAAACCCCAAGGGAAAATCTGCTTTGGAGGCAGAGGGGCCTGTGGAAATTCTGCAGGAAGTTTTTGACAGTGAGAGGTGTTCATCTGCTGCATAATTCAAAATATAAAACAAACAAATGAGCAAAGAATCTGGGGATTTTCTGAAGCAATTGTTTTGTGCTACTAATTTTGTATATTAGACTAGAAGTAGAGTTATGCTCAGGGCCGGCAAAAGCTATTCTGAGTTTGCTTTTGTGATTGAAAGGTAAACAGTTACCTTCTCACTTGCTTTTTTTAATGTTGGGGCTCATTTTAAGTGCTAATATTTAGTGCTGGAATCATTACCCCTAATAGTCAAGTGTTTATGTCAGAATTCAGTCAGATCTACAGCAAGGCCTTGAAATTTTTATAATAAATTTGAAAACAGTCTGAATTTGTTAATCTGCTTTTTGTTTGTTTCAGTGTCCTTCATTTAGCAATTATCCACCTTCATAGTGAGCTGGTGAAAAACCTCTTGGAAGTGATGCCAGATTTGAATTACAATGATATCATTAACATGAGAAATGACCTCTATCAGGTAGGTAGTTGTGGTGGTACAAGTGTTGCTGATTGTCTAGCCAGTAAAAGAGAAATTGCTTCTGTGGGAAAGAGCCGAGATCTGACAATTCAAACAAGTTTAGAAATACAATGACATATTGTAAGGTGGTGGAGGAACGAGAGCCTATTTTCATAAATTTAGTCCATAACTCCCCTTGATGTTAACACAAGTGTCTCCAAGGGTTAATTGCAGGATAGGCCAAAAATGGTAAATTCTTCAGTTCATGTCTTCAGTATTTGGCTTCTCTGTTGCTAAACCAGCGGTATGGATTACACTGTGCCAGCTCTGGGCTCTTTTGACCTTTTAATGTAGGTTAATTCGGGATCATGAGCCAGTTGCTTCGTCATCAGTTATCTATAGGCACGTGAAGCCATAGTAACCTATTCCCTTCCCACAGCCCAGATAGTATTTGTGCCCATCACATGAGCACCAAAGATTTCCCTTTCTATTTCTAGATCGGTATTATAGTAAAACCAAAAAAATAAGCCCATTTCCATGTCTTTTACCTTGGAGGAAAAGAACTCTTAACTGCCAGGCACAATTCTGTCTCCTCAGCTTCATCTGTGACAGAGTCTGAGCTGTTTGTGTTGTAACTCAGGTTTTAGAAAGAGCTGTGGGAACCTGTCTGAAAAGGAATCTCTTCTAAAGAGATTGTGTGCACCATTTGGCTGTGGCACAGGTAACCAGCTGGACATTACACAGCAGCACTCTGACACTTGTGTTGTTTGTTTTGCTGTCAACAGTAAAGGCAGGGGTTTTTTTCTATACAGATAGTCCCAGAAGGTTTGACTCCTTTGTTTTCTTTCACATTTCATTTTTGTGTTCATATAATGCAAGTTTGAAATGTGGAGGCTGATCAAAGCAAGCAGAAGATTCTGAATTGAATTCTGTGCCCTCTGTTTAACAGAAACCAGAAGCAAAGCTGTGCTCCACACAAGAAATAAATCCCTGACTACCAGGACCTCTACAGCTCTTCCTTCCTTCAACTTATACCTTAAACCAGTGATGGGAGAGAATGTAGGCTTGGGCTAGAATTTTCCTTCTGTACAGATATTCTGAAAGCTGAATTGTACATGTACTCTATAGATGCAGTAATTAATTGCAAATGTGTTGACAAATCTATTGACAAACACAAGCTTATTGTGCAAAGCTGGAATTAGTCTTTTTTTTTTTTAATAGTCCTCTGTTAATATAAATATAATTATCTGGAGATGGACTCTTGTGTAATTTTTACATTATTTTAATATTGGAAATATGATTTCCCAAGCCTTACTAGAATGCTTACTGTTTAAATACATGTAACTCTGAGTATGTTCACTAACTCCTGTGCAGCCATTTTGAGGGATAAGGAGCTCCTAAGCCTATGGCTGCAAACCTCTAATTCAGGAGCAAAATGAGAGCATGGTTCAGTGGTAAAGGCAGATCTGAGCAGGGCCTGGAAAGTGTGTATGCTCCAACCATGGCATGAACTTGGTGATGGGGCAGCTGGAAGCAGGGTTACAGTGTCTGAGGGGTGCAGGGATTATCTCATTTCCCAAGTCCCTTACACTGCAATGCTCAAATAGCCAGGTCAGTGCCCTGGCTTATAGAGTAGGCAACATCTTTGTTCCTCCCAAAGTCCAACTGCTGACACTGGCAAGGCAGCTTTTATTTCCAGTAAGTAGAAACCCTATTTGTAGTATTCAGTAGAAAAGAATGTACACATATGCAAGCTTTTAGTTTCTGTTAGCTTTGGAGTGATGTAACATCTTCTCACACCAGGAGCCTTTATGGGTTTCAGAGATTTCTGTAGAAGTGAAGTAGCTGTTGCTTATCTTCTCGTGGCTTGCTTCTGTCTCTTCTAGACCCCCTTGCACCTGGCAGTAATCACAAAGCAGGCAGAGGTGGTAGAAGACTTGCTGAGGGCTGGAGCAGATGTCAGCCTCCTGGATCGCCATGGTAATTCTGTCTTACATTTAGCTGCTACCGAAGGAGACGACAAGATCTTGAGTCTGCTCCTCAAGCATGAGAAGATATCTCCGATGGTCAACCTTTCCAATGGTGAAGGTATGGAAAGATAAGGGTTCTATTTTACACTTAGCTACCAGACAAACAAGACCCAATTCCCGCCCCTGCCAACACCATGACTCTACACAGGTAGATACAGACCTTGAAATTAGCATCTTTCCCCATTTTGCATATGCCTGCAGGCACAGATAAGAGAACACAGATGTGTTGGTTTTCTGGTTATACAGAACAGAAAGATGTAATGGCCACATGACATAGTATGGATTTGAATTTTTGTTACTCTATATTCTCTTCAATCTCACAAAACTTCAAGCACTGTGTTCCTTCTAAGATACCTTATGCCACCACTGGTTTTAAAAAAAAAAAAATCCCCCTAGAGGAAAATGTTTCCTCTTTTCTAGTGAATGAATCCCCTCAAAAATAGGTTCTAGACCAGTGTTGAGTTTTGTATGTGGTACTTTGTGACCATACAGAATTAGAGCCTACAAATTAACCACAAAGAGACAATTCTCCCATTTTTCATTGGCTTGGGGGATTTGAATTTAGTACTACTCCTCTAGTAGATTGTAAAATGTCTGACCTAAAAATGTCATTATGGGATTCAAGAAATGGTGTTAAGTTCCTCAGAGAGAAAGAATTTTTTATTTGGTTGGATATTGTTTGGTTGGTTGATTTTTAAATACAAGGCTTTATGATCTAGTGCAGGTAATCCTGAGATGGTAAGGCAGTGTGACCTTACAGGAGGATGATACTAAAATATACCAGTTATTCCCCAGAGTGTTTCTAGAAGAGATGTTCAGTAGCAGATGGGGCCAGTGTGGGGTACGTACTTGTTTAGCACCAAGATGCAGGTTTTATTTTTAAGGCTACTCTCTTTTGAGTCAAAGAGATGCTCTAGGTGAGCTCTGTAGTTCCTGCCTTCTGTTCCACCTTGTAGTCTGCTGGGGTTCTTTTTCTTGCATGGTTTTGACTCACCACCATTAACACAACTAGTTCCAATTTATGCACAAAGAACATTTTTATCAACATCATTAACGTGATCCTGAGCCTCCACCTAGAGTGCTACTTTAGGCTTTGGGCCTCCCAGCATACGAAGGACACAGGCTTGTTAAAGTGGGTCCAGGGGAGGCCATGAAGATGCTCAGGGGGCTGGAGCACCTCTCCACTGCAGACAGGCTGAGAGAGCTGGGGTTGCTCAGCCTGGAGAGGAGCAGGCTCCAGGGAGGCCTCATTGCAGCCTTCCAGTGCCTTTTAAAGGGAACCTATAGGAAAGCTGGAGAGGGACTTTTTACAAGGGCGTGTAGTGACAGGACAAGGGGGAATGGTCTCAAACTGATGGAGGGTAGGTTTAGATTAGATGTGAGGAAGAAATTCTTTACTATGAGGGTGGTGAGGCACTGGAACAGGTTGCCCAGAGAAGCTGTGGATGCCTCATCCCTGGCCCAGATGGCCAGGTTGGAAGCAGCTTTGGGCAACCTCGTCTAGGGAAGGTGTCCCTGCCCATGGCAGAAGGTGGGTGGAACTAGATGATCTTTGAAGTCCTTTCCAACCCAAACAATTCTATGATTCTATCATCTTTTAGTGTATAAGCAGGCAAAATATGTTACTTCTGCTCAGATAACTACAGAAACTCTAACTTATTTTACAATTCTCATAGATGCAGACATTTCAAAACTCATTACTCTGACATTTCTGAATTTTTCAAATATTAATGCACATGGACACATGCACAGTATTAATGGTTGGGATTTATTTTTTGTAGGTCTCAGTGCAATTCACATGGTAGTGATGGCAAACAGTATGTCCTGCCTCAAACAGCTGATTGCTGCTGGAGTTAATGTCAATTCTCAGGAACAAAAATCTGGACGAACTGCATTGCATTTGGCTGTTGAACAAGAGAACATCCCTTTGGCAGGCTGCCTTTTGCTTGAGGTAAGGGCAGAATTTCTTTCTTCCAGGTCTTTCCAACTATATATTTAAATACTCTGGACACTCCTTCAGTGCTTCAGAGGAACAGAAAGGGGGGTTCCTGTTTGTTGACTAGATTACTTAAATTAGCATAATGGCAAAATTATTGGTAATGTTATTCATGGTTTTGTTCAGCACTGCTGGTGAATCTTTTGGCCAAGCTGAGGAATTTACAGTGACCCTGACCTGACTGCATATGCCATGTTTAATTTGCACTGAGTAATCCTGGCAGCCAATGAACTTATTCATTAACAAGTTCATCACTACTTCTGTGTGTAGTTGAATGTGTAGAGAGATGTGCACAGAGATATAGTTGTGCATATCTATAAGTATTTGTCTCATCTCTTTAACACCTTGATCCTGGTGTCCTTAACTCTACACACCTCCTGCTGCTGTAGCTCTCCTCGGTGTTGGTGTGTGGATGTGCCACCAGCCTGGCTGCTCTTCTGAAGAGCAGCAGGAAGGCAGATTTCTGTGCACACCATTCACACTCCAAAGGCCGAGGGCAATCACATGGCAGAACCATTACATGGGATGCAAAGTGGCTTTTATGTACCTGGTCTATTTGGATATACCCTGTGCCTCCTGCTGTAACACTGGAGCACACGACCATCTGCTCCTCCATGCAGACAGTTGTAGTTATCTCTGATTATGTCTTTTCAGACATTAGTTTTTATGCAAACAGGCGTGGAAAGTGCTTGCCATGCTTATGCAGACATGAGCCTCTGCAGCTCTATTGTATAGATTTCTTTTTGTCATTCAATAAAAACCTAGGGTGATGCAGATGTGGACAGCACTACATATGATGGGACGACTCCACTTCACATAGCAGCTGGAAGGGGCTCTACAAAACTGACAGCAGTTCTCAAAGCAGCAGGTATGAAAATAGATCATTGCTGGAGAGTTTTCTTTCACAGTGATGAAAATTCAAGTTAGAAGGCTGCAAGCAGAAAAGAATGTGCCCGTGAACTTTAATGAGTGGAGGAAGTCAGATGTTAAAAGCCTGAAGGTCTGAATTTCCTCAGAAAGTCCGACTTTGAGGTGCTATACTAAACACTCTTCAGCACCATCTAATGGCTAAAAAGGCAAATTATGTTGGTCAAGAAAAATCTCTTGAGCACTCTTGGAAGTTTTTTGAATATTTCTTGTGTAGCTTTTATAGCTGAAGAAGTGGAAAGGAGACCTTGTTATAGCTGGGATAAGTGTTGGACTGCTTTAGAAACAAAAATAACCCCATCACTGAAAAATGAGCTTGTTACTGTCTCCTATTTTAGGTCACTTTAGAAGAATTAGATTTGAATATTTATTGGAACATTTTTCCCCCCTCTTTATATTGGAGAGTAGCACTACACAGAGATGTGACAGCATTTAAATGTAATTTTAAAAAGAGTTATTTGCTGGCTTAATATAAAATATCATTTAGCTGGAGTAAATAAATTAGCTGTTTTGCCATTCAGAAATTAGAATGCATAAATATTGTTGAAAAGCAACTCCAGGCCTTTTTTCTTACTTTTTTTTTTTGCACACTTGTTTTCCAGGTGCAAATCCTCACATTGAGAACTTTGAGCCATTGTTTGATCTAGATGATGTGAAAGATGCTGAAGATGATGATGAAGGGATTGTGCCTGGAACAACACCGCTGGATATGGCAGCCAACTGTGAGGTATGTGGTCTGTTTTTTCTGTTTGTTGAGGTTTTTTCTGTTTTTATTTCTAATCATCAAGGACAGTTCAGATCTCTTAGCTAGCTCCTTTCACTGCATCCACAGTTATTTCAGTGGTGACAAGCAACTAATTTGCCATCAAAAATTAAACTAATTCAGCCACAAAACTTCCCCAATGAAATAACATTGGAAGAAAGCTCCACTTAACAGACTACTGAACCTCAGAGAGGAAAAAATGCTGATTTACAGATGGAATTAGGTACAATACTGCTGAGACTTGTCAAGATAATGGATACTAACAAGGTTTCTGCTAAATACTGAATTTAATATATTCTCTTAGGTGTATGACATATTAAATGGGAAACCCTACCAGTCAACAGAAGTTTCGGAGGAGTTGCTGACACGAGGTAACATCTATAAAGACTTGACAATATCCCTCTAGTAATTGAATTCTCAAACCATAGTGGCTGAAGACATTGCCCTGCTATAGCTTGTAACTGAACTAGTGAGGGAGAAGAGGTACCCTCCCAACCACTTGCTCACAGAATGAGCACAATTCCCTTAAGAAGTCATAAGGACACAAAGGAGTACATTTTCAATATTACAGCAATACATTTATAAACACTGGGACTGGACACTAATATACTCTTCAGTTTAGTTTTGTTTCTGCTTAGAAATTAACTGGTGCATGATTTGTGTAAATAATAAACTAACATATTTCTCTGTTCCCCAGGAAACTTGAGAGAGCTGAATGAAAGTTCCAAGATGCAGCTTTATAAACTATTGGAATTGCCTGATCCTACCAAAAACTGGTCCACTCTAGCACAAAAACTGGGTCTTGGCATACTTAATAATGCCTTCAGGTTGAGCCCTTCTCCATCGAAAACTCTGCTAGATAACTATGAGGTAACATGGCTGTAACAAGTTATAAAGAACATTCACACGTGTAGAGAACACTGTCCTCCTGGACAGTGAGGAGCCCTTCAGTTCTAGCCAGCCTGGATGATGGTGAGCATCTGGTGTCTTCTCTCTTAGGTCTCTGGTGGTACAGTTCAGGAGTTGATTGCTGCTTTGAGGCAGATGAATCACACAGAAGCCATTGAAGTCATTCAGGAAGCACTATCCATCTCACACAGCCCATCTCACCTGGAGAAGAGTACAGCAAAAGCTCTTCCGTCGCCAACACCACTCACCTTTGCAAGTGGAGAGAGAGGTAAAATTGACAACAAAATATGAAGAGCTTTATTTAAGATGTTTTTTTTCAATTCTCCCTCCCCACCCCACCTTGGACTGATGATAGATTTTATATTTCCTTACACACAATGCCTCAGGTGCCTACCTGCTTCAGAAATATTTTACTGCAGCGTGACTTTCTTGTCATAGATATTTGCTAGGCCTAGAAGAGAGAGGAAAAATGGACCATTTGAATCAGCATGCCTGCATCACAGTATTGAATATACTGCCTCCTTTTTCTAAAACCAGACACTTACTATTTGCTGATGGTAATGCCATGAATGTACTGAGAATAAGTTTCAAAAGATAAACTAGGCAATGATTTCCCAGGCATGTACAAGTGCCATTAGCTTTTGACTTTTTTCTCCCCCCTCATATACGGATACACAAAAATGTTTTGGGCACATAAACTTCTCAATAAGACTTTGGTATTAAATATCTCTTTCTACAGTGTGTAGCACTCCAAAATGTCCCTGTATTCTGTAGGCAGAGATTACACAGGACTACAAGCAGTCCTGCTGTCAACTACCTGCTCAGAGCAGGGCCAGTATAAATATTACATGGGTTTGTCCATGTCATGTCCAGTTGAGTTCTGAGCATCTTCAATGATGGAAGTCCTACAGTGTTTCTGGGCAAGGGACTCTACTAACACAAAAACAGAGGTTGTGAGAAGTTAATAAGTCATCAGGGATGTTCAGTCATTGCCTGGCCATTTTAAGTAAAAAAAAACCTTTGTTTTTTACTGTTAAAACACCAGTAATGCTGCCTGTATGTGAAAATACTGTAGATATTTCTGGAAAGGAAGAAAAGGAAAACCACAGTCACTCCATTCTAATCTAATGTTGCCAGTTTACTCTCTATGGAACAGTTTGTTCAGTCATGGAAAGAACCTTCACACCTACCCAAAAATGCACTTGTACACATATTACGCCTTTAGATTAATCTTGAAGGGTAAAGAGGGGTTCTGCTCCTTTACAACAGGAATGGACTGCATCACATTGTTTATTCTAAGGTGTTTGTTTAGAAAAATAAGACTGAACTCTAATATGCCAACCACTGTTATAGTCACACTGATCCCATATCATACCTTCAGCTTGGACAATGATCCCTCGCAGTCAGGCACTCCTTTTGTGAATAGTGCACAGGTGATGGTGCTGCTGACTTGTTCGTATTTCAGGTTCACTTACTAGATGAAAATTGTTCAAATATTTGTCTCAAAAAGAAATCTGTAAGTTAAAATAACATGAGCCTCATCCTGGAGCTGTACATTTGCTCAGAGCCTGAATCTGAGAACCAGAGAACCTTTTGACACCTGGGCAGAGTCCTGACCAATGTGCAGTGACAACATTAATGTCAGCAGAGCACCAGGCTTCTCATCCCATCCAAGCTCCAGCTGCAAGCTGATCTCTGCCAGCAATGTCAGATCACATGCTTTGGTGGCCTGAAAACATTCAGCACAGCTTTTCCTAAAATAATACCTCATATTAGAATCATTTTCCTATAGAAGAGCTTTGACCCTGTTGGTTTGCATTCCTTAGACTTTTCTGAAAGCAGCATTACTCAAGCCACACAAAGAATAACATATTTCCTTTTTCTCTCTCCCTCAGGTGAGCTTTATAACAGCAAATTTCAAGACAATGAAAGCACGTGTGACAGCGGTGTGGAGACCTCGTTCCGCAAACTGAGTTTTACTTATTCAGACTCTCTGAACAGCAAGTCATCACTAACACTGAGCAAAATGGCCCTGGGCTACGGACATGAAAGTTCAGTCCAAAGCAATTATTTAGCCGAATAGTAGTGTTCAATTAGCAATATGCAGTTACATGAACAAATGCAACATTAAAAATTACATCAGTGCTGTCCTGGTCAGAGGGAAGTGAATTCACAACCAAAAGTGCACTGGAAGAATCCCACCCGAACCAGAAGCAATGGCAACTTCAGCATGCAACTCCTAGGCACTGCTTCCTTCCTCAAGTACATTTAATTTTATTCATTTACAAGCCATACACAATAACCAGGGCTCTACTGACATATTAATACACAGGACTGGACGCTATGAAAGACTGACTGAGCTTTTCTGGGTTGTGAGGATTTTCTTTTACAGATGAAAGTCACTCCTTAAAGCATAATATGAACTCAAAAAAGAGGTAAGGCACACAGAGCAATCAAAGGATACAGTTTCTAGCGGGTCTCTTCATAATTTTTGCAGCACAGTTGCACGAAAAGAGCTCCTAATATAGCTGGCAAAGAAAAATCATTAATCGTAACAGTGACAATTCAGAGAAAAAAAGAAAATCCTAAAAAAAAGAGTCTTGTATATTTCAAATAATGTATTTAAATTTCACTTTGGTGCCTCTTATTCAAAATCTTTTTCCAGTTTGGCATTTTCCTACTTGTAAATAGTTTTTTTATATCTGTTCCTGTTTGACAAAGTGGGCTTTTTAAATGCTTATTTTTATTTTACTTTTATAATAAAACCCTAAAATTAATTCTCTTGTCTATGCTTGCTGTGATTTTTCCATATCTTTCAAGTGGAGTTATTGAAGATTTAGCATTTCAGTTTTAGTCATTGATACAAGAGCATGCTGATTTCCAAATACTAAAATAAATAAAGGGTTGCAAGCCACCTGTCTTAAAGCTTGAAGCATCTTTTTTGGTGGGAGAGCAGGAGCATCAGCAACTGCTAAGCAGCTGTGCTTTGTGCTTTGGAATTAAAGCCTCTGCCTTGTTTCAGTTCTCATAATTATGGCAGCAGAGTGTTCATTTACACTGAAACCAACTATTTAGTGTCTCAGCAAAACTCTGATGAGACAGTTCTCCTTTAGGCTATCTAGAAACTCCTGTAGTAACTGTGCTCAAGAAACAAGTGTTTCTTGTTTCACATTAATTCTGAGATAGTGAATGTAACTGTTACTGATGTTGGCCCAACTAAAAGTACAGAGCAGGTATCAGATTTCATGATGAAAAAGCAACAGCAGCATTGTACCATTGTCACTCACTTGCAGCCAGTTTTCATGGCACAAAGATGGAGATTTGACAGGGTTGCTCTTGGCTCAGTTCAGTCTTCAGTAACCTGGGTGTCACTCCTGAGAAAATGAATCAAGATAAACATTGAGAATAGCTACATTTAGAGCAGTAGTTGCTGTAATGAATTAAACTGAGCAATGAAAAAACCTTGTGAACTAATTTTATATCCAGCTGAATTACTGAGTATTTTAATTACTTTCAGGGAAACATGATGAATAATAGTAAAAATGCCATTCTTTCTTTCAGTTATTGTATGTATAACCTGCATATGCAGCACCTAAGGCATAGGATTTTTGTTCAATTAATGTACTTGTCTGATAGAAACAGGCAAAGATTCTCATATTCTGAGGGTGGAGGGGCTTACTGAACCCCAGCTGAGCTGCTGTCCAACTCAGGAAGCTGGCAGAGATTTTTACTGAGGTTTCTACAGTCCTACAGGTCACCAGTGCACCCTGACTGTTGATTCATACTTTTTTAGCCTCAGTTCTGACCAGCTCTGCTTTTAAACCACCAGAAGACACCTGGGCCCATATTTCTTTAAGCACTTAATGACCAAATGCTGTATAATAGCTATTCTTCCGGTTAGTGATCATGCAATGAACAGCAGGTCCCCTAGGCCCTGTGTATTGAAGTGCTTTAAATGGCAGTCTGGCAGCTTTTTTCCTTGCAGCATCTCAGTTTCAGTATATTTAACAAAAGACACTTTAGTCCTTTTATTTTTTTTTCCCCTCTTTGTTTAGAGATAGAAAAAAGCTTAATTTAAAAAGTATTCTCAGTAATTCAGACTGGAACACTAAATTTCTACAGCTGAGTCACATAATAGGATAACTTTTCCCATCTGTATCAACCCTCTCCATCTTCCACACAGTCTGTTAGAACTAGGCAAGAGGAGGAGGTAGAACACACCACCTAGTGTAGGACACACTACAGAAAGTGGCAGGACATCTATTAGGAGACATTTGTGTCTGGTGTAGTTCCATTTGGCAGAGCAAGCCTGCTGGAGAGCCTAGTGCTTATTGCAAGCAGCTCAGTTAAAACACTAAAACACACAACTGTGCTCTTCTGCTCGACCTTTTTTCTTAGTAGTAGTGGTCGTCCTGTACAGGGCACACTGATGGCACCTGGAAGAAGGTCAGGCTCCTTGCAGGTGTGAGGATGAAGGCAACATACATACAGAGGAATGAGGCTTAGCAAGAGCCAGTGTAAGTGACACAGACAAGTCTGGAACATTTAAAACAAATGTGGTCACATCAAGTAATTGTCAAGATGTATTTGTCGACCACATCATCGTATCTGCTCTCCTCAAACAGATATTAATCCTCACACCTCCTTGCTAAGAAAGGTAGTACCATTCCTATTTCACAAGTGTGATAGAATAAACTACAGCTACAGTCCTGCAAAAATCCAGAAATCAGCTGCCTGAGAGCTTCTGTCTACACCTGGCTTATAGAGGGAAACCTTTCTCACAGAGTAGTAATGGTGTAACTTAGGCTTAACAGTTTCATTCAGCAAGGACCTCACTACACATTGTAGCACAGGTTGTTGTCCCCATTCTATTCCATGTTACCCTGAGGAAACAAAACTGAGGAGGGTATTCACTAAGTTCTCAAAAGTCAGGAATAAGTTTGAGTTTTTTTAAGATATGTGCAGAAACAATACGAAACACCCAACAACGTGTCAAACTCAAGAGCAGGGTGTCTCTGCACTGTGGCTGGATGAGCAGTTCTGACTAGGCCTATTCCACAGTGGGCTCTTCTGGTGCGCTGCATCACACTGCAAGCAGCCTGGTGCCTATTTCCATTAGCAATTAAAGCACTGAGGTTGAAGGTATGAGCAAAGATCATTAACCAGCAACCTCAAATTGATCCTTAAAAGCTGATTTCATGGGTTTGTTCTTTTGAGTGCTAATCAGGCTTCTTCTCACTTTGACAGTAACTGCACCGATTTACCTGCAACACTTGAAATATTCAAATGGTTCACTATTAAAATAAGAAAGGTTATGTAATTAAGCTTTTTCCCCCCCCTGAAATGTAAACTTCGGGCATTCTCAGTCCAGTTTAGTATTACATTTTAACTTACTTACAGTGAGGATCAAAATCTGAAATAATTCTAAACTTAATCTACATTTGCAGTGGAATGAAGCCTGCTCCACTATTTTGCTACTGTACTTCAGTAAGAAACTTGTGGAATGCAGCAAAAGTTGTGACAACAGATCACTATGGATCTTCTCTACATTTGATGTAAAATGGATTATTCAGAAAGTTAAACTGCCCTTGATTTTAGATTGGCTGCCATACCTGTAAGTTTTTTGGCATCATATTTGGGGGTATTTACAAACTTGGAAATCAGTGTGGTAGTGGGAAGTTCTAGGAAGCATTCTGAAATTTTGTGGACTGCAGGAAGGATAAGAATGTTACCTACATGTGCTGGTGTATAAAGCCTCTTTTTTCCATTGTCTGGGCAAGTAAAATGCTTTTTTTCAACATTTAAATAAATGAACCACTGTCCTTGCTCCCTCCAAGTGACAGGAATGCTACTGCTGATTTGTTAGCTCAGGGTGCAGTAGTCAATACTCACCCACAGTCCACAGCTTTTGGCTCTTCTGGATGATCACCCCTTGCAACAGAGCAGTTCTAAAGTAACTGCCAAAGGTGCAGTCCACACTTTTGCTGGCTTCCAAAGATTCCTACAGCTACAGGAAAAAGACAACACAAGTTAATTACCAAGGAGCTGATTTTCTGCATTCAGCATTATGAAGCAGCCTGATGTCCTGCTTAGAGCCAGGCTGTATGTCTGTTATTATTCAAAGCCTGCAGAGGTTTCCCCATGGCCTCATTTAAACTCAAGCACTGTAGCAATTTTTCAGCCATCCATTCACCCTTGCTTCATTTACAATACAGAGGAGCTCTAGCAGATCAGTGGCCTTCATTACATACTGCAAGGGAAAACACTTGTGACAGACTTAACACCTGTTAACCTGTGCCCCACCATGGCACTTGCCAACATTCCAGCTGAGTCAGCCCACAAAGGCACAGAGCAGCATCACGCCTCTGGGATAGCTAATACAACGTCTGCCAGAAAGACAGGGGCATGACAACTGCCTCACTTCTCTTTCAGATGTGCAGTCACCTCAGTATCTTCTTGTCTGCAGCATCCCAGGGAAGAAAGTCTATATTTGGCTACAGTACAAACCAAAATCTGTAGCCAGAGCACTTCCAGATGGGTAACAGATGGCTAGATACACAAAACACGTCCCTGTTCTAAACACTGAGCCTGCTTCTTTATGTGCTGCCCTTGGATCCTTACCAGTGCTCACACTGGGCAATCCAACCACAGCTTCCTACTGCCCTAACACTACCATGGAATAACAAGAGATGAAGATTTCCCCTATTTCTTTCATAGGAAACCACCTGAGGCCTGGCTTACACCATCACTCCTTTACAGTTGTTGGGGAAATGGGCTGAAGCTTAAACCCTGGTATAGTCCATGTTAGTTGGTAAGACAGAATTGCAGGGCCAGCATCCCCAAGTATTACTATTTAGCTTACTTACAACAAGTAAAGGAGGACTGCTACAATAGGAGAAGACAGAGAAGCTGCAAGGCCTGGCAATGGCAATGTTTGCAAAGAGGTATCAGAGGCTGGCATTTAAGGTTTTGGTTTTTCACCACCATGAAACAGGATTGAAACTTTCAGCTCCTCCATCTGACAAGAGCTGCTTCCCCAGTAGGCCACCAGCTCAACAGACTCTTTCTTACTTAGAGCTCTGTTCTAGATTACCCAGCTCCCCACCAGGCCATAAAGCCTGGCTAAATCCACAGCCCAGTAGTTCTACCACAGCCATTCCCCTCCACAGAGTCAACAAGGTACCCAGCCAGTCTCAAAGTAAAAAAGCTATGCAAAGAAAGAGCAATCCTGAACCACTTTGAACTCACAGAACCCATCAAAAAAATTTCAATATCAACTCCCAAAGCAGAGCTGCATGAACAGGTCCTGGCAAGCAGCCATGCTCACTGCCTTCCTCCTGACACCTCAGGGTATTGTTTCCCTTTATGCTGCAGCACATTTCCTTTGCTGTAGTCACCTAGACCAGAGACACCTTTTATTTTGGTCATGATACACACTAATAATCAAACCAGGTATTCATGGGTCTCTACTAACTGACTCTACTTCCTACAGAAAGATGCCCTTTTTTCATTTAAGCTTTGTTTTTCCACTCAAACTAAACTGGGACTTCGATTTCACTATTGTGTAACATCTGACTGGAAAGCAGAGTTATGTAGACCAAATTCTTTGACTGGAACATGTCCTTAAACATTCTAACCACAAGTCCCTGGATGACTTAACTTACTACTCAGAGGGTAAGAAAGAAAACTGTGATTCTGACAGTATAAAGACTGGCTTGTAAGCTACAAAACCCAACTGTCCTGTCCCAAGAATAAGAAACTCATTGGCCTGTTTCTCTGCTCCTGACACTGCTACAAGTGCCTGAAAAATGTGTCTGCTACACATCTCCAAAACCAAAAGGTGACTAATAGAAATAAAAGTACCAAAAAAAGACGTGCCTCTAAGCCAGAAAACTGTCCAGGCCAAAAGGTATGCAAACAACAGGCAACAACAAAGACTGACAAACTATGAACACTTTCTTAGAGAGGAACTTTCGGATACATTTGCATGCTTCTCTCCTGGAGAAGATGCAGAAGAACTTGAAAAAGCTTCCAAGGACATGCTCCAGTAAACTGGAGCAAAATAAGGCTTCCACATGTGGCAGAAAGTACCAACAAAGAGGTGCCCCCTAAAGCTCAAAATGGTCTCTGCAAGTCCTGAATAGGTTCAGAGCCAAATCTCTGCCAGAGACCAGTTTTAGGACAACAAATCAGCCAATGCCATACAGCGTTCTTCCCAAACCTGCTCTCAAGTTCTGTTCTAGAAGGGCATTGGTCATGGCTGAAGTGCACTCTGGCTGCTAACTTTTGCCATCAGTGGAGAATAGCTAAGAGGGGACCCGAGAGCAAAGAAAGGTCGCCAGTACAAGTAAACTCACTGGTCCTTGAACAAAACATAGCAAGGATCCACCCTGAAAGAACACTGATTAGCCCAGTCCCCTCTACTGCTACCACCAATAATTTAATGGCACTGAGGACAAACACCATGACACTCACCATATGCTCCTCCCAATGCTCCTGCTCCTGAACCCCTGCCCATCAGACAGAACTGGCAATACAGGTGCTGCCCAGGAGCTGCAACAACACTCAGGTGGCTACAGATGGATGTGTTGATATGAGTGCTGGGTACCCTGAATCTCTCTTCACTTGCATTCCTATCTTTGCCCTGATCTGAGACAACAGTAGAACAATGTAACCAAGTATAGCACAGTATGCAACTGCAAAAGTACCCAGGGAAAATGGTTAACCAAAGCACATGTTACAGCCACTGCTGCATGGGGCAGAGAACAGCTCCTATAAATACACACCTACTACAACACCAGGAAATCAAAAGGATGTATTAAGGATATTAAGACAACAATAGAAGTGAACCTTCCCCATTAAATTCTGTTTTGAGCTCAAGCTTTTTTGGCTTAAGCAACTGCTAATCTTTCATAACAGCACCTACTGCTGAATTAAAGCTCTCCAGTGAGAAAGAATGGACCTGCTCCTTAGGGAGCTTCTGACCTTCAAAAACAGCAATCAAAAAAATTGCCTGAACCTTTTCACATCAATCTGGTAATTGCAGAAAGCAACAGGGGAAAAAAACATAAAAGAATGCTGTTCTACATAACTGTGCTGGTAGACATTAGTTGCATAGCCACTTCACCATTTATTTATCACATACCACATCATTTCTTTCACAATTTTGCCTAAAATTTGCGACAGGTTAAACAAGGTCACAGTTATCCAAATTCTAGCAATCCAAAAGCTCTTTTCCACATATCTCAAACTTCACTCCTATGCTGAGATGCACCAAGAACAAATATCATTGACCTCCAGACAATCCTCTTGACTGTCTTTAAACAAGTGACTCTATCAAAGCTCTATTTCTTTAACACTATTAAGTGCCATTTTGAAGTTCTACCTAGATGTTGCTGGAACAAGTATTTCTCCATAAGAGAAAGACATCAACAAAATCTGCCCTTTTTCTAATACGCTGCAGCAGTATTTATTAATCATATTTTTTCCACATTTTTTTCATCCTTACCTTATATTGACACCATTGCTGCTTTGATTTCACTTTGATGCCAGGACACCAAAAAAAACTGAAGAATTTTTTTTGTATTGTTGGCACAGGATGCCTTTCAGATAACTTTTAATCTCCTTTATCAATATCTGCATTTTCTAACTGTTAAGTTTTACTCATTACTGTCATTTTCTCTATTTATTTTGCATAAACATTGGCAGATACACCTCCATATTTTGATTGTTTTCATGTCTTCTTTTAGCTAGGACAAGTGTTGAATCAGAAAAAGCCTCCAATGCAAATGCAGTTAGTTGTTTTGCTGACCTAATAAAGAATTTGTAAGCAACTTCCATTTATCATTTCTCTTTCATCCTTAAGTTCTTTCTTTTGCTCAGGAGTATATAATTTTTTTGTTAATACCCAATTCAAAAGCACCAGAGATCACCAAGGATTTATCAACATGCTCATCTCTCTGCCCATTAAAACTGTGGTCGCTGCAAGAAAACAACCCCCAGTCCAAGGTCTCTAAGTGTCCAGTGGAACAGCCACTTGCCCCACATGAGCTCGAGACACCCCCCCCCCAGCAAATATCACATACCTGGTGCTTTTACAACACAGATGGACATCACCGGTACAGCTTGTTCAAACACCACCTACTATGGCGCTGATTCTGCTTTGCAGGAAAATTAATACTTGCTCAGACTGCGAGGGGATTCTTGCAGAAACCCAGCAAGATCCCAGCTGCATTTCAAACCACATCTGACAGACAAGCCCACTGTTTAGCAACCTGCTCACAGAGTGGCTCGTTGGCCTTGATTTCGTGACAGCCAAACCCTCAGGCTTTCAGCTCCACAGGCTACAGCAGTCCACCATGCTGAAGCAAGCTTATTTTCTTTGTATTAAATGCCAAAGTGAGATGACATTTCTATGAGAAACCTAAAAATTTTAAAACGTAGTTGGAAACAGAATGGAAGGTGAACCACCATTACTTTGTATAGACTAAGGAATTCAATGTGCCACCAGATGTAATAATGAGCCAAGAGTGTCTTCTATGGGGAACCATAGAAAGAAAAATGTTGAGGTTTTAATTTGTTGGAAAGAGAGGAGGATCAGTGTGGAGCACAGGACCACTCATGAGGAATGCCAAGAGGTAACAGAATGTCTGTGCAGCAGTGTCTGAGTGAGAACAGCAGCCGCTGCACCTTGCATTTAGTAGAGAAAAAACAGTCACTTGCACCTCTGTGGTTCTCTTACGTGACCATTTCTTCTCTGTACTGCCTCCTTTCTCTTGGCACCTTTGGTTAACTCTTCTCCCTGCTCCTTTTCTCACATGGCACATTATGTGGGATGCCACACAGCAGCAAAAGGTCTGTGACTGCACCTGCAGCTCTCTGGGCATAGACAAAGCCAGATGCAGAGCTCTCAAAGGCTGTTGCTTATTTTGCATGAAAAGAGAGCAGAAAACAAGTCTTGTATTGAATTCCTCTTTCAGAAAGGGGAACAGATCTGCCTGATGTCTGACTCGACAGCCCAGGTTTCATGCCTTGCAGGAGGCAGGCAGACCACCTTAATGGATGACAGCCATAGGTCTGGAAAGGGTAGGACTAGTGCCCTCCTGATCTGGGTGTAGATAGATCAAACAACTTGGAGGTGTACTTCTGGAGGTTGTCCCAGCTTCATTCCCTGCCCTTCCCCCCACTCCCCAGCATACCTTGCTGTTATAGTAAGATGAATTTCCACTTAAAGCATAGTGAAACTAAAAAAAAATGGATGTACTTTCAAGACACCACATATATTATATGTAAGCTTTGCTGTTGATATCTTTACATTGAACCAGCAGTTAAAATTCACACATGACAGGAACAGACAGTATGTTCTCCAGTTGGCTCAAATTGTGTGTCACTTCAACTTCAGTAAAATTGTTTTAACTTTTCTTCTCCTCCTGTTTCACTGTTTATATAACTAGAAGGAAACGAGGTATTTTCAGACAACATCCAACAGAGAGGTCAAGGTTAGTGAGTTTTCTAGTTCTTCAACACTGGTAGGTTCCCAAGGATAAAACACAACCACTTTCTTCTTTTCAGTCATGAGGAAACCATTATCACTAAACCTGCCTTTTATATTCCCTACATCCATAGAAACAAAAGGAGCAATTGCAGTGGTCTGAAGAACAAATATATAAGTATCATCTTGTTTGGATACAGAAGCCTGAAAGAGAAATAAAAAAAATAAATAAATAAAAGAAAATATGCATGTTAAAGAAGACCCCAGTCACACCCAAACTGGTAAAAGAGCTGCATGCCCATAACACAGACTGAACAACCACATTTGATCCAAATTAATAATCTCTTCTGGAAACCAACAGGATTCATATCCAAGAGTCATGCAAAAACTGCAAATGTTATTACAGCCTTGCTACAGAATAATACAGATGGTGGAAGAATGCCAAAGTGTTATCACTCTACCATCTTCTTATGAAAATAACTGAATAAATGGTAATCTGACTTGCACATAGTACTTGTATCCTGTACTTACTGCAGTGAAAGAGATTTGTCCTTTCATAACACTTCACTCAACCGATCAATTCACAACTACTAAATTGCCATTTCAATTAAATCCATGGTAGAAATACACAGAAGCAAAAGATGGTAAAAAAAAACATCACAGTAACACAGGAGGTGAAGGGCAGTGAAGCCCTTATACTGTGTTTAGTAAAATATAAAAAAAAATAGTTGTAAAATACCAGGACAAAGTTTAATGTTTTATATCAAGTTCTACCAGTAGTTACTCTCAGAGAGACTTAAAATCCCAACCAGGATGCATTTTCATGCAGCACTCCCCATTCACCATAATGAAATATTATGCAACATAGTTTCCAAATGCCTATTAACTATATATAAACAGAAAACAAATTGTATTCAGTGCAGACGTCACATTCCAGTTACACAAAAAGCAAGGCCTTTCATTTTTAACAAAAAGCACGCATCCTTTGCATTTCATGTTTCCTGAAGAAACACTAATGTCTTCATGCTTTTTAAGAGCAATGCTATGAACAGCAGCTCTTGGATTAGCAATGTATTTGAAAATTTAGTTAGCTTATTAGTAACTATGTATAGAAGCACCACTTCTTGCTAAACAGAATAATGCTTTTAATCACAGATGCATGCTTTCCTAAGATGACCACTTTGAATTTATCCTTGTTAGCTATCTGTACTGCAAAGACAACACAGCTATGGGATAAAGGAGTGAAATTTCCCAACGATGCTCCAGTTGCAGAGCTTTTATTATTGATGTTGTCACCCACAAAAAAAAAACCCCAGCATGACTCAGACTCCAGATTGTGCCACCAGCTGAAAAAAAATAAAAACAGGCTGATTTCTTTCCTTTGTATACGCAGGAGGCAGACTGCACTGCGAGATAAGAGGGGAAAATCTGGCCCATTTTCTTTTTGTAAAGCAATTATGCTGGTCCAGATTCAAAGAGATTAAAGACCTCTATTCCACCCTTGTTTAGTTTAGTCCCAAAGAGCAAAGCTGCAGTTTGAAAGCCAAATGTGAGAAGGCACAGGTCCCCATCCTGCCAATCTGACGATTAGGAATTTTGCAATAAAATGTAAATGCTAAGAAGTGAGGCAAAACAAAATGTGTGTGTGTACACACACAGAGCATGCATGCTCCCTCTATACACAGCAAGCTTGCTGGGAGCAGAAGAAATCTAAGGAAAAGCACCAAACTGACTAAATGTTACACAACACTGATGCTTTTTGTGCCTGTTCAGAAGACTGACACAATTGTCAGCTATTAAGAAATAATCACTATTACACAAATCAGAACCCTTTCTGGAGGGCAGGGAGTTGAAGAAGGAAAGGATCACGGAATATTACATGTTAGCAATGGTACACTGATCTTAGAGTGTGAGCACTTCAAGAGGAAATACTAGCACTTCAAAAGGAAAGAGAGGAAATATCATGACAACAATGCACTCCACACTCAACTGAACTAGGAACACCTAATAGTGACACTACTGCCTGCAAGCCAAAACACTTGTCATGATGCTTTTTGCTATCTAGGGACACAAAAGTAAGAAAGGAGTAATGCTGCAGCAGTCAGGTGAAAGACAGTCTAAAAAATGAAAGGGAGGCTTCATTATTTGAAAAAAAAAACAAAGCCCAGGCAAAAAACACACATGAAAACAAACAAACAAGCCACCAGTCTTATTTAGATATTCATATAGTGACACAGAAAAAAAAAAATCTGATTTTGAACTCAACATGGAAGCTATAACAGCAACAACTAAGGAGAAAGAACATTCAGTGGAACCAGACACTGCATAGCAGGCAAACCACTCAAACCAGCAAGATCAGCAAAATCAAATGCAGTAATTTAGCATGATTGATGCTTACACTAAGCTGGGTCTTTTCTAATCCTACAGCATCCTTTAGTGATGAAAGGAAGAAATGGTTCATAGGACTCTGGAGGCCATCTTCTCCCACAAGACAGAAAGTAATAACACAGCTTTTTCTGGTACAATTTCTGCATCTTTCCAGAACATCACTTATGGACTCCTTGTAGATGGGCACAGCACTTTGTGCTTTAACAATCACACCTTCTTTGGCAAGGATACATACTGGCTCCAAAGAACCCCAGGTGTGCACAACGACCTATTGAAGCATATTGAGAGAGCACAAATATTAGAAGAAAAGCTTCATCTATGAAAGCAGTGCAGCATCCTAGGTTTCAGATTGCTCATTGCAATAGATGTTTTCCTGACAGTACCAGCTGATTTCCACCTAGCAAGAAACTCTACAAAGATTTAAACAATAGATATGGCATAATAATTAGATCATTCTAAAAACAGTTAGTCCATTTCAAGCAGTCTGGAGCTGTTGTTGTTTTTGATCTGCAAGACTTTTTGTTTTCTCCAGGCTCCTCCAGAGGAGGGGACTGCCAATTTCTGCCAAGGGAGTGCTGGGAAATGGAATTAGTGAGTGACTAATTTGTTGACTCTCTTTCCTCCTCTCCTTGATTAAAAAAAGTCAAGCAAAGGATTTTCTTAAGATTGCTCAGTGTTATCTGATGTAACTCAACTGGGTAAGCTAGAGTTTCTGCATAATCACCATTAAACGGAAGCAAGCTGCATCACCTTAAAAGAGACTATGAAAATTATATTAATACAGCAAAACACACTTCCAAACGTCATACACGTATTATGAACATACCTTTAAAAAAAAGGCATAATTTGGAAGATAAGCACATAATGAGAATTACATTTTATTTACAATTTATTTCATAAATTTTAGGTTATTTTTTACCTCAACAGGAGTCTGCAGTCAGAAATAGATCTTAACTCCTTTCAAAAGTTAAGTTCCAAATTTTCTTGAAGCGCAAAATACAGTATTCATCAGAACTACCCTACTGCCAATGATTTCCTGATGCTATCAGAAAATCTGAATTTAAGTCTGTTAGAATAACTCAGACCAGAAATAAACAATTTCAATAAGTGCAGTTCTAGTCCGAACTATCCAGAAATTGCAACCATTTTCTGGACCATATATTACTATATATAAGCAACCTTATAAATCTCAAAATTCATGGAAATCCACCAGACAGACCAGTGAACCAGGACTTGACACACTCACCCTATTAGTTCCAAAATGACTAGTGAGTCATTCCAGATCTGGTTTTCCATCCTTATCAGAGTTTTCACATGGGACACACTTTATGCTAGGAGTTATATCTCATCGTGCAACATGGTCCCTAAATTCACTTGGGATCTGGTTGCCACATGATTAACAGCAACAAAATGTAACAAGTTGAAAAGGAAGACTGTGGTCTACAAGGCAACTCAGCAGCCCAAATACTTCCTAAAAAATCCTATCAGTTTCTACAGTATTATCAGAAAACAGTTTAAGGCATCAATTGAAAAATGATAACACTGCATAAGTGACCTTGCAATTAATGTACACCTTGATGTTCTATCAATATTTCAGAAAATAATCCAGTCCTTTTTCCCAAAGTGGTATACTTTGAGTACCAATAAGCAGTGGTACAATCCCTTTTTCCTGCCCCTGCTTAGTCAGTTAATTTGGTTCTAACACCCAGGAACAGTTTTGTTAAGTAGTGAGGTACCATTTCTCACACTTTGTTCTGTTTAACCATCAATCCCTTTAAGATTTCAATAGAATAGTTAATTCCAGGCTTGTACCTACAGGTTGAAAGCAAAGCACTTAATTCCTTCTTCTGTGAAGCAGTACGCACTACTATAATAAAAGACAGTGTTGCCGCTAAGAAGATTAAAGACTAGAGTTGCACCTCATTGTGTCTGAACATAGCTTGAAGCTTGTTAAGCAAAGATGTGCTCTTTCAGCTTCTCACATTTTTGCAGGAGGCACACAAGGGTGGTGAGAGAGGTGTCACTTACCCTCAAAGTCAGCTTCTGGTCCCCATGAAGATCTGAGACACCGTAAATGTACAACACACCTTGGTCTTCATACGCCACAGGCAGCAGTGGTGCGAAGAAGTTCTGGGCAAAATAATGGAGCAGTTTCCACTTACCACCATACTCTGTAAAGGGTTAAAAGGAAGAAAGATTCAAACTGAATCCAAGATTCTCTTGGTACTCAATCTCTTCCTGTGCTTTATGGTCCTGCTATGGCAATACAACATACTTCTCTACCCTTTTGTACCTCTACCAAGTGCAAAGAATGATTGAAGGTACTCTAGCTTCCTTCCAGGCAAGGCTCTACTCTAAAGATTCGATGCTCCTTGAAGCTTTACTTTGAACTTCACCAAAAGGTCACATTTTCTACCTCTTGGTCCTATCATTGCTACACTGCCATTCAGCTAAATAAAGCTTTAAACACAAGTGACAAAACTGACATGGCATACCATACATTTAGCAAGCAGCAAGAGCATCTATGTTGTTGAGGATCCAGAACACACTGGCATTGCCACAAGCTACCACTACTATAAAAAGAGACACCAGAATCTGACTTTTGGTGCTTATACAAAGTGCTTTCTTCCCCTTTTTCAGTCCCCCTCTTTCTTAGAGGAACATCAGTAGCAACAAAGATAAAAAACAAGTTCTCAAACCAAAGACAACTCTGAGCTTGGCAAAATGAATTTGCCAAGATCTAGAGACAACATTTACTTCATGAGGGCCATATGTATGTCCATGACAGACATATGCCAATCAGTTGGCATTGCCTCTTTAATGAGATGTACCTCATTACTTTTAATACTTTGAAAGCCTGCCATTAAACTGGAAAAGCCATCAAACATTGTGTCCTCTCCAAAAAAAGCAATTTTGCCAGATGCAACAGTGCCACATAATCATTTTGGAAGAAAAGCTGCTTCCATTTCTTCCTCTATTAACCTTCCATCTAGCACCCACCGTCAGCATTTTAAGTCTGTCGTTGCTCAGTCATTATCCAGTCATTGAAACAGCACTAAAAGGAAGTAGCAAGTCAGCTGCAGCATCTCATAAGGAAAGAAAAGTTAGATACTGATTTCATTCTTGTTGTTGGCTCTTTGTTTTATGCAACAGGTTTAAAGTCCATGGATGCTGAAAAATATTTTCAGTAATATGTTTTTCTCGTAACTAATTGCTTCTCTGTTTTGGTGCCTGTACAAAGCTCTTAGCATTTTCAAACAACTCTTAAGTAAAGACTTCATTCAGAGTGATATATCCTTTAAAGGCTGTGTTTGTGACTTTCCCAGGCTGAATATGCTCTGCCTGCACTCCACATAGACACAAATGAACTTTGAGGAGCGTAAAGTGCATTAGCTCCAGCTTATCACCTTACACATCACCTTGTTCTCAGCAAGTTCACAACCAGCTAGCTTGGAGAACGGACAAGCAAAGCTTGAATCTGCTTGGAAAACCCATACAAGATTCAGCTGTGCTGTGAGATCAGTCTGTTGCCAGAAAAAACACCATTCAAATTAATAGTACTGAAACAAACCAAAGAGGTAAGTCTAAACGAAAACTTCAGGAGAGGCTGCTGAGCTTCTTCAAAACAGACAGTTGACAAACTGATGAACATACTCAGTATATTGGTGCTGCTCAGTATACAGAACTGTAGAACCATTTATGTTGCAAAAGACCTCTAAGATCATCAAGTTAACTGTTCACCTGCCAAGTGCATCTCTAAAGCACGTCCCTAAGTGCCACATCTATACAACTTGTAAAGACTTTCAGGGATGGTGACTCCACCACTTCGCTGGGCAACACTGACAACACTTTCAGTGAAGAAATTTTTCCTAAGATCCAATTTAAACTTGCCCTGGAACAATTTGAGGCTAGTTCCTATTGTCCTGTCACTTGTTACTTTTGAGAAAAGGCCTACCCCCACCTGGCTACAACCTCTTTTCAAGTAATTGCAGAGAGTGATAAGGTCACCCCTGAGCCTCCTTTTCTCCAGACTGAACAATCCCAGCTCCCTCATCTGCTCCTCAGACTTGTGCTTCAGAGCCTTCACCAGCTCTCTTGTCCTTCTCTGGACTCGCTCCAGCTCCTCAATGTCTTTCTTGTAGCGAGAGGTCCAGAACTGAACACAGAATTCAAAGTGCAGCCTCACCAGTGCTGAGTAGAGAGAGGCAATCACTGCCCTGGTCCTGCTGGCCACACTACTTCTGATACAGGCCAGGAAGCCATTGGCCTTCTCAGCCACCTGGGAACACTGTTGGCTCATGTTTAGTCTGAAGTTGACCAGCACACCCAGGTCTTTTCCTCCAGGCAGCTTTCCAGCCATTCTACCCCCAGCCTGTAGCTCTGCATGGGGTGTTGTGGCCCAAGTGCAGGACTTGGCACTTCACCTTGTTGAATCTCATACAACTGGCCTTGGCACATCAATCTAGTCTGTCCAGATCCCTCTGGAGAGCCTTCCTACCACTGCCACCCAACTTGGTGTTTGCAAACTGACTGAGGGTGCACTAAATCCCCTTGTTCAGATCAATGATAAAGGCATTAAACAGGGCTGGCCCCAATACTGATCCCTGGGGAAGCCTGCTAGTGACCGGCCGCCAGCTGGATATAACTCCATTCACCACCACTCTCTGGGCCCAGCCATCCAGCCAGTTTGCTTTTGCAGTGAACAGTGCACCCATCCATACCACAAGCAGCCTTTTTCTCCAGGAAAATGTTGTAGGAAATGGGTGTTAAAGTCTAGATGACAACATCCACAGCCTTTACTTCATCCACCAAATCGGGTCACCTTGTCATAGAAGAAGATCAAGTTGGTCAAGCAGGACCTGCCTTTCATAAACCTGTGCTGGTTGGGCCTGATCCCCTAGTGATAAGAAGGAAGCATGTTCTAGCATTCCAAGGACAATTCCTGACTGAAAACATTGGTGGTTTAAAGGACAAATCCACCAATAACAGGGAGTGCTAACAAATTACTCTTTAGGGTCATGACACTTGAGAAGATGAGAGATTTGGACTGGGGATGGATTATCTGAAAGAGAGTAAACTGCAGGGCAGTACCTGATCTAACAAATAAAAGCAATGGGCCTTGTATAAGAAATGCGCTGGGACGGTTTGTGAGGGGTTGAAATATCTAAAACTCTCAGGACTGCTACAGGACTCTTAGGAATTTCAATTGTCAGTGCAACAGACCCCCAAAAGTTCAGACCCACCAGAGTTCAGACAAATTTTTTGAATTTTTTTCCTAAGTTTAATTTACATGACGAAAATCTAGGCTTCAAGTGTCTTAAATACGTACATCAATAAAGCAATTGATGTAGGGCAGTTTTTGTTACTTAGTGTAATATAAAATCATGTGTCTCTGATTTGGGCCCTTCTCTCAATCTCTGCTGTGCCTTGATTTCCAAATGGATTACACACTTGGAACCACACTGCAGTGGTTACTGGAGGGAAAGAGAGAAAGTTTACTATCTGGGTAGCAGATACAGAGACCCTCAAGAAACCTGTACAGAGGAGGAAAAAACTCAGAATAAATTTGGCATTACACTTCCACAGGGAAACAAAAACAATAGAAACCCCAACCAACATACAAAACCAAACAAACCACACACTTAAAAGTTCGTACCATTTCAAAAAACCATTCTACTACCACTACACCTATTGTTTTGGAATGTTTGAAAACATCAATAGTCTGTTTACCTCAGATCAGCTTTTTAAGGTTGGTATTTCCCTTTCCAAAAAACCTAGAGCCATTCTAAAGAACCAAAGCTCAACAGCTGTAGCAGTTTCACACAGGAAGTGCCTTTCAAAGAAAACTTTTCCAGCAACAGGATCTTGGTAATACAATTGTCAAAGTAACTGCAGACAGCATAGAAAACTGAAGCTCGCTGATTAAAAACCCCCACATTCTTCAGCTCATCTGTTGTCTTGATTTCCGTAAGACCAGAGCCACATTTCTGTATTTAAAAACAGGCAAGTTGCATATAAATACCTTCACATCTCCCCCCCCCCAAAAATGGATGTAAGAAATCTGAAGATCAGTAGCTATCGTGAAAAATCTCTGGGCTTAAACTTTCCTGTTACCGATATGCGTGCCCAAAGGCAAGAGTCAAAAGTTATTTAAAACAGCCCTGGGGTGGTTTTCTCCTCCTCCTCCCACATTTAAATAAATTCTTAAAGAAATCCAAGTTCCCCATTTTTTTTCTGATAACAAGGGGTGGGCACTCTCTGTGGTATCAAACTTCAGAACAGGAAACTAAAATTAGGTCTGTAATGAGACCCCGGTACCCTTTTTTCTGGCTCTTCCCTGAAGCTTCTACACTGATAACAGGAGTGAAAACAAACAGTTCTATCTGAAATGATTTTAAATTAATCACTTCACACCATTAAATGCAACCCGAGAAACATGCTGCTAGTTCTTTCCTCACTCCAGTCTCATGAATTCAGATCAATTATTCTCCATAACAGTCTGTACCAGGGCTCACCAGGGGCTCTAAATATTGAACCTGCAATAAAAGCCAGTTATCTGTTCAAGGGAACCTTGTGACAACTGAGTTGGGTACCTCAAGGTTACACCTGTGTGGGGGAGAGATAAATTGCCATGTGTATTACAGCGCTCTTCACCAAAACATACAGCATAGATGCTAAAGCATTCAACATGCACAACCAGCTCCACAACTAAGAGCTAACAGTCAAACCCCAGTTGTGATAAAAGCTGTCTAGTTCTGAGCTGAAGGCAGAAGTACTATGACAGGAATGCAGTGTTGTGTTTTCATTCAATCCCAAGCAAACATCTTAAAGATAAAAATTAAAAGGATAAACATTTGCTACCTTCTTCCTTCCCCATTTCATGAGGAAACATTTTTGCTTTGTAGGGGAAATTATGTAAGCCCCTCCATGGCTCTCTTCGAAATACCAGATTTAAATAAAAGCGCTCATTGGTGATACTACTGTGCCATCTAACAAGATGCAGAAACGTGTTTTTGAAGTGCAAATAAAACTAATTTCTCTGAAGTTTTGCATAATTCCAGCCATTAGCATTTCAAAATCCCTCTACCACACTGCCTAATTAAATGAATATTAAACCTTTCCTCATTCCACTGAGGGAATAGAACAAAACAAAGGGACAGCTGTATCTCTGCTGAGCTTCTTTTCTCTAAACCAACTTCAGCAACACATGAATAATTCAAGTATTTGATATATTTTCTACAGTGATGTCAGCTCTGTACTTAAAAAGACATTTATGGTCTCCACGATCTCTTGGTGTATCAATACACCTGTCTTTACAAAGAGACATTTTTCCAAGCATCTTTTTCTCTTGAGGTACTTAAAGCCTAAGAGCATAACCCATTGCTAGAATCATAAAAATGAACATCGGGATATTGTATTTCCTAATACAAGTCTAAAAAGTCCCAAAAGATGAGCATTATAGCTAGACCATTGCCTTAACATTTAAATAAATTAGCCTGTTTCTTCCACTAATTTGTTTTCCTTTGTTGCTGCACTTACTTACTTTGGATGAATAAATGAAAAAAAAAAAGAAGAAGAAGAACAAAAAGAGAGGGGGACAAACATCTCCCAGAGAAAGAGGGGAAGGATGGGGTGGGCTAATTTTTTTTTCAAAGGAAGAGAAAATGGTATTTTGTTCGAAGGACAGATCAAGAGCTTCACACTCTTAGCTTTTTCTAGTTCATTCTTATTTCTTCACATTCATGAAATGCTTAAATCAAGATTTGCAAAACCAGAATATTTAAGAAATAACTAAAATTGAAAGAGAATATACCCAATAGAATAGCTGCCATAGAACAGTTCTCCCTTACAAAATGACTTGTAGCCAAAATGGAACATGAAACACAGCCACTTCCCTCATACCACACATTCCTCATTCCTCCCCTATTTCTTACTGCCTGAGTGATTTCTCTCTTTATATGTCTGATTACCCCGTTTTTGTGTTCTAAAAAGAAAAAAAAAATATATATATAATATATAAGGAGATACCATGTCTGTAAATAGCATATTAGCAGAATAATTTAATCACAAAGAATGATTCACCTCATCTGACATCACATTAGACACCAAATCCCAGCTAGTCATCTCCTATAAAGAGTTTCTCAGAAGCTATGCTGGGTGAGAGGTTTCATATGAAGTTCTATGAAAACCACATTCAGCACAGAAAAGATAATTCCTCCCAGTTATCAGACAGCTAAGGACACAATGAATCACGTATGGAGATAACCACCTCTCCCTCAATTGACTTATAGAAGAAATCTAGAGGCCCAGCCTTTACACTGTAAATCCCATCCTGCTCAGAACAGGATCACAGTTGTGTTGGTTTTTTGACAGTGCACTATGGTCAACTCAAGGGAGAGGTTTTGATCATTTTACCATTGGGGGTAGAGAGGACAAAATCAACCAAATTTGTTGAGATTATAGAAAGTAAAATTATACATGGGTGTTTCTTCTTACTCTCCTACCCAACTACCTCCCTCTCTGTCCATTTTCACCCAGGGTGGTTGGGTGCATAAATGTATCTGTACAGCTGAGATAATAAATATGATCAGGGATTTCCCCTTCAAAAATAGAATTTATTAGAAGTCCTCAAATTTTAAATAACTGATTTTTCTAATTTTAAAATAATTAAGCTTGCAAAAAATGTAAAGACTTTTTTTTCCTGGAAAAACCTGGAAGATATATTACATGCAGCTGGGAGGATCCACCTCTACATAACAAAAGGAAGGGTAGTTGGAAGTTCACAAGGGGATTGTGTCCTCAATCTTAACCATCACTCCTTCCTAATAGGCAGCTTTGTCTGGCTTCAGCGATATTATTTCCTTGGGAGAAAGGAGAATACTGCTTAAACAAAAAAATATGTTTTTTTAAGAAATTAAGAGTTACATACAATTTTAACTTCTCCAAACTAAACCCTGCTCAAACAAGGGTAAGAACTGGTGACTGCTAAGTTTGAACTTAAGCTGCAAAACTTCCACAGGAAAATAATTGCTTTGTTCTATACCCTCTATACCCTTTAACAGACTCTTAGGATGATCCTGAAAAAACACTTTTCTGGAAAGCATTTCTAAAGGATGGACAGAAATATGTTCAGGGTTTGTAAAGTTGCCCAAGAGACAGAGCAGAGCCATACTTCTTATTCTGACATGTCCAGATGAGGAAAACAAAACAAGACTGGTAGTTGGTGCTTTTCAGCAGACTGTCACAAAAACTTACCCAAGGAAGCCCATGAAGGTGCCTGCCAAATGTCATTGAGTTGCCAGTACAGAGCTCCCATTGTGTGTCCTTCTCCCCTGATTATTTCACTTTGACTAGCACGATAGAATTCAGTTTCTGTTTTTGTACACTGAGCCTGCATCACCTTGATCAACAAACACATAAAAAATATTTTTGGTATATTGTATTCTACTTTCTTTCAAAATGTGTGAATATATTAACATACAACACAGACTTCACAGCAGTAGCATATAACTTTAAACCCCCAAGAGCTGCCAAATGTCGTTAGGCTGCACTACCTCCAGTACACATTCCCTTGATGTCTAAACCCCTATGAACTGAACTCACAACACACATTCACACTATAAAGCCAAAACTGCACCAAAAGGGCAGCCTTTCTCCATCTGAACTCCCATTTCTTTTCTCCTTCCTCACCTCTTCTAAAAAACACTTTTCAGAATTGTTCACTGGCCAAGTTGTCAACAGATGCTAAACAGCCTGTTATGTTCTTCACGAAGCACATTACTAGGTTGGGGAAGTATTAAAAGAAATTCTTAAAATAAAGTTAAAAATCTTTAGGACAGCTCAAAAGCTAAAGATATCCACTTGAGCCAAGTTATTGTCGTTACCCTTTTTGCTAGCTTTATTTTGGTATTCTTCAATGGTTTCATCTGTTAGGAAGGCCCTGACAGACTTAACCCTGGAGAAACTCTCATAGCTTTTTGAGTCTGGACCCCACTGTGCAAGTTTTACCCCTGTTTTCAGTTTCACAGCATCATCTATCCTTGTTCTCTTGTCAAGAGTGCCTAAAATTCTCAAGCTGTTTTGTTTTTATATAAAACTTGCTGACAGCACTCTCAAACATTAAAAACTTAGTGTGCAGTTATTTCCATCAAGAGTGTTTCTGAATTTCCTGAAACACAACAAAAATTAACAGCACTTAACTTGCCTAATAGCATCAAAAAGTTACTTAACGTTTTTTAAAACTTGCACAGAAATCACAAATAAAAAAACAAGCATAAGGTAAAACTACTAGGGATGAAGGACAAAATATAAGCTCCTGATTTGAAAAAAAGCCCAAATTATATTCTCTAAAATATCATTATCTAAGCATGTAACAAAATAAAAGCTACTAATAATCTAATTCATAAAGAACTACATTCCCTAGAAAAAAATCTTGTTTTGAAAGCATGTGTGTTCCATGTGGCAAAAATCAAAGCAATAAGCCTACAGGGGCCACATGAAGAGCAAAACACACCCACCCTGGAACAGGAAGTAACATGTAGCACTGGGAATAATCTCATATCATGGAAACCTAGCACATCCCTGCATCCTCCACCAGCTTCATGAGTGAGCCCAGCTGGGGACAGGGACCAAGGTAGCACACACTGCCAGACTTTATCCCAGTTGAGCCAGTTCCTGGGTAGTTCCCTGAGAAGTATTCCAACCCTTCTATGATAAAAATAGGAGTCTCTCTCCAATACACGAGAGAGAAGCTATTTCCAAATTAAAACGGACTCTCAAATGCTTCAGTACAGAAACTTTCTGTATGACTGAGCATTACCTAACAGAACAGGCCAAGCTCTAACTGCTGACAGAATCTAATGGAACAAGTACTGGCAGCTACCTACACAGAAGATGTGACTGTTACCTGAGTGAGGTAAATTGTATCTTTGAACCTCTTTACAGGATCTGTGCCCTGCGGAAGCTTGAAATGATACCAAACTTCTTGAAGCATCTGAACATTGCCACTGTCGTGATGTTGCCGATGGAGAGAAAAATTGCTTAGGTAGGACCAGTCTTCAGTAGAAGAAACCTTTTAAAAAACACAAAAGTAAGGTATCAGAATGAAAAGGTAAAATGTACATTTAATGACCGTCAGGATACCAAGGAAAGGATACCTGTTACAGCCTGCTGATCATGCAAAACCTTAAAATTGGTAGTAGATTTCTACAGTGCCTCATGCAGTCATGCAAGGATTTTTAATCAGTAACACCCTTTGCTTAACACTCCTTGTACAAACAGATGAAAACAGACAATACTGTTGCAGCCAGTGGCTTTTGGCTCAATGGCATTTAACTTATTTGTCCTAAGGTTCGGTTTGGCCAAGGGATCTCAGAGTTTTGCTTGCACTTACAGTAAATCAGAAACACCCTACATTAACATGGAAGAACGTACCCTAGTCAAGCACATTTACACAAAAAAGTTACAGAAGTCAGTAGGGCTATAAATTCTAATAACATGTATATATATTTTCAAAACCTGACTCGGAAAACGTATGATCATAAACCAGCTTTTTTCAGCTAAGGACAACAATGCAGCATAATTCATACAGTTATTACTGCCAAACTTTCATTGTAATTATAATTTCTATAGAATCTTTTTATTTAAATTTGTTCCTTTTTAGACTGGATTGAATAATTGTCACTGTTATTAATATGGATGAATGTTCTGATTATGCTTCAGACAATATATTTTGCCCAGTAAATTTAAAAGAACATTCTGAACTCCTTTTGGTTGCATGCATGAGCATCAACATGAAACTCATCTCTCCCTAGATAAATGGACAAACAGCACAATATGTCTCTGCTCCAATTGGATAAATAAGATAGAACATAAAATATCTAAATTCAACAGGAGACATAAACAAATCCTCTTATGTGCGATACACCAAGAAGTGAATTATTTATGTGAAAGAAATTGCTAAAATTTACAAAAATCAAAACACTTTAAAATCCATCACAATTCGGCTTTTGTCATATTTCTTCTCTTTCTTAATGAACACATGTCCTTAGACACTACAAGAGGAAACATGTTAGGCAATCATTACTAAGCTATACATTAAGTAGAATTACTATTAAAACTAACAGTCTCATAATAGTCTCTTGCCTAAACTAGGTTCCCCTTGCAACATCAAGAATACTGAGGAGGAAACAGTACAGTTTCATCCCCTCCCTCCACACCATCACACACCTCTATCCCTCCTGTGCCATACTACACCTAATAATACATTATCCAAGCTACAGTTTGGATGCTGCAATTTGTTGGAAAGAGACTCGTTGCCCTCACTGAATGAGAGTGGAGGAGTCAGTAAGGTGTGGAAGCCCAGTCTTACCTTTTCGATTGTACTGAAGGAAGGCCAGGATTGAAATCCATATTCTGAAGCAAAACGAGTTTTAGGATACATTGTCCAGTTCCAGCAGTCCTTGTTGTAGTCATAAAAGTGAGTGTCACCATAATGGGTATCATAAGGATTCTGGGAGACCCAACCTTCTTTAACTGACTCCAAGCCATTGGTGGGACTGGATGCAATAAAAGGACGACTCCTATCTTCCTGGGATTTTAAAAAAAAAAACACAACAAAACAAAACCACAACACCCTCACAGAGTGATTGGCTTTTATCATCTATATACATGGACCATATTTTGAAAAGGCGGGGCAGGGAAAACATGCCTTTTCCAAATTTTTGAGTCACCACCTAGGAAACATTCCCTTTTATGTCCTAGCATTCATCATCTTTACTTGCTTAATTAGCTTCTTACTTATGTTATTGGAGGACAGCTGGGCATGATATTGCTTGCTCCACTGTTCTGAGGGATTCTCTCCTCACATCAAGAGATTTTCTATCTTTATATGCTTCTAAATTCTTAATGAAGGCTATTTAAAGTGTGCTTTGTGACTTCTTCAGGGAAAATTATTACTTTTGCAGTGTTTTTGCAGGAACAAGGCCATGATTTTCTCCTTTCTCATTAAACAGTCACCTAAATTTAGTCCTAACAAATCCAAGGTGTTCTGCTTCTAATGCTTAGATGGTATCATTACAGGTTATTGTCATTTTACCTGGCTCTGCATGTTAAGATAGATGAGACTACAAGAAGGGTTACATTTCAAATTGTTCAGATCTGCCTTTATTTATAGCCTCAGTAGACTTACAATACTAAATCTTTTAACAGTACCCTACAAAGTACTGAAGGAATCCTTTTGCAGGTCTAATTCATTTAGCACCCTACCTGCAGTAAGATAGAGGCCTGAGCTGGTTACCAGTCACAAGTTACAGCAATTGGCTCCAACACAGCAACACACTCAGACATGTGCTTCATATATTAAGAAATAGTTCTGTTCCCCCACACTTTTTTTTTTAAATGAGTAATTAATAATTAACTGAAACAAGTTACTACAGGATATCCTGAAATCCCTGAAGTCTTTAGCTCAAGGTTAGCAGTCTTCTTAAACTATACAGTCCAGTATCGCTAGTAATTACAGGTTTCCTCAGCTGGCTTGTATTATAGAGGACCTGAAGTTATTTCACCGCATGGTTCCTTCTGGCACTGAAAATAGTTATTCTACGGATTTAAAATAAAAGAGAGTCCATATGGGATGGCAATGCTGCACAAGTAAACTGTAACTAAAACCCAGTATCAAGTCAGAACACCTCACTTTGCTGCACATGCATTGGCCATCTAACTCATGTAGCTAATCACAGAAACAGCACAGCATACCTCTACAAATAGCTCAGTATAGAAATCTAGAATCAACACATTAAGCAGGAATATAAGACACTGTTACCATTTAGAATGAAAAACTGCCCTCAAAGCAGGATCCTTTTCAGCAGGTTCTTCCAAACCTGGTTTCATTTTTGTTGCTTCCTCGAATCTTTTCCTGTAGAAAGATGTTCTAAATTCTCAGAGTACAACTACACTGACAATGCCAGTAGCCTCCAACGACAAGCAATAATACTGCTGTCACTGAGTGTCTGTCTTAGCAAAGGGAAATGTCAGGTCACGAGCCTTATAATATTAAATGCATCTCATCGTGAATAGGACAGAAATTAGACTAAAATTATCATACCCTGCAGTCAGTAAGATCATACTGGGATAAGTAGGTAGGAAAAGGCCACTAGCATTTTTAGGTAAATAAAAACTCATACTCTTGTTGAAGCAGAAAGTTCTAACTGGACAAAATTCTTAGAGCATTTTGTCTCTTAGCTAACAGGAAAATTTACAATTCCCTACGGTTCAAGAATTGTTTGTCAATCCCTATACAATTATGTGACATTGATCTGGGACTTTTCAATCGATTTCACTCTACATACACACAAAAGAGTTAGGTAAAAGTAGATTCCATTAACTAATAAAGAACTGCAATACTTCTAGGAGGAGAAATAAAACTAGAAAAGCTGTGCAAAATGGGTAGTACCAAACTGCAGTAGACTTTACAGATTCCACGTGTTTGTGGAATGCATGCTCACAGTTTTAGTTCTACCTCAAAGTATTTTCTTTTGCCTTCATGTACTGTAGAATACCACTATTCTGTTCTTTCAAAAACACACAATATAATGAGGACATCAGCATGAGGACAATGTTTAACATCACTTTGGCTTAACCTGCTTAAGCCAAAAAACTTCAGTCAAATACTGGAAGAGTACACTGAAAAAATGACATCTTTATGGATTTCTTCAACTGCTATTAAAAGACCAGAGGGTTGTTAGATGCTTCTTATAGTATCCTTCAGCAAAATCAGCAAAAAGGAAACCTGATCATCTAGATTAATTAATTAATGGGCAAGTTGATTTGTGTCCACTGGCAGTGAAGGCATTTGTGGACGTATTAAAAGTCAGAAGGAAAAAAGAAGCAAGATCCACTACATTTTCAGGTCTTCCTTTACATATCACAAAATGCTAAAGGCGTAAGTAATTTTTTGGATTGTTTTACTCTGAGAATAACCCTTAAGTTTAGAGAGCTGTTTAGAAGAGCTTGGAAAAAAAATTTCTCAATAAGGTGCTGGGTTTAATTTCTCAAAAGGAGTAAAAAAGAAAATCCCAACTTAAAATCATTTGCCAAGGCATATTCCCCTACAGTTTCTTGAGATCACTTACATTAAGAACTATCTCTCGTATGTTCTTCACATAAAGCATCAGGTAGTCTCTGATATATCTCTCTCTTTCGGTATGAGGTATGGAGAACCAGTTGCTTGAAATTGCTGCTTCATTTTCATTGTTACCACTCCATAGAATAATTGATGGATGAGATTTTAAACGTCGCACCTGAAATACAATTTACAGTTTCAAGAGTCAAGCAAAATTACTTATCTTAAAATTTTTTTTTTTTAAAAATCACTTTGTTACTACTTGAATTACAAGTTCACACGCATATTACATATACTTAGCCTACAATTCCCATTTTTAGCTGCACTGTTCACCATTCCCTCAGCTTGCCACTAGGCTCAAACTTTTGTAACATACACTTTCAGAAAGGCAAACTTCTAACATGCTGACATATATCTACCATATGCACATGTGTACCTCCATCCTCATCTACTTAGACACATGTGAAGTGCAGTCTGCTTGACTGACTGCTCCTGCAAGTAGTAGAAGATTTACCAAGGTTATGTTTTATGTATATACTGCTACATAAAGGTACACTAATAAACACTTCCAAAAAACCACTTCTGAAAAGCTAATTTATACAGTTGGTCAATCAAAAATAGATAATGGGAAATAGAACTTTGACACATGGACAAAATACCTGATGAAGAACTTCTGCTGTTACAGATGCTAAATAATTCTGGTCAGTTGGATAAAGCGCACAGGCAAACATAAAATCCTGCCAAATCTACAGGGAAAAGAAAAGATTAAAAAAAATCCATTAGCAAATTATTTTATATAATTGAAAAATATACGCTTATTGGGATGCACAATTCTGTTCAGATAGAAGTTATTTATTTTAAAAAATTAAACTTAAATGTTTTATTTGTTATTCTTGGAAAGCACCACCAAGACAGTCATGTCCTCCTTGAGGTTCAGTATGTGCACACTCCACTGTGGTTGTCCTCAATATCAGAGGAATCAGATCCTGACAGCCTACACTGAGGAGTGCAATACTGCTCAGCAAGTGGAGTTCAGTGAGTTTCAAAAGAATAATTAGAAACATGAACATGGGGCAACTTGCAGCTGAACAGAACAATTCTGTATTACTACTTTGCAGGTGTAACACCAAATCCCCATTACTTAATGAGAAGAGACAGTAATTCTTCCAGCGTGGTATTGCGCACACTTAATCGATGTCAAAGTGTACTCATTAAGAAAACACTTCCATACAAAATGATCCCAAAAAATAGCAAATCTTACACAGTAAGAGGGGCAGAAACAAACTAGATCCTCTAAAAACACAGTGATTTTTCTCTTCAAAGAACAATCAAGTAGATATCATTGAGAACAACAAGCCTTTCAATTCAACAACAATAAACTCCATAAACTCTCCAACCTTGAAGGAGAAGAATTACAAAAAAAGAGGAAGGAAAGAAGCCCAATGAGATGGTTAAGATTTTTTGTTTACCTGTTCTGTTTATTAAACTGCTGTAACTTTGAGACTCCTGCTAGTCTATCTCAAATGTTAATGGAAAGGCCTCTACAAGGAGCACATTAACCCAAAGGAGTCTGTAGGAGACTATACTTTTCTGAACACCATACTATACAGAGAGAGACAGACCAGTTCCTCATGTAATTGCATTTTGATTGGAGTGAGAACATGCTTTTCCATGGCTCTTTTCAGCATACATTCCCTAAAAAACCTGAAGATAGGGCACAAGACAGTGGGGGGTAATGGATCTATTAGTAACTGTTAAAATCCTAACACTGTACACAAAAGCAAAGCTATTGCCGAAGAGTCACTCATAATCCTTTAGTGACTGACTGCGTGGAGTCAAAACTCTCTATTGAAAGAAACTTTCTCTCACTATTTCCCTCAGTGAGCTATCACTGGTTTTCCTTAAGCACAGTTTGACACCAAGGCACTTTAAAGCCTTCGCAAGACCTCAGAAGAAACAAAACCAAAAACCTCCATCACCACCCCCTCCAGAATAAGGATCTGATTTTCTGCATCTACTTGCTATTTTGGCTGTTAAATAGGATCTAAATCTTGTATTGAGCACTGTATAAGCACAGATCTAAGTGGCCTACTTAAGGTGCCTAGTGTAAAAAATGAAAGAACTGTAAGTCCTCAGAAGCCTTGAAAATCAGGACACTCATTCAGATGACTAAAATAGATGTAACTTTTTTTTTCCCCCAAGCACGTATGGAAGGCAGCAAAGTATGAATTCTGTTTCCCTGCTTTTTATGCTGCAGAGCAACACCAAACACATTTGCCAGGATTTTTAATAACAGATGCAATTTGGTCTTCATTCATCTAGTTGCTATTTCATCAAAACTTATTAATACGTGTCTCCAAGCCCATATAATTGAAGGTACTCGTCTAGTGATTGCAATAGGTGTTCCCCTTACTGCTACATTTATAGTCAAATGTAGCTTGTTCAAAATGGCCCTCTGGATGAAGCCTTCCATGTTTGACTTTGGGACAAATGAAAAGTTGGAACCAAAAAAACCCACACCTTTTCAGCAATTGCTATAAAGGAAAAAATAGTTTTAAAAGAAATAAAATCCATTTCCACAACTGAGAAAAGCATGGTTAACTTCTACAGACTTCTGTAAAGTCTCCAAAATATCACTTCTAGATTCAATAGACAGCCTTTTTAATCAGAAACCATTCAAATTAAAAAGAAATTAAAAAACCCAACCAGTCAACCAAACAAAAAAACAGGTTGATCTAACTTTTCAGGTTGATACTTTACAATATCCTTTGGAAAGATGGTTAGAATGCATGTATTAATTCTCTTATTTTTGTTCATTTAAAACGAATTTTCATTTACAAGTTCTTGTCAGTTTTTAAATAAGTGTTCTGCATTTATTGCTTTTACCATTATTCCTATTTCATCACAAATATCGTAAAATTCATCTTGTTCATATACTCCTCCTCCCCAAACCCGAAGTGCATTCATGTTAGCATCTGCTGCAGACTTCAAGAGTAGCCTTAATCTGTAAAATACAAGTTTTGTGAAACTGTATCACTTAGGGGTTTCTAAGGTTATACAAACAAACAAAGAAACAAATACCCCTACCAAAAAAACAAACAAAAAAGTCAAACAAAATCACAAAATCTAAATCATTAGCAGGCAAACTAAGACTTAAAACTTTGACAGAAATTATCAAAATACTCTGGTTTCTAAGCCTGCATGCCTTGACAGAGCTCTCAAAAAGTAATTTTTTGTGCAGAAAAAGTTGCTTGTTCCTGTTAATACTTAGGGAATAGATGGAGTGACACATGTGAGCGCTTTTACAAAAGTTTTGGCATGACTAGATTTAGAAATACACTATTTTATTAATCATATTGTTCATTTTCTTCTTAGATATTACTTGCTTTGTATGTCAATCACTTGAATTCATATTCTCTTTTAAACACAATCAGAAACGTATATGCTCTTTGTGAGTTCCACAATGCATAGTGAGAACAGTGGAATGAGAGGGTGAGGAGAAAGACTGAGACCCTGAATCTCATTTCAAGGGTTTCAGGCTCCAGACATTTGTCCTTAAATCATACTGGCAGCCTCTAAATTGCATATGAATGCACACTGCAGCATGCTCTGTTGTCCTGATTCCCCAACTACCCAGAGGAAAGTTTAGTCAAAGTACAGTATAGTCTCCATAAAAATACCCAAAAGGCCAGTAACCTATGAACTACAAAAAAATCACCTTCCCATCAGTAATCTCTCTTACATGTCTTGACACTCCAATCTATTCATGTTAATAAAGTCCTAATTCTGAAGCCTCCAACCCCCAATAATTAGTGTACTACCTTGAAAGCAGTTCCACCCACTAAAGCCAACCTTTCATAAAGGGTGTATAGAGAATCAGGAGGAGGAAAACATGATCCTTTGTCCTTAGAGGACATCAAATGTGGCTTACGTGTCATAGGTCACCCTGTCCTGGAAAGAATCTGCAGGAATCCAGTTCGAGCCCTTCAGAAAAATGGGTCGGCCATTGATTCTGAAGTAGAAACTCAGACCTGGTGAGCCAGGAATAGGCTCCTGAACAAGTTCTACTGTCCGAAAATAAGCCTGTGAAGACATGAAACTTAGATTTAAAGCTGACAAAAATGAATTAAAACAAAATTAATACAGAAAACCATTACAAAAATAATTGAACTGAACACTAAAAGCATAGAATTTGTCAAGGAGTCAAAAGACATGGTCTTATCTCTAAACTCCTACTTGCTTAAAACACACTGTAGCAGGACTGAAAATAATTCTTCCAATAAACCTGTTCACTTTTTAAAGTTATTATCATATTAAGAGAGAGAGAAAGCATGAGCAAATGACTGTGCATATGCACACATGTATGTAAGCAAGAGACAGATGCAGGTTTGCTTGCTGCAGAATTCAGTTAAAATTCCAGTTGATGACCAGTGGGAGGAATACAGTGGTTGCACTAGATCAGAGACACCATTTAATCTGCAGTATGCTCCTCACAGAAGGATGATCCAGCAGCTCAGTTGTAAGTCTAAACGCCTATCTTCAGGTTCACCTAGTAAAAGCAAAATCTTACTCTTTTACTGCCCTGAAATGATACCTTTTTAATAGGTGTAGCAATTAAAAAGATATGCATGCAAACACAATCACAGTTTCCAAGTGAAGGGCCCTCTGGCCTTCACAGCTGCTTTTGAACAGCAAGGTCAGCAATATGGTTTCAGAGAGACCAGTTCAGCTAAATAACCACTAACTTCATGTAAGGTATTAAAGAGCATTCCAGATAAAAGCACATCTCAAGCAGAAGCCAAACTTTTACAGCTGCTCCTTCAGCCTAATATATGACACTGTGTACTGTAGATAGATGCTGAAACAAGAAAATATTCCTTCTTCCCATTGCAGGTGGAATAAAAGTTCTTAGGAAATCACTCCATATTTTTTCTGGGACTTTACTTCAGTCAAAGACTTTACTTCAGCTACAATGCTGCTCTAAGGGGTATCCTGATTGCACTGACATAAACAGTCAATTCTACAGTCATGAGAGAGCACTTGGTTCACTGCAATAGTACTTTGCTCTGTCCCCTTATTTGTACAGGTGGCTTCCCCATCTGCCATGGAGCAGATGAAGAGCAGCTGCCATGCTTGCTTCTGTGCACCTGCAAAGTGTTACAGAAAATATCTTGTTCAGGGAGGCTTGAAATTTCTTTTTTTCCTGCATCCTTGTTCCAGTTCAACTTACCCAAGCCAGAAAGAAAACTCTTTTTCTTCATTGTACCTGTTGCTCTTTTGGGACAAATGAAAAGTTTGAACCAAAAAAACCCACACCTTTTCAGCAATTGCTATAAAGGAAAAAATAGTTTTAAAAGAAATAAAATCCATTTCCACAACTGAGAAAAGCCTCCTATTAGGGAGATAACTGGGAAATTATATAAAGTAAATAAAGTGGAGAAAAGCCAATAGCGAATTTCAGCCAACTCACACCAAGCAACAGGTTTGGGTCAGGAAGGCAAGAACCTCATTTTTTCTAGACTACCCCTAAGATAGCAACCACTCCTCCCTCAGATGACTATTTGCTTTACCTTTTCAAAAGGTCAGCTAGTAAAGTACAGCCTGTTCCCTCTCTGCCACAAGCTGAAGTTGAGGTAAGTATCTGTCAGTAAATCAGACTAAAATTAACTTAGTTAAGTGCAAGGGACATACCCGTCTTTAAGACGAAACTTATTTCTTTATTTCACAGATGAAAATTACTAATCCCACTATGAGACTGCATTTTCTAAACTTTCATTTTATCAAAAAATCACACATATAGACAGAAAACTATTTCCAGAGGTAGGGAAGTAAAAGAAAATTACCACTTATTTGCTTCCCCTTTGGTGCTTCGAAGTCAACTGAACAATTATTAACCAAACATCTGGACAGAGACAATGTATATGACAAACCAGATGCATGAGTGGAGGCTGCAGAACACTGACCTCAAACTGAACCCCTCTGCATTATGGTAGAGACCAAAAGATAGCAACTGAATGAATAAAAAAAATGGGATTGGCCCAAGTCCTGCAGTTTTACAGTGTTGCCCAGGGACAACAGTGCATTCTCGGCAAGTGGGACTCGGCATCCATATCACTAAAGAAACTCCCAGCTAGAGAAAAACTACAAAGTCAGGCCACTGAGAACATTTCAGATTCCCATTCCAATATCTCTGTGCACATATGTGCACTGAGGACAGTGTGACCTCCCTTTTTTCTGCTGCAATCCCATTGCTAAATGGGTTGGTTGAATATAGGTCAAAATGATGAACTTAGCTTTAGGACAAGAGTCGTACATCCAATCCTAGAATTTTGCAGACTTATTTTAACATGAGAAGTTGAATTAAAAAAAATAACCATTACAAAAATTACCTTCCTCAGTGAATTCAGTTACTTGGAGAAAAACTCAGTCTCTATTATGGCTCTTTTTTACGGCACAAAGTGGAATGGGATTTACAGTTGGGGCTCCCAAAGTATTTGGGACATCCTCTTCATTGATGTCATCAGGCAGGTTGTGACTGTCTCAGAGTGCATTTGTAATGGAGTATTTATATTACTAACAGAAGTAATGTGATATCACTTTATTCATGTTCAAGTGGAACTGGTCGAATCCGAGGCAACCTAAGAGGCTGAAACACTCAGCCAGGACCACCCATACAGCAAGAGGAAAAGCTCCTTAGCCTCAGCTCACATTCCCAGACTTCCAAGGTTCAGTGCCTTTGTGTTTCCAACTCCATTGCTCCCCAGGGGCCCATCTGGTAACACAGCCCATCTTCCTGTTCCTACAGCAGCTTCCTTCTGCCTCGTGGGGTAAAAGAAGGGCAAGGGGAGACAACTAGCATCTGGTATGCTTAGTTACATGCCTTTCTGGCTACCAAAACCTTGGCCACCTTGAAATCTGTCTGATAGAGCTTGCTGCCTGAGGGCTGAACATTTCTCTCAGTCTTGGAGCACACTGAAGAGGCTCTCTAGCCGCCACAGATCAGTCAGCTGGTTCTGTGCATAATTAAGAAAGAGATACCTGTCTTTTTAAGTCACATACAAAGGCTTTGTACACAGCTAAGTGACCTGTGGATCACATTTGGCATTCCCAGATTTAGCAGTAGGAAAAGTAATAAGGATGAAGATGCCTAGAGCTGAAATAAGATCACAGAATGCCCCAGTGACCTAACAAATTAGCATGCAGCATGAAAGCGGTGTGAAAACTACAAAGCCAAAAGGAAAGACTTCTGCAAGTCATACTAAAAGGCCTGGGGGGAAAAGAGGGTGTAAAGGGATGGAGGGAAAGACAGCTAGAGGCTGAGATCTTTCAAGTACTAAAATAGCCTAATGAAACAAAAAACTCATAGTACAGTGCTAAAGAAATAAGCATACTGAAAGATGGGGAAACAGAACTGAAAAGCAAACAAATGCCTCATGAGGCAATGAAAGAGGTAATAAATTCCTTGATGTAGGCATGGCAAGCAATTTATCAATAGCAAATAGGACTGGATAGACCCTCACTCAAGACAATCAGTTTCACTCTGAGGTAACTTCTGGCTATGACTTTGTTTCACATTATCCTGAGAAACAAACTCTAAACCAAAACATTGAAATGGAAAACCAAAACCAAAACCAATCCCATCTTGGATATTGGCTTTCTTCTGTTTTGGTTTTCTGCTACTCTGAACAGGAATGAGTAAGTACTTCCCTCAGCCAAAGAAGTTCCCAGCACAGCTGGTTAGAGCTCTATAGAGCTCCTGAAAGTACATACTGGAAGACCACCCAGAAATATTCCTGAAGGATTAGTTAATGTTTTGAAGACTACTCTAACATGTCAGAATCCAGAGAGTAGTTCAAGTTAAGAGTAGCCAAATCTGACATAAGATCAAGCTGTGTTTTCTCACATGTACAATTCTCATCCTTCGGTTTTTGCCTGTCCAAAGGAAAGTAGATGCTCATATGGAGCCAAACCACTTGTGAAACGTCTCACCAATAATTTTTTTTCTTAAAAAAAAAAGGGTGGGAGTGGGTAATGTATTTCACCTGAATACAGTCTGTACTAGATAGACAACAGAACCGATAACAGAACAACTTTCAGGAACATTAATCCCTGTTTGTATCTCCTGAACTACTCAAAGTTCTTGTTAAGCCATATGAGTGTTGCTATTTAGTCCTGCTGACATAAGAGAAAATTGTGCTAGAACATGAAAAAACTGCATACTGAGCCTTTTTCCACTCATACAGCTCTGGGTGGGGGCGATGGTGTGCTGGTGCGCCTGTCAGAATCCAAGACAGAGATTCACAAAATACATGAAGGAAGACTAAACGTAACAATATAAAGCTTTAAAGGCTGGTTGATTTATAATGCCCACTGTGTGGTGCATTTGCTTTCTTTCCCCCTCTTTCCCCTTAAGGAGAAAAAAAGAACAGGCTTCTGAATATCTTTTAAAGACCTTGAAGTCCCTAAGATCACATGCCACAGAGCTCTATGAAATATTCTGACACAACCACACAAATGGAACTGATTAGCTTTCCTGTCATTGTGCATTTTTCACACAGTAACAACAGAATTTTCCTTTTTATAGGCTTTATAGCTGTATTTCCTATAACTAGTTTTTCCAAGCATAATATAATGCGTTTACTTGGTGTGGGTTTTTTAATTGTTTCAAAATTAAATCACTAATAATAGCAAAGAATTATTATTATGACTTCATAATCAAACTAAGGGCTAGTCCTATAATGACTAGGACTCCAGAAGCTATTGCTTTTTCATAGGGTTTTTTCACATGAACAAATGTTATGGCAAATAACAGTTTTAGATGCCTGGTGACCAGATTAATTTTTAGTGAAGCAATATACATCAGAATCACCTAATAAATGGATAAATTTACTTGGTTATTTCCACATATTGATGGCATAAGGAGCCCAACCTAATCTCTATGATTCTTCTTTTTAAGGGACAAGTGGAAATTACCTCTCTAGGGTTCTTAGCAAAACCAAACAGATAATTAAACAGCCAGTGTGTTACAGGAACCTGAAGCACATCTATCAACATTCTAATAAATGAATGTATGTTAAGCTTTTAGGAGTGTGTCTATCGCATAACATTTTTAAAAACTGAATTAACAAGAAAAATCTCAGTAATAAACCTTCACATAATCTATAGAAATCTAAAACGATTTTTCAAAGCCAGCAGCACAGTATATTAAGTATATCTCTTTTCTGAGATTTCCATCTAACTGTAAGCCATCTTCCAGTCTCAATACAAGTAAGCATCCATACAAGCTAAGACTACCAGAAAACAGGTAACCATACGTTGTGACATGAAAAAAAATCTTATTTCTCATTAGCATTTTCACATGCATATTACAATCCAATAAAATATTAAAGAGCTCTAGATACCTGCTGTGCAGAGTGGATGTCCTAGCAGCAACAGTGCAATGCCAGATGTAATTAAGCAGAAGGGCTCACCTTTGAAAATTTCTCAATCTGGTATCCTGCCTCCATGATAAAAGTTGTTTTCATGTTGTATCCAGTTTGCTTTCCATGTCCATTTGGCCACCAAGCCTCTACTACAGAAGTCTTGAACAGACAAGAGAGAAAGTCAGAGTAACATGTATAAAAAGAGGCACAAGATGCACCTGTGGGCTCAGATGTCTTTGAGTGAATTACCACAAGTGTAATGAGCTTTTGTGCTTCAGCTGTGGTAGGCTAATTGGGATTTCATCAGCTGCAGCTCTGAGGTGAAAACCATTTAGAGAGAAGCATGATTTCTTCCACTGAAGTCCAGGCTGCCACTTCATCTTGTGTCCACAACAGGCCATGAGCACACATACACATGCATGCACACACCTAGCTGCTACCTGTCAGTTGAGGCACAGTGACAGACTACTCCTCCAAGCCCCAAATATCTGTGTCAGGAGCAGACATAGTTCACTAGCCTCTGAATCATGCACCTCCTCTCACCAACAGCTTTTAACTATCACATGCAACATTCTATAAACAGTGGGGACACTTTTGAACTGCTACTACGGTAATATGTGACTACATTGACTGCTTCACTTACGTCAAGCTTTTCAGACAAATTCTAAGTTTCATTCTTTCTTTTCGGTGTTTTCTGCTTTTTCTCTAAGCTTCCTAATCACATCATTAGTACTCCATAATTTTTACAAACATAAAACACTACCTCTAGAACGACAGAATGAGAACAACTTTCTCATTTTTCTAATCATGGAGTAATATTTATATCTTCATTCCAGCAGCCTGCTTCTGCTGCTCATCCTGTTGCCAGCATTTGCCAGTTGAGTGCACAACACAGAAATTGTGGAAAGAAAGCAATAACGCATGCAACCAAACAATGCAAGGAGTGCCTCATCTTTTCAAATAAATTGAGGCCAGAGAGCAGCCCAACAATATGTTTTGCTGTAGCCATACTTGGATGCAATCATAATGTATCTACCAACGTTTCAGCTTCCCTGATACAGAATTATCATAACTGCTTGTGCAGAAGTACTAATCTCTGTGTTGCACGGATACAAATGGAAGCACAGAATCAGCGTGTGCCTCAACAACAAGGGAGTGTTCGCAGCTGCCTGGAAGGACTGGAGTGTCTCATTGGCCACTAATGATGTCATCCCTATGCTCACCATTAGCTGATAAGCAAAACACTGTCATGTTGGCAACATAGCACTTTGTGTGGCAACTGCAGGAAGACTGATACACATCTACACTCAAACACCTACCGACTCTGCAACGTAATCTACAATATACTCTCAACTAGAAATTAATTTCTGGTGAGGTCTCAGTATTCAACATGCACCACACATATCTGTGTACAGACTAAGGGCTCTGTTAGCCTCATCGATACATGAGAACACATTTCAGGGCTTCTCGAAAATCAGCTGATGTGAATTCATGCAGCAAAGCCTTTTGTGCACAAAGAATAATGAAACGCTGCTGCCTCTGCTCTGAAGGAAGTGCTTCCTCACGAGCTTGCAGTTGCACTACATTAACAGATCTCTTCTGAGGCTGGTGGTGGGGCAATTAAATACACAAAAATAACATCTGAAGTTTCACTTTGCAGTTCCTGCTTAATGTAATCCATTAAAAGGCTAAGTAGAGACTAATGGTTGTTTTAAATGAAACCGGGTATTTGCAATTGCTCACATAACTTGCATATCGGACAACAGTAACAAAAATTGTATGTTTGTATGCTTTTGTGTCAAAATAAAACAAAGCACATAAGTATGCAAGTCACTGAGTGTGCACACTAGAACATAAACACCCTGCTTGCCTCTTAACATATGTTTTCTCTCCACTCAAAAAACTGACAAGTGAACTCAAGAATACACACATAAGGCAGTCAAACTGGGAAAACAAATGCAGAGTTACACAGCAATATATAAAACCAGAAGAGCCAGTAAAATACAAAAAGATTTGAAGGCTGACTCTCAACTGTTATTAACTGCCAGAATGGTCAAAAGCCCCAAATTCCTTCTCACAGCACATCACTCTCCCACAGATCTAACTGTCCCATAGCAGTGAAGCAGCTCCCATGGAGAACAGCCAGGGCTCCCACTCTGGCCACTGGGCTGAGCCTGGGCTGTTAGGTTCAGTTCTGCAGTAGGGAACTGCCCTCTGTGCAAGTTCATACCTCTTTGTGCCACACTGGGCTCACTGCCTAATTCAAGACACCTACCTACTCGTCAGCTAGAACAGACACAGTGATTTTCTTAATCTCCCAAGCCTTTACATCTTTCCTTAATTACACTTGTATGATAAAACTCAACAGTTTCTAAAAAAAACAAAAGAAACAAATTTTATAAAAGTTAAATAATGCTGGTGAATTAAGTCCACCACAAGACAGCTTCCCAGCGCCCTCTGAAGGCAAGCAAACCAATTCCTTCCTCTTTCAGCACTGAGGTGTGTACCAAATTCATCAATTTTTCAATTGACTTGTCTCTTCCTTAGAGCATCCTTCAATGGTCCAAAACTCCTCATGAGTTTTGCCTAGCTAAAGGACTACAAACCAGTGTAAGGAAGTACTACTCCACACAATTTTCAGCCAACATCACTGCCAGACAAGTTCTTTATAGGACTCTTTTATTTACCTGAAAGAGTGTCTACTGAGAGGTTTGAAGAATGTTTCCTCTCTCTCCTGGGAGAGCCGTGCATATTGTAGTATATTCTAATCCCAGTTGGTCCAGTAAACAACTGCATGTGAGACACCTGCTGCCAGTGAAGTGACACAGGCTATCCAAAGGTTATCTACCTAAATACCTCAAAATAGCCCCTTTAACAGTGGCCAGCGATGATGTGACTTTATTTTTAAGGCTTCATCATCTTTTTTACTTTGAGCTACACAGCTCCACAGAAAACAGTTTTTAGAAAGGAAAAGAACTGTTCTCCTATCCTGTAAGGGGTACAGAACTGTTGCTGAAAGTCAGGAACACAGCAAGGAATGGGAGGGAGGCCTAAAACTGGCATGGAGGCAGAAAGACACACTGGAAACCAGGGGAAACATTTTGCAGCTGGATAGCTTTTCACACACACCTCCTTACCTTGTTGATGTTTACAAGCAGCACAATGCTGCCTTCTCCAGGTTGAAGCTTCACAGTGAATGTTTGTTGCGTTTGCAATTTGGGAATGTTCACCACCACACGACCTGGAATTGGCTTGGAGCTGACTACCTCAAAAACAGACTCAATTTCAAGACACCACTGCTGCGTACTTTTTACTAAGTGAAGGGGAGAAAAATTTGAATTTAATAGTTATGTTTATATACTTAATAGTTAACATGAGCTCTCATCAAAGAAAAAATTCAAATACCTAAGATTAAATCTAACAATTTTCAGGCCATCTTTGAACCAGACCTACAAGGTTAATGCTTGTTTAGTGCATTTGACATCTGTGTTTACATTTGCCAACTTGGAAGAGAACGATGCCATATGATTTATGTTTCTTAACTCCTTTTTTTTTTTATTTGAAAGCCATCCAGGGTTTTTTTCAGTGTTCTGTACAAAACTCAGAAACCTTGACATCAGTCACTTCATTAGGAAGGATTTTTTTCCCACCAACTCCAATAGACATCATATTTGCTTTTAGTCAGCACTCATATGAACATGGTACTCTTTGGGAAAGATCGTAATCACAAGCCAGTACAATCACTTTTGTCAATGAAACAAAAACAGTATTAACAGAAAACAAGCTGAATTCATCCCAGAGTCACTAAACAAAATGAATGGAGTTATGCTGGGGATGAATTGGGCCCACTGTGTCTAGACTTGATGGGCTATATCTTTATGTCCCTTCTGCCACCAATGTGTGGTGGAGGAAACCAATTAATTACTTCCCTGAGATCTCTCTACAGTTACTCAGAGGGTTCTCTCCTTTACAGAACTTACTGAATAAGGCAAGACAGGATCAAGGGTACTCAAGCTTTATGTGTAAATTTCCCATTAACTTCCACAATTTAATTGTGTAGCTACAAACACAGTCTGGCTAATCCTATACTTCAAATATTACTGATTAACATATAAGCAAAACCAAATAAAACAGAAAACAAGGAAAACTAGAACTAAGATGTATTTTGTATACCCAAACTTCTAATCATGTTCTCTTTTCATTTATATACTCTAGCTCTCCTTCCTCCAGGAGAGAAAGAGAGCTCCCTCCAAAAGCAAAGAATTACATTCAGCCCTGGGGTGATTTTCACTGTCTTTTGTGGAATGAAGTTTATATTACATCCAGCATTAGCCAGGGAAGACCAATTTTCAGAAATGTTGAAAGGGTTAAAAAAACTCCACCCCACAAGGGTCTTCCATTACAGTGCATCTTGCCTGCCCTCCAAAGGCATATAGAAATTTAAGCCCATCCTTAACTGCATGAACTGTGGAGCCTAGGCAGAGAAATCAAGTACAGTGAATCTTTTGCAGACTCAGTGGTCAAAAGACTGAGTCAAATGACACCAAATCTGACAAGTAATAAAAGCACATATGCAGCTTAAATTCAGGTCATTCATTTACTCTTTCTTTTTCAAATGTTATTATTTTGAATACTAATAAGCTCTCGCTCCTGTTCCAAACCACTCTCTGCTGAATGAAAGAGGTTTGCTCTCTCCACTTACCCAGAGAGCAAGATTTTACCTACCAGAAGGTGGAGTTGTGGGAATGTGGGAGGGACCAGAACAGATTTTTACTTTAACTAAATTTTAGAGAGCAGCACAGTCTGTGCTGGGGCTTTCCATGGAAATTCCAATCACGTTAAATCTAGCTAAGACCTGCAGCTATTTCAGGAAGCTTTAATAGCAGCCATGGAGTGATGTCTTCCTCTTTTATTCATACACAACAAATCTATTCCCAAGGGCTGAAATTCAACCCAGTAGAGAGAACTCATGCTAGCCCTTACTCCACTGAAGACTGGGCTCCACAGTGAAAGAAAGCACGCGGGTGGTCTACAGTGGGGCATATTACCGTTTGCAGAAAGTTTCAACAGAAAATTAACCACTTTTCCTCAGCTGAAGTGATCTTCAGGACAAAGGAGAGGAAAATCAGAGACCACGGCAAGAGAGGAAACCGGTTTGGTAAGTTAGGTAGCAGGAATGCAGGAGGCCAATCTCTCAAATTGCAGCCTTAACAAATTATCCTTGCATAGCACGACTGCTTTTCTCTCTCAGACTTCATGTTGTGTCCTGAAAACTCGGCGCTCTTGAAACTGAGCTCACTGTGCATTTGTCTTTCCAACACAAAACTAAATTCCCATAGCAGCTTTGCCTTTGTTTTAAACGAAAGTGTGACAAAAGTGAGACATATTTACTGGGAGTCTTGGTGAAAACACATGCCAATAAAAAAGAAATTTTTCCAAACTATGGAGAACAGGTTCTAACCTCAGCTATACTACATATTTACTTCTGCAGTTATTTGGAGACCCTCAAGAAAAAAAAAATATTCTAAATTCTATCATTTTTAATTGCTATTGTTTGTACTGAAGTACTGTTTCAAAACCTAGAAAGGTGTGCTGTGGTAGGAACTACATACAAAGTCATAAAAACCCCAACAGAACTTTTCCTAAAATGACAGTTCATTAAGCTTAACAATAAAATGGTTTTTATTCCAAAGGTGAAACAATAATAAAAACAAGACTTACCAAAGAAAGGAGTTAAAGAAAAGTAAATCAGGTGGTAATGGTTATAGGCCTCAATCCTAACATCTTTCCAGATTCCTTGAGTGGGAAAAGAAGGGCCCCAGTCCCAACTAAATGAACACTGCTCCTGGAATACAGCATGATTATGTTACAATTGCCTATTTTTCACATGGACATTGATACTGTACCAGAAATAAAAGACATTTGCTATCTAGGAATAAAATACTGGCATGCACTAAAAGAAGTTTTCCAATTTCCATAAATCCAGAAGAGCCTACAGCATTTTTTTTCTCATTTCTTGACCAAAACTCTGCTGCTATTACCTATTTTTCAGTATGTAAAAAATTAAATTTTGTACAGAGAAATTTTGTATTACTGAAATTTTGTATTACTTAGCACACCATTTGGAAAAAACAACAAAACAAACAGTAAAGATAAAATAAAAAATCCAGCAGATTACTCTCAATTTAACTATGAATTATCTTAGTTTGTAATGTCAGTATTTAATTGTACACCTAAAAGACAAATGAGGCAGAAAACCGATGGTTAGAAATGTTACAGTATTCTAAAAGAACAGTATCACATTAAAAACTGTATCACAAATACTTTATCTCCTATTTTTAGTAGTAACACCACAGTTCAGTACAAGGAAAGAGATGCATATGTCTGGTGTGTTTGTGTAGTTCAGTCATGTTCGCTGTTTCTCCCCTTTTTATAGTTCTCTTATACAAAAACAAAGGGAACAAAACCATGGTTGAGAAGTAGCTTAGTTCTGGTTCTAACATCAGAATAACTGTCAGAATTATAAAATGCTGGTCAGGCAGAGAGGTACCTACACTAATTTCCATTTAGCTGTTTTCAAACCTGGTCAGACCTCTAGTTAACAAATCCCTTGACGACATCTATTCAGCTGCCCTCCAAGTTTCACACAGCCCCAGCCCCAAAGCAAATACAATAGATCTCCTAACGTCTTGTACAGTGACACACAGTTCTAAATTTAGAGACTAATAACTTACAGCCGAGGCATACTAATTTGGGCAAACCACATTGCACAAGTCTGGCCTATCCCTTGCATCTCTACAGTCCGCCTGCCTGCCTATCAAATTGCAAAACAGCCTTCCAGGAAGGAAACACTGTACCTATTTCAAACGCAAAACCAGGGAGAGCATATTCTTAGAAAACAAGGCCAATTGAAAGCAATTTTCCCTTTAGAAAAAAATTAACTAACAAATCACTGGCAGATTGTCAGGTTTCACTAATAACACTGCAGAGACCGCTATCAGAAACAGTGTGTCATAAAAACAACGCGCTTGTATCACTGAAGTACATTACCAATGACAGGCTTGTGTTCTGCCACAAACCCTGTTCAGTTTTAGGTAAGTTTACTGCACTTAATACTGCACCCGAAATGTGTAAAGAGCTTTCCATTACTTTCAGACAGCAACCCAGCTTACTTTAGAAATGTCCTAGTATGTTTGTTTACTTTTTAATGCCACATAGCTGCTGTTGTTACCGTATACATGGAACTCAGAACATTTCTGGAAATTTCTGGAGCAGCTTCCAAGTACAGTCAAACAACTCATTTGAGAAAAACCACTAGGGTATCTTCTTACAAATTTAAAGGTATAGTTCAGTGAAGCGTAAAATCATTCCTGGCCCTTTTGCTCTATAAATAAGACTACAGCTGTTTAAGGCCTTCTTCCTCCCAAGCTTCTCCTCACACTGATTTCTAAGAAACACACTGGACTCAGAAGAATTAACAAACTTTCCAAAATGTAGTGAAAATAAAAGTAGCAGCAAGTAGAAATAAAGACAATATCTTAATCCTAAAGGATCTTTCCAGCACAATGCAGAGTCTATGTTTACGAATTGTAAAGGAAATTACATCCAGGTTTAGATTAACAGGATTCTAGTCACTTTTTGAGGAGATTCTAAAAAGATTTTATTAAAAAGATTTAAAATAACTAACAAGAAAGGCATTTAAGTGGAGACAAACCTGAAAAGACACCAAAAAAGAAAAATTCCAAAATAAGATCATCTAGCCATTGCTTCTACCTGCTGCCAAGCTAACAGAAATACACAAGATGCTCCTCAAACAAGAGGAGCATCTTGTTTGATAAATTTTAATAGCAACGAAGTCATGTCTTAAATCAAAGTTTCTGAGCTTCATTCATTTTCACTGAATATGTACTTATAAGTCACACTTCTCAACACTAATGAGAACAGGTTCCCTGTTAGATAACACTTCTTGGGACATGCCAGAGCTGCCCAGTATAAATAGCACAGCACATGAGCAACAGTAAACACTCACAAAGCTGCTTGGCTGAGATTTTTACAGCCTTGGCAATACACATTGGTATTTGCAACAGTGAACTCTATTGTCAGCATACACTGCTAAACCCACCCAGTGGATCAAAATCTAATGATTGCACATTTCCCAATACTATCCCGCTCTCTTAGCAGCAAGTCTCCTTGCTGACTCCTTGATAAAAACAGCCTTTTAAACAATCTTAGATTTGAAGCCTGGCCTTCTTATGCCTATTGTATTATCAACATGCTAGATTAAAGGTTTCTAGGAGGGACATGAGAAGGAAGCTGCAATACAAAATATGCTCTACTTATAAAATGACGTTGCAGGTTTCAGAATACAACTGTAAGGACAGCACACGGTGCATTCCTCTTTCCAAGCCTGAAGTCAGAGACAGACAATTGTGCCCCCACCTTTCTGATAAAATTCACATGGCACTCTCCTTTCTGCTCAGGTGGAGGGCAGGCAGGGGGGATGCTGTAAGCTTTGTGACACCTGCTCTGCTCTGCTGCATAGGAAATGGCCGACAAGAAACGGACTTCAACAAAATTGACCTCCTTGATCACGCTGGTGATATCAAAGCTCTAGGATAAATCACAGAACAAAATCATTACAGTGCTGACATTTATTAATGTGATTGAAAATCACTGTTACATTGGGATTTTAATACCATACATCTATTATTCAAAGGTATTTGAAGTACAGTCTAAACATGCTTCGGTTTTGAAGGAAAAGCTACTTCTTAAGCTAAAAAAAACCCAAAATGCACAGTAGCATTTTAGACTCAAAGAGTTGTTTCTGGGCAAACCACTTTCCTCATACCAAGCCCTCACTGCCGGCTGTAGCACTCTGCTTGCACACAGAAGTGCTTGAAGGACAAGGACAGCAAGAGAATCTTTACTTTCCTTCCTCATCCAGAACTCATCTGCATCTTCAGAAAGACAACTCAGAAATCTGGTCTATACAAGAGTCCTTCCAACTCACACTGTGCTGCCAACTCATCTACTGCAAGGCTGAGCTGCCTTGTCTGTGAATGCTGCAAAGCTGTATTTCATGCAACCTGCATTCTCATCCCCAAAATTTACAGACACACATTCTATGCCAGTACCAAATGAAGCATCTGGGGCTTCCTCAGTGGGTCACAAAATCCCCTTCAGTGTGGCTGGACAGAAGGAGAAATGTTCCATTTCAGAATTATCCTGTGCTAATATGGTTCCAGTGGCTAATATGCATTTATTCCTTACAGTGTTCATTTGTGATGAGCCATGTCTTGGCAATCTCTTCAACCTGGGGGCAGCCCAGCCAACATGACTTATATCTGTAGAACAGAGCAGAAAACTACAAAGCAAATAGTATTCCTCCATTTAGAGCCTTCAGCGAGTTCTTCCTGCAGACACTGTTGCCACGTGGAACAGGTGAACAAAGCAGCAGTCTGGGTCACAGTAATCAGACTCAATTTAATGTGGTACACTCTGATTTTACAGTGAAGGCCATTTTATGAACTGTTGCAATCTGAGACAAAATGATGTCACAGAAATATGGACAAAACAACGCCATTTCCCAACTGTACAGAGCCTGTTAATGGCAAACATTTAGATACTCTCCAAATAGTAAATAATTACAATTTTGTAAAAGCTCTATGAAATGTCTTATTTCACTGATGGTAAAATTAAGTCAAAACTAAACTAAGTGGTTTGTCCCAGGTCACACAGACCCAGGTGGCAGAGTCTATCTCTCATGTCTCAGCCCAGTGCTTCTGCAATAAAACCTGCCAGAATGGTAAATGCTGAGACAGGTAGACACCAGATTTCATTTGTCATTCAGTTATTCCACTATTGTTCTTCCTTTAACTCTTAATTTTTTGATTCTTTTAAGAGAAAAGTAAGGATTGTTTCTTATGTTAGTACCACAATAATTTTACATTTTAAAGCTATACAATCAGTCTGAATGTTTTTGCCACTCTCAAGATCATTCCATGATGAATACTCTTATGCTGACATAGGTTAAGCTCAAAAATGCAAGTCAGTGTCATCAAAAGTGCAACATTAAAAATAAACCACCTTGTTTAAAAAACAAAAGCATGGAAACACTTAAAAAGGCTTTAAAACACGTGCATTTTCATTGCAGTATTCACATGTAAACCATTCTAATACCAATCAGTAAGCAGATTTACAGCTAATATAACAGATTTAAGCTTAGGTTTTCTTGGAGCTGGGACAGATCCCAAGAAGCAAGACATATTATTAGCTGAATTGATCCTCTTGCATCGGTCCTCTCATTTAGGACAAGACACATTTACCTCTAGATATGACGCTGTTGCTACTGAAAAGGTAAGTGCACTTCCCTTTCTAACATTTATCTGATTATACAGGCAGTCTTCAGGTCAACACTGCCTGCGTCCAAGCACCTATTTTTATGCGTATTTGAATGCACTGAAAGTGCTCAGAACAAAAGACCCTTGAAGAAAAAACAGAAGCACCTTCAGAAATAAACACATTACTTACATATCTGTTAAACATGTTGTCTGTTCTCCCCACAGTGACATTGTTGAGCAGGATCTGTGCTACTGTGTCTACTCCCTCGAAAACCAAATTCACTTTCTGCCACTTTCTACAGAAGATAACACATATGTGAAAAACTGTTAGAATACCTAGCATTAACAAATACAGTAGACAGACAATATAAAAATGTATATCATCATTATCTTTAGCAGCATTTGCCTCAGCTACCTCCAAAAACATTTGACTCAGTGTGGCTACATTATATCTTTAAATAGTCAAATTAAGATGACAGCTGAAGTAGCTCAAGTCTACAACACAGCATGTTCACATACACAGCAGATATCAAATGGGATGGCTTCCAATTAGCCGAAGTATTATACTTTCTCAGTTGACAATTCATAAGTAATTTTTAACAATTAACTTTAAAAAAGGAAAAAGCAACAACTGAAGTGTTATATAGCAACAGTTTTGCAACTGCACATGATTGCATAACTTGTTTTATTAGACACAAAAATATTAAGCAGATTTTGAGCTGATGGATTAATTTGCAATTCTGCATGAATGATGGCACAGAACTATTTTAGACATATCTTTACTGCATACCTGATGTCAAAAGGAGTTTTAAATGTCCTGCTGTAAGTCCAGTTATCTAATGAGATCCATCTGTACATCATGTCATTAAATCTATAGTATGGATCCTAGTAACAGACCAAAAAAAGAAAATTACAAGACTCATTTAGTAATAGTGAATAGTTACTACATGAAAAGCATCATAATATCCATTAGATGAACACTTCTTGTTTCAGACAGTCTGCAAATGCAAAATCCACCTTAGTTAGTTAGTTCAGATATTCCTTTTCACCTCTGAAATAATATATGAAAGTAATGCTTTAGTAATATTTGGCTTTACTTATATAGGTCAAAACCCTGTTTGCTATAATCATTTATACTCGAATTAGAGGTAGCAAGATTTGTTCTTACACAAGAAATTACTGGTTTGGAATTTAACCAGTAAACCAAGATAGCTTGTGACTTAATGAGAGGAACAGAAACATGATCACCCTCATAATAGTGGAGAAAGTAAGACTAATAGGATTTTAATAGGTAAAGAAACAACATTTTAGGCCTCTAGGGACAGTAGTGAACAAATCTCTAAAATAACTACAAATACTCCAGTTGTTTCTTGTCAACTAGTCTTGCTGTGGTGAGGCTAAATGAAATTGTTATATACGGAGGGACAGAGAAAGGGAAGAAGGAGAAACAACACAATTTTGGTTTTGGTATAAAACTTAAATGACTACTTTTGAGAACAGCACTACATTTACGCCAAATGTGCCCTCTTCCCTTGAATCACACTTCCCAAGAGGAATAAAAGGCACAGTTGGTCTAAGCCACATCCTTGACCTTTTAGGCTTCACTCTGTATTTATTACCTTGTGGTGGGTCATGACACCCCTCACCTTGGTTGAAGGAATCAGTTACGAGGACCTGACAACCCACGGCCTTGCACCTTGAACAGAGGCAGCAGAAAGGTACAGCCTCATATCCCATGTCAGAGCGCAGGTATTCGGGTCACTGACTGACAGCTCAGTTCAATCCTCTGCAGCAGCTGCACGGCTGAACTGCCTTCCCAAAACAAAGACCAGTCTCTTCTGGACTACATGACTCAAACCCAGCTGAGAGAGAGGGCAGCTTCATTAAGGTTTGCTTTGATATGAGTGTTCTACAGTACCAACACAGTTTAACTACCTGCCCTGAATATTCAAATTCACACTGAAGAAAACCTGCCCAGCTTTTTTTTTCCTACTTGCTGAAGCTAAATTTTTCTCCTTATTTCAGGAATCAGTATAGAAGATAGCCATGATGCTTTGGATTTGCAATTTTCTGAAAACAATTGTTTCATACCTCATATTTGTTTTACAACTAAGAGGGCCGAATTCTGTAATATAAGCACAAAGCACAGCACAAAGCATAGCAGAGCAAAATTGTAACATCTAAGTCACTGTCCTCAGCAGCACAGTCCCCTCTGGAGTCCTACAGCAATACATCATTCCTTGAGCCCATCCAGAGGGAAAGTTATCATCTTGCCTCTACATGCTATGTGCTATCAATAAAATTTCTTACTACAAGGGAAGATTCAAAATGGAAAGCTCTTGTCGCTTCAGTAAAACTGTGAACTCTGCACATACAAGGTATTGTCTAGAAGTCATCATGAGCTTACCAGAACAACTACTGAATTTAAAAATATTCATACCATTACTTTTACATGCAAAATGTATTGGGGAATAATCTCAGACTTTTATTAAGATGCAAAATTTAAGGCTAATAAATGCATAGTAAAATGTAAAATTTAGGTTCATAAAAGAAACTCCACTGAGATCATCATATTCAACGAAAGGCAAGCAACAAATGTCACAGACCATGAAAAACAACCATATGTACTTAAAAAGCACATTTTTAACAACTGGCTTGCTTTAACATTATATACTATCTTATATACATTTACATATATATACATTATATTTGACATTATATACTATTTTATTTCAGGTTTGGAAAAATGCTTTGAAAAATGTGCATGTTAAATTTCAGTCATTGCTTTTGTTATGAGTGAAATATTTAATAAAAGGCCAGAGATGTAAGTTGTAAATGCACTATCAACAGCAGACTGTAAAGCCATTTGGTTAATGGCCAAACAACCTACATCAGTACCTCGGCAAAGATGCATTAGAGAAACCTGCACCATCTCTCTCCCACAAATGCATGGATATCGAGATGTTAATGAAGAAAGTCCTGCCTTCTGCAAAACACAAAAACTGGTTGTCAAGCAGCAAAGAGAAATGTAGGAATACTTCATCAGAGGCAGAAATCAACCTCGAATGGGCTCTTACAGGAGTTTACAAACAGAGCAGCTTGTTTAAATCTCAGAGTGTACTGCAAATCCTTTTTCCTGAAGGAGCTTTCTTCTTTACTATCTAAAGCTTTCAACCATCAAGAAATGCACTTGACTGCTAAAATATGTGTCATACAAGGTGCTAATTAGCCTTTCTGAGTACTGTTTCTTACTCACAGACATCCACCCTTTTGGATGGAAAACTCATAGTTCTGTGTACCTTTACACAAAACTTAACAGCTTACTGATACCATTGCTGCATAACCTGTAAAACAGCTTATATATCACACAGCAAAACTGTTAAATGTTAGTACTGGTTAGTCATTTTTGGCATGACAAATGTTGCTTGTTGTAAAATCAGTCATGTGGCAATGTTCAAGCAGTGCTTTTAAGACAATCCTCCAGGTTCAGGAGAAATGCATGACCAGAACGAAGTCTTCTAAGAAAGCAAAACTACTTTTCCAATAGACTTGTGAGATTATTGACTTTTTCATTACTAAATACAACTGTTCCAAGTGCTGGAAGATGTACCTGTGGAAGTCAAATTGTTTGGATTTTTCTGAAACAGAATTGCATTTCACATTAAATCAGTTCACATCAAAATTAAAGGTTTATTTCAGAAAAGTGGATTAAAAAAAAAGACAAATTTAAAACACTTAAAGGCACTAGCAGAATTTGAAAGATGATAGGATATAGACTGTGCATCTATTAAATATACTTCACGTTCAATAGCTCAACAGCTCAGTGTGTTCCTGGAAGCAAGTCATAGAGGGGTGGAGTCAACTACAGCTATTTTTAGATCCCATCAAACATGTCAGCCTTGCATTTTCCTGCTCCCTGCAATTTGGGAAAGAAATCTGAACCATTCAAGCTGCTGGCCTGTTTGTTCTCTGCCCCCAGTTTCCACGCTGTAAGCAAGCAGCAAATCACCTGCTAAGATGAGGTAAAAAGCCCTGCTACAGATCATCAAAAGGAAGCAATTTCCAGGTCGGATAACAGGATATCAGCAGGACTTCAAATGCACTGGCAGCACTACAATGAAGGCACTGCCAAGAGCCTAGATGGAAGCTTCTCCTTACAATGATTTTAAGGGGATATCTGAAAGCTACAGTGGCATGAGCTGAGAGCTTCTCCTGCTAAGCAGGAAATGGATGAGACACGAACACAGCAGAATTAAAGTTCCAAGCCCCAGTGAGCAAGTGGTGCCAGGCACACCCTGGCCTGGAGAAGGGCCTTTTCCAGGCCCCCGCAAACCAGGAGTTTTGGGGAGCATGACACAAACACCTGAATGACACCTATCAGAGTCAGCTGTATCCAGGCGGAAAAACCGTGTGTAATAAAATGAAATATAATAAAGAGAACAAAAACCAGATTCCTTTGCCTTATCCGGCTTTTGTCATGGTCTAATTTGAAGTCACCTTTCATGCTTTTCTCTCATAAATTAACTCTGATGATTTTTTATGATGTACACCATAAGAAATTCCCATGGTGGTGTAACAATTTACCAAAATAAAACTTGCAAGTGATGTTTCATGATTTATAGTTTAATGATTCTGCTGTTGCTGACTTCAGACTGGAAGCTAAATAGCTAAGATATCTATATCCATGCACTCCTTGCAAGCAATAGAAGTCAGGACATTTATACAATTTTCAGCAAGCCCAGTTTCACATATTTACAGCTTGAAGTCGAGCTGACTAACAGTAGTGATGAATGGATCGTATTCTCAGAACATGAGTTTTGAAGTTCATCCTAAAGTAATTGATTTTGAGTAGTTACTCTCAGAAAGCAGTAAACTGAATGTCACTGTCAACGTTCAAAATGTGTTATAGCTGAACACTAGGCCAAATACTACTAGTATTATTTGGATACCTTACTGTATTTAACAGACCACTATAACTTTTATTGGTTTTAACATCACAAGCTTAAACTGACTTGAAAGAAAAACTTAAGTACTCTTTAATATTTATCCTAAGTTTCACTAAGGCTTTTGAACACTCCTCATAAGTTCCCACAGTTTAGCAGAGCATCTATATTTCAATGGAAAATAATTTATTAATCAACTATTTAATCAACGAATGTCATTTAACCTGAGAGAACCATATAATACCCAATGGAATTGTTACCTGACTTGCTCTGAAAAATCTAAGTTATAACGAAGTGTCAGAAAACACACAACAGCATATTTTATAAAAATGTAGAACAAGCTACAGAAATTATACACTACTTTCCAGAAATGCAGAACTATCAGCTGATATACAAAAATTTCTGTCTCTTCAAATATTTTAATATCCAAGTATGACCAAGACCACTGTAACCTTCTGTGTCAAGTGCATGCCCTTGTTGCCTAAAGGGCCAGAAAATACAGTGTTATCCAGCCCCTGTATAAGCATCACTGTTGCAGACTCCTCATAATAGTTATTTACAAATCAAAGTGACTGCTAATAGGAAAAAACAGCCTTATATAGGAATGCAGTGGCTGGCACATAAGAAAACAATACTCACATTCATCAGAACTGAAACTTTACAGGAGTTACTGGCCAGCAAGAAATGGCATCACGCAGGACTTGAGACAGTACATGGCAGAGCATGCCTACTTCTAGCACACAGATCTAATGTGCAAGTTACCTGTGGATACATATTGCTTACCAGAACAGTGCCTGAAAGAAAACACTACACTGACAGTGGTTAAAAGCAAAATCTTCAGACAAAATGGCTTTTCAGCAAATCTTTTTCCAGATCTGTAGGGTTAGCAATAGGTTTGCTGCAAGTTTGTAAAATGTGTGCATTCGTAGTCAAGCTTTGCACTAACTTTATTCAAGTGACTATTACCCTGCTTTATGTGCATTTCTCATGTATTTTTTTTTAAATTTTACATGTAAATAGTACTAACAGCTACAGAATTCTAATGAAATTTTATTAAAAGTACCAAGCCAAACACATACTCTGATGCTATCTCCTGCTTCAGTCATAGTTAATCCAGCATTTGAAGTACGGTGGTTGAACATGGAAGAAAATAATACTTCGGTAGAAAACTCAAAAGTATCGTCCCCAAGCCCATTTTCTAAGATATGTGTATTTGGTGCATTCAGAAAGATGTCTTCATCCAATGTATATTTTATGAGCCAGAGTAAAGATATCTCTAGAACAAATGCTAAGAGGATCCAGAGAGATGAGTAATGAACCTTCCGTGTCAGAGAGATGTTTTTCAATTCAAGTGTATGGCCTGCCCAGCAGATTAAAGTAAGGCTACAGACACGCAATCAGCTGCAGCATCTCTTTGCAAAAACAGTTTGTGCATCGACCTAAATTTGAAATGAACCACATACTGATAAATAAATTGCTTGCAGCCTACTCTTGCAACCTGACACATTTTACAGGCTTAATATACAGCAGCTTACCCTTGCTACCCTCCTTCCCCTCATTTTTGAGATGCCCACTAAGCTACATTGCTGGAGTAGGCCCTCCCAAATTTTGCTTTAAATTTCTCTTTTGGGTGCTAACTCATTAAAAATCCCACGGATACAGAAGTGAAGGATGCAGTACTATTTGCCATTTGCAAATTACACAGAAAAACAGCACATAGATTTCACTAGGTCACTGAACATATGGGTCCTGCCACCCAGAATCATTTTGTTCCCACTAGCTTTGTTCTCCTATTTGCTGGTACAGCTTTTCAGACCAATCTTCACTTCTGATTACAAGCAGAAAGCTTTTGGGTTGCTGGTAAAGTGACATCTTCCATACAATGAATAAAAATCCCTCATTCCACGGTGAAGAGCAAAAGGAGTAAATGAAAAAAATACTCAAGACCAAAACTTTTGTATTTAGTCACCTGTAATTAAACTCCTGATTCTAGACTTGACAAAACCCTAAAAAGGGCTGATTTCCAGAGATAATGAACTCTGAAGAAATGGATCAGTGCTCTGTGCCTCTATAGTTAAGGCAGTGTGTATGCTTTTGTATAACTAGTAATACAATTTTAGTCAGCTGTATTTGAAAACCTTTGGTCATATCCATCACTGCAATAAAGAAACCTCAGGACAAACAGCTGGGCCTCCCTTTGCAGCATGAAGCCACAAACTGCAGTAATGAATGATGTTACTGACTCCCTCCAAACAACCCAGGTTTGTTGCTTTACAGAATGTTACAACTATGGTGGCAGGGATTGAGTACACTTAAGATCTGCGATAGATTTCAAATCTGCTAAGGTTGCTCCCGTGTTTTGGTACAGTCTACATTCTGTCTTTTAAACAAAAACATGATTTTAAAACAATTTAGTTATCCTGGTGCAAATATTTGTGTGAACGCTTTTTTCTGTAAACTGCGCATGAACGGGTTTAAGCTGACCTTGAGTTACACACCTATACATAGAAACAAGTTAGCTCATTCTGAGCTCGGAACTAGCCAGACACCAGTTGCATCCAGCCCAGAGGTCAAGCAACCACACCAGTGAAGTATTTTGGTTAACGCAGCGACTCGACTGAGCCTACTAACACCACCAATTTAGCAACAGATTCCAGTCCACAGCAGGTTCATACCCGGCCATACCAGCACATGTTTGGAGCAAGTTCTTACTTGTATTCATGTAAACATGTCCTAAGTGACCACAACCATCATCAATTTAATTGGCCAAGCACCCATCTACCTATTAGCAAGACCCGTGCTGCTGGTCAGCCGATACTGACTAAGCTTTCATGCCTCTGTGCAGGCTTGGGATTCTGCACAGGCACATGAGAGTTCATGATCACAGCCTCATTTCCAAATATACTGACGCTCAAAATGACTAAACTACAAGTCAGTTTACAGCAATGCAGCTAAATTAGCAATCACATCTTCTCGCTTTGTAAGTGTGCTTAATGTGAGTAGCTAAATGTGAGTCTTTAATTACGTCATTATCTTGCCAGCCTGAGTCAGTGCATTGGTCACAGTTTCTCCTGGATGATTATTCACACTTCTTACAGCAACACCTCCCAGCACACCCAAATATCTCAGGTAAAGTTCACTTTACCTTGCCAACTTTTGTATTGGAGAAACTGGCACAGTTCCCTTCACTGTTTCTCCATGTACAGTCTACCTGACCACTGCACATTTGAAAACTTTAGAAAAGCCCTAAATTGTAAATGTCCAAGGTATCATGTCACTTAGCACACAGATGTTGAAGCAACAGACCATCGTGGCTTCTTAGAGTATTTACTTTTCCAATGTTGACTGTTTCTCTTATCTGGCAATGACACTCTTTGAAATCTATTATTAGTACTGGGATTCCCAACCTATGCCAACACAGAATAATGCTAAAATTATCCTGCCCAAAGTGGCGTCACTTTCTACTTTTACCTCTCTAACTTTAGTCAGAGCAGAGCAGTATAACAACCTGAAGGATAAAAATTAAGGAAAATACAAAAAGCATGCATCCAGAATGTATTTTTTAAACATATGCTGCACAAGAACGGCAACACTGGGCTCACAGCAAATGGAGGGATAATATTATATACTCAGACAACATATGACAGTACTCTATGTTTTCTAGTGTAGAACCGTATTTATCAGTTTTATAGATGAATTTGTTAATTTAACTATATTTTATTTCTTTTCCTTGTTCCAGGTATACGTTTCACTTTCCATGTTTCCTTTTAAAAAGGCACTTCATTTCAAGAATGACCCAGTTAGTGCCATGTTTTTTGTCAGGTCTGAGTCACAACCACCTTATGCTGGTATCGGAATACTTTGCTACCTATCTACAACTGCAGTTTTGATAATTTGTCCAGGAAAGTGGTCACTATGTTTTCATAAATCTAAACAACTAAAGAGACAGGCATAAACTGAAGCAGAGAAGTTTCTTCAAAGTGTTAAGCCAGGGATTAGTCTTTTAAATTCGACAGTTTTGTTCTTGTGTTTCAGAATATACTTCCCTTAGGGAGTATGGGAATAAATAATCTCAGCTGTTCTGATATGCTCTGCAAGTATTAAAAGGGGTTTTTAATGGGCTAAACCGCCTGGAAATCCTTAAACTTCTCGCATCTACAAGTCAAACTTTAGCAGGGTGGGTTTAGCGTTTCATTCTTTTGAGGAAACATTGTAGGTAAACGTGCCTTACATGCTGTGAGGATATTGCAGGTATCTGCTGTCAGCACCTTGGTTCCGTGCCAAAACCACAGAACCTCACACACTTCAAACCACAGGCTTCCATTTCTATCCTTGGTCCCGTCTGGAACTGAGGACACTGCAGCCACAGAACCCCTTTGCCACTGGCGGGGCCAAGAGAGAAGCCTGGCCGCTGCACCAGCAACGCCAACAAACCCTGCAGTGGCTGCGGCAGCTCCCGGGACAGAGCCGTGGATAGGGGAAGGCGGGGGGAAACGAGGGGGTCGCCTCTACTCGTGCTTCTGGACACCTCCTCACACGCGGGCTTTGCCCTCCGAGACCGGCTGCCCACGGCGGGCTCGGCAGCGCTCCTCGGGCGCCGGGAGAACCGTACCTGGATGAGGCCGCGGCGGAGCAGCGCAGTGTGGACGCAGCCTGGCACCTCCGCATCGGAGGCGACACCGGCCGTTCCCGCTGCGCAGGCCGCCAGCTCCCGGCGCAGGCTGCGCCACTCCGGCCCCCGCGGCCTGCCGCCCGCGGCACCGCCAGCGCCACCAGCAACCAGCAGCGCCACGGAGCCCATGCCGCGCGCCCGCCCGCCCCTCGCACAGCCGGCAGCGGCCGCGCGGAGCGGAGAGCTGGGGCGGCGCTTGCAAGGGAGGAAGGAAGGAGTGAAGGTCGGCCTGCTGAGGGGCGAGCGGGCGCGGCTGGCGGCGCGGCTCTCCTGGCGGCTGAGGGGACGCGGGGGCAGCGGCTGCGCTGCCGCCGCCTCCCTGACACACAGCCCTGCCACGCACACCAGAGAAAGTGCGGTTGTTTTTTTTTGGTGGGGGTGGGGGTTTTTTGTTTGTTTTGGGTTTGTTTTGTTATTGTGGTTTTCTTCTCCCCTGAGGAAGCACAGCGGAACACTGGTGATAGGAGCTGCGATGCCGGTACGAATCTCTCAGAAGGAAAGAGAAAACGGCAGCGAGGTGGGAAGGAATGAGGAAGGGCTGTGACAACACCGCAGCGGGCTCTCTCGATATTGGCTCCCTCGAGCCATGAGGTCTATATACGGCCTCAGACTTCCACCTCCTGTTTCCCATAAAATTACAGCGGCGTATAAAACCGTAACAACGTCATGAACATCTCAAAGTACTGTGATTTCTCGTAAAGCAGTGCTGGCACTGTTGCAGTGTATTTTGTTTTGAAAAATTGTGTGTTCATCTGCAAAGGGACAGAACAGTGAGCCTCAAAGAACCCAAAGTATGGTTTCCAAATCACACTGCAGCTTTCCTGTATGCCCTCACTAGTTTAATGCCTTCATTGACAGCTCAAAACCAGGAATTAAAGAAACAAGTTTTTAAATGGCTCGATGGAAAGAGTGGAAGACAATCGGTGGCCTGAGCTCATCTTGAGGTGTAACACCCACCCTACTTGATGCCTCTGCCCCCTCTGAGCCCCTGGTGCAGAGGGGCCCAGCTCAGCTCCCTGAACTGGGGATGTTTCACACCATGGCAAACACCCCCCTCCCCATCCGAAGCTGTACAGCACGTAGAGAACTGGGTTTCATTTTACAGTACAGAAAAGCAAAAGAGTGACGAGCCCATATACCTTCAGGAGGTTGTGGCAGCACAAAACGGACGGAGCATCCAAGAACTTGATTTCAAGACTTGATTCCATGTCTGCCTGCTCAGCTGTGAGCACATTACAAAGCAGTCGGTTTGCTTTTCTTTAGGTACGAAAGGTTTTATTCCCCTCACACAACTCACTATGAAATTTAAAATGCTCATTTCAGCAGCCATGGTTTGGTTTGTACAATTTTGAGATGGGATTGAAATGGTGGGGGTTTTTTAGTTTAGGCTATTTCTTTTGCAGGAGGGGTTTACTTTGGGGATTTTTTTGGTGGTGGGGTTTCTTGTTTATTGTTAAAGCACAGTTGATGTTCCATCTGGATTCATTAAGTTTCTACTTCATTTATGAACCAGGTCAGAATCCTGGTCAAGAAAATAATATACTGTCTCAGAATACACTTAAGTGAGAAGGTGAAACATGCTTAAAAAAACAGAAAACCATGCAAGTTCCTTTAAAGAAGTAATGGTACCATTAGTGTCACTTATCATCCTGTTATTACATGATGTTTTTTCTTTTAATGAATGAGTCAGGTCACTGTGCATACAAGAAAGCAAACTACTGACTACATATAGGTGCCTACACGTGATTCTGCATAGAAACGCAATAGCATTCAAAGAAATCCCAATTAACTGCAGGACTTTATTCAGTTTTGTCATTTCTCTCCTCATGTTTCTTATTGTTTATAATTATAGACTGTAAACTTAGAGAAGGAAAGAATACATAAAGCACCTTGGGATGTTAAAGAGTTAGTTACATATATACAGCTTTTACACCAAATTACAGAAGAATAAAGTGTGACTGACACAAAAACATGCTGCTGCTCCTGGTATGCAGCACAGAGTGCAAGAGTGAACTGCAGAACTCAGGCATTACCAGAGTTTTGTTTTTGCTCCTGGCTTTCACACACCTAATTCAGCATACCATAACAATCTACCCTAGACTTGTCTTTAGGGCATGACTGAACATGGTCAACATGCCTTTGTATTTTTGATACAAATCCTTTTGAACTGACAACCTTCATTTCAATACAACATAAAAATGCTAGTCCTTCAATTCATCTGCCATATAAAGAAAAAGTACACAATATAACCATAGGTGGTTTTTCACCTGTGAGAGCACAGGGAGGGGCACAGTTCTGAAAAATATTGGTCCAAAAAGAAAAACGTAGCTGATCTTTTTTTTCCTCTTAAAATTTCTGCTACTGATTTCAAAAAGGGATAGATGGGACCCATACTGTTCAGCAGCAGAAGTCTGTGCAGAAATTTAGCTGTTAGTTCCCATGTGTGTATTTTTAAGACTGAGTAACCCACATTCAATATATTGACTGACTGAAAGGCAGGTTCCATTTCAGCTCAACTCCCAGCCACCTTTTAGTGAGATTTAGAGAGAATTAAGTTTTAATGCTACCAAAGAACAATTGCAAATTGGTTTTTTTCTTTTTTTTAATACATTTTTTTCAGTAAGTCATGTGATAGCTTCCCAGTAAGAAGGAAACTGCATTTCAAGATGATTACTGTACTTCCGTGTTTTCTTTGCCATTTATTCTTTCTGCTGAAGACTGACTGGAGCAACACACACACACACATAAAAACCTCAACCTAAAAACAATGCTGTAATTAAGTATTCTGAGAACATGCTGTTTCCTTGTTCAAGGCTTATAATTAAGTTAAATCATGTTTCATTTTCATGTCCCAGTTTTAGGGTTTGTTTTTTATTTGAGAGCATTTTTAAACGGATGACATTTTTGCTGTTTAAAGATATGAAAGTTTTAAAGGCAGTGGTTTTATTTTTTAAAATCTTAAGACACAAAACAAGATCTTTTGTGTGCTTTTTTACTGTGTACCATATTAACATTATTTTCTGCAATGCCACAAATTTAGGTTGCTACTATTATTACTTTGCAGTACTGCAAGCAGATATTCTTATCAACTAAGACAAAAAGCTGAAGGCAAACCTATGCCTTTGACTCTGTCAGAATAAATTCAGAGTAGTTCCGTTGAAGCTGCCCAAATTCTGCCATGTTAATCCAGAAGTCCTTTGTTTCCAATTGCATATGCAGTTTCCATCATCACAACTGCTGCTGTTTTCTCTTTCAAATTCATGTTAAATGAATTCATGCAAAGGTTTTAAACAGGTTCTTGCAGATTTGGGTGCAGTACTTCAAGATATTACTGCCCCCACCTGTCCACCCTGTACTATTCTTCTCCTGAAGGTAAACATCTCTGAAGCAAAACAGGACTTGCATTCACACCAGTCCACATCAGGGCATGCTGTCTCTTTTGGTAGCTGTGCACTGCTGAGGATACCACCACCACTGACCATTTGTCAAAGGTGCAAAGCAACTAAAGGATCATCTACCCTGTGGAATTTTGTCTAGATGCAGAAGTATCAATGCAGACATGTTGGATAAGTACTGGTATGAAACTGGACTGGTGTTTGTATGACTAAATACCTTCAGGCAGCACAGCATATCCATATGAAAGCCCCACAGCTCCTCAACATAACACCTGACCTCTGTTTCCTGACTGCCTCTGCAGAACAGAACTGCTGTGCAAAATAGTTCCTCCCTGGGCTGGGGTAAAGGCCATATGATGCAGGGAGCTCTCCAGCTATGGATTTGTAAAGGACGTTATTCCGTATTTATCTTGAATCCCACCCAAAATGATGTTAAAAATAAAATGAGGAAATAAATTAAGATTGCTTTTAGAGGAGGACGCTATTCATACAGCACTAGAAGAGAATGTTTTACTAGGTTATCATGAGCAAAATACAAAGTAGACCTAAAGTTTCTTTCATAATTCTGGTAAAGTCAGTAGGTCATTGCAAGGGGATTTCCTTAGCAAACAAAATTACTCAATGCTAGCAATCACAAGTAATTAAAAATAAGTATGTGGAAGAGAAATACTGCTGCAGGCAAATGCTATAATGGAAGGGAAAAAGCAAAATATACATAATAATAATTTTAAAATTGCATAAGCAGGAAGACAGGTGATACCTTGAATGTAACCTTAAATTTCATCAGATATGCTGGGCCAAAAGCTTGTATTTCATATCTCTACATAACATCTTGCTTTGAGATGAGCTCAAAACACAGGATTTAGGTTTCAGGTCACCACCTTCTACAGCACAGACACAAAAAGTGGAAGGATCTTTAAAGCCAACATGGCCAGATTTCTAAAGACAGGTTCTTTAGAAGGTGGAATTCCCACAGCTTTTATTCTCTTCATTTTTTAAACAATTTTGAAACAATCCTAATCTATTTTTAAGATTACATAACACTGACCATTGTCGTTTACCTTTTGTTTCATGAACAGCAAAGTCACTGTCTGAAGACCAGGTATGGTGCTGTCCAACCTTGCCATCAACTCTCATTAAAACTCACTTGAAACATATTGAGAATCAACGCCAATTCTCTGGCACTTACAGGAAATTAGCCTTTCTTAAAGGTCTAAAGCTAGACAGTCATCTGTCTGCAATGTACAACCACAATACAATGTATGAAAAAAGCATCGTCCCAAAAAGCCTAAAATTAAATCCCTCAAAACGTGCATATTGCAGGTAACAAACGGTTTCTCCCATGATGGAAGTTTGAGAGGCTCACTGAGCCTGTGTACTTGGCACTTTACCAGCTGAGTGCAGTGCACACCAAATAGAGCAAACTAAATATGAAACATACTGTTTTAATGAATGTTTTCTGTGCAGGTGACTATTACGAGAATCTCAACATAGGTTTATAGCTGATGAATTGGATGACTAAATGGATTTGGAGTTGAAACAGCTGGGAGCTAGATTTCTTTTTCTAACTCAAGTGACTCTAGACAAACTACTGGGGCAGGTTAGGACCTCTGTTTCTCAGACCTTCAGTGGGGGTAATG